AAAAAAAAAAAAAAAAAAAAAAAAAAGCCGGTTACAATAGCTGTTAGCTAAATGAGTATCAAGGTGCGTCTTTTACAAGTGATGAGAAATGATTTCTCCTCAATGTTATTTCTCAATGACTGAAAGATGCCTGCACGACAGTATGCATTTTCTCGTTGACCACTCGGAATGAGAACAAGTCCAGATACAGCGTAATGAGCATTGTCTTCGTCAATGTCTTCGCTCTCTCCGTATATAGTATCTTTTAGACAAAGGCCGTTCCTGACAACAAGTAGAACATAGCTCTGAACTTGCATTCCAAGTGGTTCATCCAAGGAGCATTCGACTTCATGGCCCTGAAATCTTGTCGTTCGATAGTTTGTTCCTCTTTGATGGATGGATCCGATGAACATATCTCTGGGAAGCTCGGAGGTGTAGCCATCAACTTCAATAGAACCGTCCAGTACTCTGCCATACGGATTTATACCGTCCGGAGTGATTCGAGTGCCGAGTATTATTAGAAGAGACTGCGTTTTGTGCGTCAAAGCGTAGTCACTGATCTCCGCATTTCTCGCTCGAGCAAGCCAGCTCCAAGAAGGAGCTATGTACGACGCCTCTTTCTCTCGAGGAAGGATTAAAGGCCCTTCAAAACTATCCGCATACCATAAGAGCCCAACATGCAAATCAGATTGCCACAATCCAGCGAGATAGGTATCTCCAGTAAGTTGAGCCATGACTTTAGCCAACGGCGATATCGCTGGAAGCCGATCTTGACTTCTTGTGAATTGTCGGCAGGAGTACTCCAGATACTGTGCGTACCAAACTGATAGGACATTACCGTCATGAAATTGATCCTGATCTTGCTCCTCGATCAGGGATTGGAGGTTGTGTTCCTCTGCGTCGTCCAGAATGTTGCTAAGTTCAGACGTATAGAACTTCCTGCAGCCCCAATGGATGGTATTTTTGCCGAAATAAACACGTCGTGTTGAAAATAACCCTTCACAGAACGTCCATCCGCGGGTCCCCCATTTGCTTTTCGCTATGTCGTCGTAAAACTGAGAAAATCTCGGCTCTGTTGTGGACTCGCCATGGATAAAGTATGCGCCTCGAGTGTTTCGTTTTAGTGACGATTGAAATTCCACCTTGACTGGACGGCTCTGCGTGATGGGGCGATCCAAAAACCCATCATTGCATGAAGTAGCCGCCGCTGGGATGATGGTGATGTACGCATGCTCGTAATATTGCGCCATCTTTGGCGATTCCGTTTCCCAGTCTGCCTTGTCATTTTGGATGATGCATAACGAATCGATCCAGAGATACTGTATGTTCAGGCTCCGACAGACTATAATAGCGTGTTGGTAGGTTTTTGGCAAGTCCAGGAAAGGAATTCCAGCGAGCCTTTTACTAAGGTTCTCTGTTGTGGTCTTGAGTGGAGGCTTATGAATGCTCCGGTCTCCCCAGCAATGGCTAAGAGCGGAATACCTCCATGATCGACCCGATTTACCTTGCAACATTTTATCACTGGTAACAACTAATCGGACCTTGCGTCCATTCATGTTGCCGACGTCAAGAAGCCTTGTCGGTAAGCCCATAGGTTTCGCTTCCGGGTCGCAATGCTTCAGGCATTGTCCAATCCAGCCTTCTATTCGTTTAGAAACTTGTGGAGATAGCAGTAATCCGTTCTGTGACATCAAACACGGGTAATTTGGGCTATTTGAGATTTGCAAGTATTGTGAACAGGAACCTGGCGTGGTCAGCTATTGCAAAAATCATGCAAGCTCGTTGCCATCTTACCTGGATATGCCGATATCGGGTAAAACTTGACCGAGCTGTCGTTGGTGAAACCTTCACGGTCGCAAAAAAAGCCTACCTCGAGACCTTGCAATCCATCTTCCCAACAATACTGCAGCCCACCAATCCTAACAACGACCGGTCCAGCTGGCTTCTGCAGGTCATCGCCGAGGATTCCTGTCAACGATGTTTTCAAGAGCTGGCAGAACTGGCAGTTGGATTTCGCTCCTGCTGAAAGGGATGGAAGGCTCGGGAATACGTCGCTCCTCTCGTATTTTAGACGCAATTTCGAACGTGAAAATTCGAGTTCCTTTGTGCCGCGGCCAGAGGTTGAGAATTCCAAATAGCCTCCGTGTTCCTTCTCGTTGAGTAGTATTCTCTTACACTGCTGACAAAAGGTGTTCTCTGGCAGCATGTTTGATCGACTCAAACCACAGGAAATGGAGTGACTGTGTACATAGTCTTTCGCCAGAACGGCCTTCGTTAGCTCAGATACTTTTCCTTGAACATACGCAACAAATAAGCTGGCACCGAACGATTCTCGGGTGTTCCGCACTGTACCGCATAGACAAGCATTTGGTGAGTTCTGTTTAGGTCGCAGACAGCCGCTGTGGATGGACTCTTTCATAACTCTGCTTTATCGGCCAAAGCGTCTACGTCTCTATGGACGTTTGAGTTCCTAAGGTGATGGCTGAAAGTGGTTGTTGTCGTTGAAGTTGCAACGGTTATGACTGATGGAAGGCAGCCAGGTGAGATACGAGGTATATATAAGCTTCGCGGGGCTGTACACGTGTCAGCCAATTTAAATCTGGCTCTATCGGTATTCTAACAGAGGCGAGAAAGTATCTTCATTACAACCCTTTCAAATTCATAACAGTTTTCTACCTCAAAGATATATCATGATTGAGCATGATAGCTGCCGATTAAGGCTACGGTATGGAAAAAGCTTAGGATGGGAACCAAGCAGAAAGATCTGCATGGCACGGATGAAATGACTTGATGGTCCGTGATGTCGAAAGACAGGCCAAGGACTGTCAAATAAGTTTGAAGGAATGGAGAACCTACCAAAAGTCCCATTGGTTAGACCCAATGTGCATAACAGCGTCTAACCCAAATGTCAACATTTCGAGATTGTCAACCGTATTTCCAAAGACACTCGTCATCAGAACCAGGTCACTTTACTTTAAAAAGACTATCTTGACATCCTTTGTGTGCTAGGCTCTCACGCCTGATAACCCCTTCAAAGGTATCAAGGTGTCGATACGGCAAGACCTCACTTTCCCCACCATCAGGAATATAACATGTTGTTCCGACACACGAGCAAGCTTGTTATTGATGTTCAGCAATTCCGGACACTTGCTGCTTTGCCAACGAATGCCTAGCGGGCCTAGTCGAGTCCTTTGTACCGGTTGATAGAAATTCTGCACGGTTTCAATACTCGCGCATTGAGTTCCAAGACCTCCTGGCCAAAGGCCGAAAATCGTATACACCCCACAAACTGGTAACCCGGAAGGTAGGTATAAGGCTGGAGCGGTCGGGAGCCGCGCGTCGCATCGGTTGGTATCTGGCTACCTATTCGACACTATAAAACAAGGAGCGAAAACAACCGTGTGGTCCTTTCAGGGTCTGCAGAGCGAGTGAAGGTCGGTAGAGCCAGCGCGTCTTCAACTATGTCAGCAGCCCGGTATCCAATGCTTACGATCTCTTTTTCGCATCCACAGGCGGTCGGTCTCTTGCCTCATTGCCAACAGACCGATAGAAGGAATGACCATCATTGATGAATGGCATTGCGCCGATGGAATCCGCAAAGCAGTCGGGAAATCCAGTTGAGTCCGGAGTTGATGGGACGGACAACATCACGTCACCGTATCGCATCCAAAGTGGGGAAAGCGGCTTCGGCTCCGGGGAAAAGATATTTTTCCGAGACCAACATCCAGCCCGCCAGGCCGCCTGCCAACCTGGCTGCAACCGCTTCGCTATGACGACCAATCATTACAGGAAGAGCCTTGTCGATAGGGCCTCAGGCAGTTGAACGCCAGGAAAGAGCTCACCCAACCTTCACTCGCATTTGCGCGCACCTCGTCGCTGCTTGGACAGTCATCAAGGACCAAGTCTCTTAACGAGAAGGTTGCTCGATCTAAAGGAATACTACCGATGCGACCGCAGCGAACTGACGCGCCACGCTATCCTCCACACTGGCTGGAAAGTACCTTGCGAGTAACTGCGCCACCAGACGCCTGCGCGAGATGTCTCCGCTAGTCTCTTTCTCACCGACACAGAATGCAAAATTACAGACGGCTGGCTGCGGCTTCTCGGAAAATATACACATCTCGTCTCACCAATACGGCCAAGAATGCGTTGAATTGCCATTTTCAATCATTGATTTGTCCTCGAAAAGCTACAGACCGATCCTTCCACTCCCATGGCGACCCGCGCAGGTTGAAATAAAGATGGCCTTTCAAGAAAGAGTTGTCGTCAAGCCAGTGGTTGAATGATCTCCAGGCTAGCCAGAGCCCGAAAGTTGCCTAGGCTGGCTGGGCAACTTTTTGACCTGAGCCCTTAGGGAGTCTTCCTGATCCCCGTGCTTTTTTTTTATGTGAGTCATCAAAGAGTCCCTACGACTGTATTCTTTGCCACATCCCTGCGCCTGGCAAGAGAAACTCTGCTTCGTTTCAATAGACGGGCAGCTGCAGTCGAAATGGCGGAGCATATTTTTCTTCATTGTGAAGCTCTTCCCGCATCCCAAGCAGTTAAAAGGGCCCTGCCCAAGACTTTCGTTGGTGCTCCTCCTCGAGAGAGTACTGTCCAGGCTCTCATCGGTGTTCTCCCTCTTGAGAGAGAGGCCGGAGAATGAGAATTGAAGGGTCGGCGACATTCTGAAGGACTTTTGGGCTCCTCGGAAGTTGGTCTCGGGACTGCCGTGTTGTCCGGGTGAGTTTGAACCGACGCTTCAACACCAGCCTTGTCAGTGGTATAAGGGATGAGTATTGACTTGATGTATTCTTACAGAAAACTGTCGGATGTTCCTGATCCACAGGGCCTTGTTGGAGCTACAAGGCGGTAAAGTGCAACTCAAGAGTGGGACCAGCCGCAATGTTGCTCTTGCTTGTGGAGCGGCAATGAATGAGGTGCTGATGAAGTGCTTGCTAGGCAGATGGTCCATCAGCAGCAGTACCAGCAGCGACATTTATCGTCCATGGTCTACTACACGAGCGACGGCTCCCTAAGGAGCTGCTGAAAGGCTCCATCGGAAGGACCGTGTATCAGAGTTATTCGGGAGCATCCAGATGATGTGTGTCTCCCTCGCCATGTACTCCAGATGTCCAACCAGAGCAAGAGTTGGTAGTGAAGCGACCCAGCTAGACGGTACAGCCACATATGCGTCCACTCCAAAGGTCGTGTCATGTGTTGGACCAAACCAAAAAAAGAAGTCTTGATGAGCGCAGAGGGAGCGGTAAGTAACGTGCGTTGTTGTTGAAGGAGCTGGGGCGTTGGATCCGCGCGCCGGGCCAGACCAGACCCTGCCGATCGTCGCCCGCTCACCCATCGGCTCCCAAATAACGTCTTACACCCATGAGTGAAGTTCACCGTTCAGCGAAGCTGGCCAATCAAAGTCTGAGTCATTCAGCCAAGGAGACCCACGCGACACGCTCTCAGTTAGGCTTGGTTGATCGACTTCGCTGAACGGTGAACTTCCTTTATGGTGAAAGACGTTAATTGGCATGTAGATTATGCAAACCTCTGCCTTTTAGAATAAACAGAAGAAGACCTTGTCGATGTCAGTTCATTCACCAGTGTCTTGACTTGCGCGCAACTAACCAAACAGACACAAGCAATCCTGGACAGGTACGTTGACTTGCGGCATCCGCGTTCTACCCCTACCCTCTTGACGTCGAGTAGCCAGTCCAGTAGCTGCTTTGGCGAGCCCACTCTTCGTAATGTTGGCTGCGTGGTCGTTTCGATTTTGAAAGAAAGGCTTTAGAGTATGCCAGCACGCGAGTGCTCCTCGACTCTCATATATATTTTACGGATACAGCTCGACTAGGCTTCTGCTTTGATCTCAAGGAGCTAAGTGCTAGCCTCCCAAGGCTTTCTTAGAAGATTGTGGTGTCTAAACTGAGCCCGTTCATGCGGCAATCTTCACCCTAGGCCACTAATGACACCCAGTGTCGGTGTGCAGAAAGACGCAGGTACCGAAATCAAAAAAGCAACATGACGACCGAGAAACGGCTTGACGCACGTTCGCCTGCCCTCGTCGGGCTCCAGCCACTCAGATGCCCGGATGCTCAGTCGAGGGAGCAGAACAGCGGGCTAGCCCGGCAGTGCACCAGGATGCTTGCGCCATCGCGCCAGCAGTGAGCTTATACCGCTTCCTCAACTCCACAGATTTCTGCATCCCCCAGCCCCTCAGTTCCCTCTCCCCAGCCCCCCGCGCTCCTTCTCACCACCTTCACAAAGCTACCAGGGTAGTTTCGGGAGCCGTGTTTCGTAACGGCCTCGACGTGGGCGCGACTCTTGCCTCTTACAGTGGGCTATGCACTCGACTAAACCCTGCTGGTCGGCCCTGCGCCTCCGGACCCTCCCTCGAGACCCGCTTTCAGTGCACGTGTCGCACGTGCCGCGCGTAGTTACGGTGAGCAAAATCGGTCTAGGTACCTAGAGCAAGCAGGCTCGGAACCTTCACCATCCGATGCGCAAGTCGGATTTGATAAGGTCATTGACAAGGGATCTGTTGGCGGCGAAAGCTCTAGACGGTACCTTGGATTATTATCTAAGCATACCAGGGGAACGCGTGGGGCGGGGCCCCGCGGCCCTATCACAACACAGACCACAGCTAAATACCGCTGACGGATGCTTTTACGACAATAGCAACTGACGATATCCGTTAATAGATTTCTGGCCATTATCCAGACAGTCGTGTTTCACTGAAGCCTTACAAGCAGACGTGTTATCCGTCGGTCGCAGCATATTCGCGGCTCCTTCACTCCTATCATCAACAAAGTTCTTGCTCGTCATCGTTGGTCTCTACTTCCACTACTCCCGACATACACGTGCCCACACGCGCCCTCTCGGGACCTAGAAGGTTGACGGATCGGCGAGTCCACGAGGAACACCTCGATTCCGCATGGCATTAGACATTTGTAGAACAGGCGAGTCTTGACACTTGGAGATAGCGCATCAACCACATAGGTCACAGTCGCACGAGCCTCCCGCGCTGCCCCGCCCCTTCGTATTGCTGGCCTGCCTGCAAGCTGTAGGCTGTAGGAGGTACAAACAACCGTCTACAGCATTTTTGAGCATGAGCCTATGGCATCAGCTTCGGAGAGACCTTCCTCCATCTCTCTCAAAAATTCCTGGGAACGATCCACCGCGCCGTGGATCAGGCGTGCCGAGGCCCGGGAGGGTGGAACAGCACGAGCTGCACTGTTGCATGTATGCAGGCTATACAGGTGCGTGTGCAGATGCGTGAACATGCATGTTTCCTCATCTTGAGGCTGATGTGCCGTATGTTCAACACTGGCAGTCGAACGCGACAACTGCTACGTATCGTACGAGGTGCTGTAGCCATTATGGCAGCGAACCGTCAGTAAGCCATGGCCCTCGCCTGTCTCCATGGTTCATCTCCGTTGGGTCAGGATGGGACTGGATGCCGGTGGTGTCTGCGAAATACTTCAGCCAGCAGCAACCCTCGATACCTAACTTATTCGCTGGCTCAGATCAATCATCGCAAACCAAACTGCTCGACACAGCGATGCATTGGCCAAGATCTGCAAGCCAGCGTACTTCAAGATGAATACAATTGCTAACGTTTACTATCAATTTGTATGTGAAAAGTTTAAACCCAACCTTCTATATGCTTTACAATGAGGTCGTATGATCGGTAGCTGAAAGAGTTTATCGACCATGAAAAACACTGCACTGTACAATAATTTCCGTAGAGAATAGAACAAAGAAAAAGCCAATCAAGCGTCCTGGTTTTCCCAGAGCCCATCTATCCAGAATTTCCAGGATTCGCCTTCTTCCAAGTTATTGCTATAGAAGTTGTGATCGGGGCAAAAGAGACAGTTTTCAGAAGTGCCAATCCCAGACTGAGGCGACCCATCAGGGTTGTTGTTGTCTGGAGGGTTAAAGAAAGCGTAAATGTCATTTATGATAGCATCACTCCTTGCTGAAACGCCCTTCCTGGGTTGTTGAAGGGGTTGTCTTCCTGAGTAGAGTTGAACCCCTCTATCTCAAGGTTGGCTGAGTAGGGATTGAGGACGGTGTCGCTCGAAGCCTCAGCTCCCTGAAGGTAACAAGGCATCGTATGGTTGACAAGCGGGGTGCTGGTACCCTCCGTCGTAGGGTTGTTGGAAGTGAAATTACCGGTGAGGGTGTTGCCAACGTCACCCTCCGGCATCATGTTGGCCATGAGGAGATTGTCAGCCGGATTGTTGTAGTCATTCCATGCTGAGGTCCCAGTTGAGATATCACTGGTGGGAAACCCACTGAACGGATCCGTCGAGGAAGAGTGGGTGATAGAGTCGGTACTGTCAATTTCTGGCGGGGAGACTCCAGCCGAGTCGTTGATGGTAGAGTTACTATCTGTATGTTGGCCCGTACGAGCACTCGCTTCAACTGAAAAGTGTGCGGTCTCGACGATGCGTCCGATTTTGTAAGGTTTCGGCAACTTTTTGAAGCGGAAGTCTATGTCTGAGATCTCAGGGATCAGACCAACAGCCTGTGGATGGTCCTCTTTAACGTGGGTCTTTAGATAGTCCGGGCGGTGGAATGTCTTTTCGCACCCCAATTTGCAACGGTAAAATAGGTCTTCCGGTCGCATTTCGCAGTGGAAACGCTCATGGCGATCCCGATTGTACTGTTTGGGGCAGTCCTTCCCGCACATTGAGCAAGGAACAGCAGCTAGACTCCTGTGCATGCTGATGAGCCCCGACAATGTAGGGTCGGGGGGACGGTGTTGACGGTTCTGCATCGGTGGCATGTCGGAGGGCGTCGTTGGCATTTTGGGCAACCTTCGGGTCTGCAACGCTTTGGGATCCTATCAGTGTGGTTTCTCGCATGAGTACAAAGGTAGCGTACCTGCGTCTGCTGTGGAAGTTGCTCCGTATTGCGAATTGGGTTGGTGTTAGAAGTCATGGACCAAGAGCTGGGATGGCGGGGATTTTATACACGTCGGGCTCCGCGCAATCGGCGACTGATGGCTCCTTCGAAGGAGCCGTGTTTTAGGAGCATGTTAAATCGTTATGGCGATCGGCAGCCAGTCCGTCACCAACGTCGCGGAAGCCCGCCCGCAAATTGTGGGGAGATGGGTGTTGATGGCGTCGCTGCACAGACAGCAAAGGGGAGATGTAAACTAGCGCTCAACAATCGTCAGGTTCGGATCAACGCTCAGCTCAGCAAACGTCAGGTTCCGAGGGCCCATGATTGGGAACCGGGATGCGGAACTAATGACAAGCGAGCTGTTGTGTGACCAGAGCTTTGCGTGACCAGGTTTTTCTTCCACCTGCCAAGCTGTACCTGCACTGTGGAGGCACTTCTATGGCCTCGAGCAAGTCTGTTGAGCTATATCGTTCTATTCCAAAGCCCCAGTGCAAGCTTCGCCAGTTATGCAAAGTGCTATGCATTAGCTGGTGCTCGGCACCTCGCTTCAACTTGCCAGTGTGTGTCCGGCTCCATTGCTGCCAGCTCACCCGGACGATAGGCGTGAATTTCACGCGTTCAAAAATTCAGAATAGCAAACTCCAAGTAGTCCACGGCATGCTGGTATCCTCTCTTTTATATATGTAGTGTCGAAAGCACAGCCGTAAGCTGAAATGAGTCTCTATCAACTAGGCAGGAGGGATCGCCAAGGTTGGAAGGCTGGCACAGGGCCTTCGCGTAACGAGGATCCGTGTCTAAGCACTTTTCCATGGTCACTGTAGCTGCCGGTGCTTAGCTAAAGTCTGCTCCTCTGCTTGTGCATTGACCAAAAATGAAGGAGCCCTCTGAGTTTAGCGAGAGAGCCCTTGCATTGGCGTGAAGGAGCTGTAAAAGCGATTGGCGTAATGGATAGGTCATACTAACCTTTGGCTGCATGTAAGTGGTAAAAATGGCTCCCTTGGAGATTCGGGCTGCCCGTATCTGGGCCCATCGTTCATATACGAGGATGATCGGTTGCAAGGCCGCTGGCATGCGCTCCTGTGCGACCCGCGCTCTCCTCCTACTGCCTCTGGCCAATCCGACCCTCTCTGAAGGAGCTCTTTGGTACCGAAGAGGCGGCACTACGCGTGTACGTAGCATGGTAGGGCTGTCGACGTCCCAGGCACCTGGGTAGCGCAGTCCAATGAAAGGCCTGCCCGGCCCTTGCCGTGTGGTCCTGTCACACATAGGGCTGCGACATCCTTGGTCATTTTTTCCTCTGTCGATTGATTCTCGCGGCTCAGGCAGGCACATGGCTCGAGGGAGCTGCTCCGTCACTTTCGCGCGGCCCAAGCGTCGATGTGCGTTTGGTGTCCCAGCTCCCGTAATGACGTGATGCAACTGTTCTCGCCTGTTAGCAGTTCCCGAGGCGCGGGAGATGTCATGAGTGTGGGGTTGCGAGATGCGGGGCACGTGGGGTACATTGCGGGATGTTTCTCGGGGCGGGGCGGCCTGGCGGACAGCAACACCCGGCTTTGGCCACGACAAATAGTTCTGGTTGCACACCTTTAGTAACTTTGTTATACTGAGGCGCTCAGTATCGTGATTTCTGCGGAGATTTAACAGCGCGAAACACTCTTATTCTGCGTTGTTTCTTTGCCAGCTCTTACATTTCAAAGCATTTATACATAAAGTGACTATCATACCAAAGCCCAGTGCCGTGCGGCAAAATACCGGCGTGGAAACTGCTTCTTTTAAGCCAAGAAGAGTGCTACACTCTACCACGGGATGACAGCACCATCATACTGGTTCATTCCCTCTGCCTTTTCCCAGCCAGGAACATGGATGTTAAACGCCTTGCCAGTATCCGAGGGACCGACGCGCAGTACAATATCCAGGGTGGATTCGGCACCCTGCTCGACGGGCAGATCGGCCCTGTCACCACCGAGGTCGGTCTTCAGCCACTGTTTGAATTGTCAGCATCGATACCGAACCCATAGCACGGCCGACGGGCATAAGGACGCTTGCCGAGCACAGATCCTACTTACGCCGGGGGAGATGCTGATGACCGTGAAGCCCTTGTCCGCGTACGCGAGCGAGTATTGTACCGTGAGCATGTTGAGCGCGGCCTTGGAGATCTTGTACGCGGGCGTAGGAACCAGGTTGTAGACTGGAGCCTTCTCGATGGAGCCCATGGATGTGGAACTGCGAACATGTTAGCGGACTACTCGAAGCTGGTCCGAGGGTAGCTTGCATGTTAATAAGTTTCTTGAGGCTACCCTTTTCAAGCAGCGGCAAGAAGGCGCGCGTGACGTAGTGCACGCCGGTAACGTTGATCTTGAAAACGTCGTCGAGGTCGTTCCTTCACACCAAGTCAGCTTCAAGGCAGAGATATCGCAGATTTTGTTGACAAACATGTTTATGACGCCTCCCTTGGTAGAAGGCATGACGCCGGCATTGTTGATAAGGACATCAAGGCCCTTTTCGCCCAAAGACTGCTCGACGGTGCTAGCGGCCTTCTTCGCACTCTCCTCCGAGGTCACGTCGAGTTGGACAAACTCCACACGACCGTTGTTCTCTGCGACCAGGTTCTTCAGAGGCTCGGTCTCACTGCGAGCGGAAGCAAAGACTTTGCTGACTTCTGAAGCGGGCTTGGCGGCCAGCTGGCGGGCCAAGGTCAAGCCGAGACCACGCGAGGAACCGGTGATGAAGTAAGAGGACATTTGCGCGAGGTGCGAGGTGGTGTGGAATGATTTGGAGGGTCGAGGTATGGCTTGGATGTTTGGAAGTTCGGAGATGCACGAGTACAAAGAAGTCGACGGTCTCTTTATGTTGCTGGCACCAAGCCGGACGGACTGTGAGAGGATTTGAGCTTAGAAATCCAACGCTGTTATGACGAGCAAATGAACACTGCTCGTAACTTGGCAATGTACAATGACGATGCAACCGTGTTGGAGCGCTGCTGAAGGATTGGCCACAAAGAGAAAAGAGGATATATAATATGGGGGCTAACCCGGCGTTAACGGCAATTAGGATCGCACCGGCGTTAACGGGGATTAAGTATGCAAGCCCGAACTGCGAAGGAACATGAAGGAAATCTCAGATACTTACGGGTCTGATAACTGTGCAGAGTGGCATCATGTTGGGAACATTTCTTCCGTCTCAAAAGCCCACACAATCATCCAAAGAGCGGGGTCCACTGCCAAGGCAAGTCGGGGCTTAAGATTGCTTTCGGAGCGTGTAGATTGGGGAAACTAGGGTTTCTTCTCGGGCGCTTGCGGCGGCGGTGCCTATGTACGACGGTGTTGAGTTGAGAGTTGAGGTAGTGTCGATGCGGTCAGTCCTCCGGTATCGATCGCGCGAATCATGCTAGTCCTGATTCGGTTAGTCGATGAGGCCAACGCAAGTTCGTCTTCCCCACACTCCAACTCAACCTTCTCCACACTCCGACTTGCTTACCCAAGCGCAGCCAGCATTGATAACGTTGCGGACGAAATCTGCCGGCTATATTCGCGACATCGGTGTCGGGTTGATCACTACGCTCTGGCAGACACCGACAACAGACATAGGCACCGGATAATTTGCCCATCTCTTTCTAGATATTTTGCCCACCCCTCGACTACACATTAAGTGAAATCTACGATGCCTATAGAGTACTCCTTAGGAATGTATAGTAGACCATCATAATACGGCTAGTAGGTAATATATAACTACGTAAAAGTAAAGATATATAAGGTATAATAGTACTTTAAAAGATATAATATTAAAGATATATACGAGTTGTAGAGTATACTCTAAGGGCACGAAAACAAATTATTTAAAGGGTATAGAGGTACTTATAAGGGTATAGAGACGTAAATTTTTAAAGAGTAGAAGACATATCATATAATTCTGTAGATGCTATCACGTGGGGTGGGCAAAATATCTAGAGGGGGTGGGCAAATTATCCGGTGCCTAAGAGAGGTATGAGCCGTAAGCCCCTAACAGCGGCCCACGCGGCATTTGAGAGTACGGCCAGATTACAAGCGCAAAATGTGCTCGTCCGATGTGTTTATGTTTAGCGAACTGGCGCAATGGCTTGCAACAGCATCAGCTCCCTTGGCAAGCCACGTGTTGGAAGGCCACAGCCTCATCAACCGCGTCCTAAGTATCTACGCTATCCAGATCTCGGCCGAGGTAGACGAAGGCCGCCATCCCAAGCCGAAACCATGTTAAATTCGCGTCATAAAGATACACACACTCAGGCGAACAGACTCGCCGTGGCTCTATTCGTAGACACACGTCGGTAATTTGGGGGAAGACTTGAATGATTTTCTTCTCCTTTCAACATCGCTACCTATTCGTACATAGGACTCGTTAGTCTGTGCATATATGCTGCGACCTTGACACTTACTTGTACACGAGGGCTGTGTACATATACAACCCTCACGACTCTCACCAAAGACACGAGCCAAGACACCAGAGCGAAGAATTATTTCCGTACAGCACCAGCCAGCCAGCAGCTGTACTATTTACTTTACAACCAACCACCCACCCAGCCAACCAGCCCACCATCCGTCACAGCAGCCCAAGCTCCCAACCAACTAACCTCCAACCCACACCTACGCCGTGCATTCCAGAACTAAGTTTGCGCCCCTGGCCAGGAAACGCCTGCACCGCACCGCAACGCGTCCAACTTGAACCCATGAAATCCAACACAACGAAACTGAACAAAATGGAATAAAACGAAACGAGACGGAACGCGCACGTGCTTTTATACACCCCCGGTCATCCTCCCATTCATCCATTCATCCATTCATCCATCCATCAATCAACCAATAAACACGCAAACCCACCTCTTTCTCACGCGCCCCCACCCCCACCATCAGCACCCGCACCATCCCCACCATCCCTCCGTCCCTCAACGCCCAGCCCCCTCAACCGCTGCGCCAACAACCCCGCTCCAACACCCGAAGCGCTCGCAAAGCTCCCCCGGTCCCGCTTATCCCACGTCCCGTCCCCTGCAGGCGACTGCTGCCCCTGCCCAGCCGCCTGCGGGCTCATCGGCCGCGCCGTCGCGGTCCCGTCCAGCTCCATCTGCTCGCGGCTACTAGGCCGCGACTCCAACGTCTCGAGGCGACGATGGTGACGTGAGAGCTGGAACGGGATCGGCGCGATGGGCTGCTGCTGCTGCGGCGGCGGCGGCGAGGGTTCCGTGTACGAGTTGAAGCCAGGCGGAGACGGCGTGGCAAAGTCGTGCTCGTCGAAGCGGTGGTGGTGATGGTGGTGGTGATGGCTGCTGAAGGGGTACGCGTACCCAGCGCTGCGGCGGTGGTACGCCTTTTCTGCTGCTGTTGCTTGCGAGGCGGCCGTGGTGGTGTTGGTTGGTGGTGTGGTGTTGGTGTCCCGTGAGGGCTTGTAGGCGCTGTATTTCGGCTCGGGGAGCTGGATCTCGTTGCGCAGTTTTTCTTTGCCGTCCGGGACACGGTTGGCGAAGACGACGCGGATGCTTTTGTACAGAAAGAATCGGCCCTTGCTGGGGCAACATATATGCAAATGAATGAGATAACGAAGAATGGGGCGGTCGTTAGGGTCGTCGGAGGTTGAGAGGGAGGCCTCTGGACGATCCGTCCCCAGATTGTTCCGTGAACTGAGCGGCATGTCGATGACCGGGCCAGCCGAGTAGCTTCGTTGCCGGACAAAGGTCTTCTGGCCCGGCTCCATGTCGCTTAGATCGTACGGGACGAGGAACAGCTTGACTGCTGTCTTGTTGGGATTTTTGATGACAATCTGGAGCTGACCCTGCTGCGGGATGCGGTAGCTGCCACCAGGAGGCGACTTTGGAGAAGTGGACCTTCGCTTCGTCTTTTCCCTCTTCCGATGAGCAGCCTTCCGGTCAGCATCCGTCGCTTCCTCGTGACCATTGCCAAAGTTGGGTTCCTCGTTGTCACTGTGATGTGACCGAGTGTGCTTCTTCTTCCGCCGCCCTTCAGTCTGCTCGCCTGCTGGTTTCAAGTGGTTTTCGAGGTCAACGAGACCCACATACGGACTTGGCTGATTGTCGGATATTTTCCCATTGCCACTGTTGTAGCTGTAAAAGACAGCTGGAAAGGGCAACGTAACGTGCGGAGGGCAACGAAGCTGCGGCTTGCACTGACCCTTGCCGAGAACACCGATCTGCGCCACGAAATTCAGAGGCCGAGATGGCGTCGTCGACATCCGTCCGCGAAGGATCGACTCCTCGTAGGATCCAACCATTGGCGCGTGCGGGACTGGAGAACTCTCGCTTGATATGGACGGCCTGCGAGGCCGCAGAAACGGGCTCTGCGGAGTGGAACTGGAGTGAGGGGAAAAGAAGGTGTTCATAGAACGACGGGCGGGCTGGTGTGCTTGGTACGGAAAGGTTCCTTCTCTGCGGACTGAAGGTAATGGCCTGCTGGGTGTGCTGGTAGGCGTGCGGTTCACGTGGAAAGTCTGCAGAGACTGGGGAGAGAAGGTGTGACGGCGATTGTCCCTCTCGCGCGTGGGCGACTGCCTGGACCTGGGTCGCGGAGACCAATCGAGGTCGGTATTGTTCGACTGGTGCACTAACGGACTGGTCGGAGGCAACAGGACGAAGCTGGATAGCGAAGATTGCGAGGTGGTGCGCGAACGCAGGGCCCGGCGGTGGGAGACTTCATCGTCGAAAGGAAACTCGGGCTCAGAGGTTTGGTCGGCGTCATGGCGGATGTGGGGGATGGCAGCGGTGGGGAAGGAATAGTGCCAGGGCGCGACGGGCGAGGTGGAGAGGATGGACGGGGGAGTTGGCTGAGCGACATCCTTCTCTTGACGGAAATCGCCCGAGTGCAGGGCGGAACGCGGGCGCTCGATAGACAAACCGGCGGCGCGATTGTCGCGATTGTCACGGGGCCCTGACGGGTCCTGTGACTGCGGGTCCGAATCATGCGTCGGTGCGTCGTCTTGCCACCGCTCGTTCTCCGTTGCCCAGCTGTGATTGCCTCTGTCCCAGAAGATGCTCACGTTCTGCGGCTCGGGCTGCGAGGGACTCTGGCTTCGCTTTAGTCTCTCGATCAGCGACACACGATCCAGCGTGCTTTGTCTGCCATCGTCCATGTTGTTGTATGCGGCCGGTGCCTCTCGTCGGGAAACATTCCGATGGTGCCAGGAGGAGTCTTGAGAGTCGCGGGCGGGGGAGTCGGAGGGGTCGTGGAAGATGGGCATGGTCGTTGATAGCGAAGGAGGAGGATACTGTACTCGATCGACCGTCTACCTTGGCCGTGGCGGAGGTGGGCGGGTGTGCGCTGGCGGTGGTGCTGGCGGACGAGCGGTCGAGCAGCAGCAGCAATTGGGCGGCGAGAGTGGGAACATGGGAAAGAGTTGGGTAAAGTGTGGGAGCAAAGGGAGAGTCGGGGGAGTGAGGCGAGCGAGATATGACGAAGACAAGTCACACGTGCATGGCAATCGCATCACCCGCTGCGGTCGATGGGGCCCGCGGGAAGATCGCGCGCCCGCAGTGACTCCACTTCCTTCCGCTTCAGCCTTATCGTAGAATTTCTTCCCACTTTCCCTCACACACCCACTCCATCCCACAGCGCCACCATGCCTGAAAAGCGACGCCACAACGATCCGGATGCCGCCCGGGCCCCCACCAAAAAGCACCAGCGCGATGCGAAGCACCACAAAGGCGGCTTTCAAGTCGGCCCTGCCAACCTGCCCGACGGCACCCACAGGCGCAAGGGTACGTCGCTCTTTCCGTCGACTCGAGTCCGAATCCTTTGTCGCTCGCCCCGCTAACCCCACCCCAGTCCTCAAGATCAAGCAAGACCTGATCCACAAGGCCAAGATCAAGAAGCAGTACGCCAAGCTCAAGGAGCGCGAGCTCAACCACCAGCCTTCCGCTGCCACTGCTGCCCACGACGACGACGAGCCCACGGCTGAGCCCGCCTCGCTCGAACCGCACCCAGACCGGCAGAAGAACCTCGAAAAGTCGCCTACCCCAGAACCTGAGCCACGCGAACCACGCGAGCGTCGTCCGCGCAAGCAAAGGACCACACCCTACGCAAAGGAGGCCGCGGCGGCACAGAAGCGCAAGGAAGAGGCCGAGGAACGGCGCAGGGCACGAGAGGAGGCTGAACGGCAGAAGCAGGAGCGACTGGCTGAGCGCGAGAAATTCCGCAAGGCCATGGCCAAGGCGCGAGGAGCCAAGGACGGCAAGAGGAGGCTCGGGAGGGAGGCACCGGTGCTGTTGGACAAGATCAAGAGGTTGGTCGGTCAGACATAGGGCAGGGTGAAGGGAGAGGGAAGGAAAAAAAGTTTTTGAGCATGGATGATTTTCGCATCTGGCATCACGGCGTCCAGGCAGGGAGTACATCAGCGATACCAACATATTTGCCATGAAATCGGAACCCGCTTCGTTTTTGCATCTCCAAGTCATTCCTTTCGTTCCGAAAATCGACCGTTGTGCGCGAGCCGGACCTCGGGAAGTTGCAGCTCCGAATCACATTCCGTCCGGTCTCCAATCCTGATCAACCTTACCTCGTGGCCCCCCACACTCGGCTACCCCGCATTCCCCGCAAAACCTTCCATGTCCTCGGAGCCCGCACATGTCAGCGAGCCCTCTCGCATAGTCGTATTTGTTTACGCTCTACGGGCAGAAGACCGGATTTTAGGGCTCGGCCAATGCTTACCATGACGTGCCTGAAGACTGGTCGGGCGAGATGACACCGAGAAATCGGCTTGGAGTGTTGAATTTATGTGCCAATGCCTTCCTGTAGGAAACGCGTGCGGCGTTGATGGCATCTTTGAGCCCCGCTCGAATTCAAAATGTTTCTCTTAAGCAGTTTCTTACTACTCGTAGGTCCTGCCTTGTGCGCAGGGGAAAACACCAACTCTTTCCAATCGCCGGCCAACGAGTACAGGGCCAAGTTCCGTTACTGGTGAGCCAAAGTGACACCATCCCTCCTGCTCAGCAATATCTGACTCCAACAGGCTACCAGATGCCAGCGTTCCTAATGAAGTTGTCGCTCGAGACATTGCCGCCATGGCAAAAGTCGGCGCCGGTGGCTTCGAGTTCCTGCCCTACTACCAGTACGGCCTTCCCGAAGCCATCAACGGCGTAGAGCCTCCCACAGATTGGACAAAGTACGGCTTCGGGACCGATGCGTTTAGGCAGACGTTCAGGGCTGCGCTCGAAGCCGCCGAGGCTAATGGCGTGCTCATGGATTTCTCCCAGGGCGCGAACCAGGGCCAGGGCACGCCTGCGGTACCGGGCACGGAGGGTCTCGCAGTTGAGTTGGTAGGTGCTGCTCTTAATTGCCTTGGCTCGGCTGACTCTGGCAGGACTATGTGAACGTGACCCTTGCCGGAGGAGACACCTTTGACGGAGCCCTCCCGCTGTCGAAACAACCTCCTGTCCAGGTGACGAGCTTCATGCATGCGCTCGAAGAGTTCGGAGAGCAGACGCTCCTCTCCGTCGTGGCGGCCGAAGTTGTGAACCAGAGTACAACGTTGACTAGTTCCGATAGCTACGGTGCCACCATTGATCTGATCACTGTTGGCGATATTGTCGACCTCACGGACTCTGTCGGCGCGAACAACTCCCTGACATGGACTGCTCCAGCCGGCGGCACTAGCTGGCGTGTCTTTGCATTCTACGAGCGCTACACCAACCAGAGATCCGTTTCTCCCGGTCTCAACGCGACGGATTACATCCAAAACGGGTCGTGGACAGTGGATCACTTTAGTGCTGCCGGCGGTAAAAAGTTAACTGACTTTTTCGATGAGCACGTCATTCCCGATGAGGAAACCAGAGAGCTTCTGGCCAAAGTTGGCAAGTACGGTGCGCGTTCCTCCATTGTTTCTGCGGCGTGTGTATAGCTGATAGCAAGCAGCGTGGGAGGACAGTCTCGAGATGGAGACATCTCTCTGGTGGACACCGGGCTTCCAAGACAAGTTCGAGCAAAACCGCGGCTACAGCATTCGGGAGTGCCTGCCTCTGCTGATGCAGCCTTCAAACTATTGGGTGCAAAGCATGATGCCCTGGACGGAGACTTTTGTTTCGGCGAACAGCACCTTCACCGAAAATTGCAACGAGGATTATCGGATCACGCTTAACGAAGGCTACCAGGAATACCTTGGGCATTACCAACAATGGGCACACGGTCTCGGCATCGAATACTCTGCTCAGCCGGCTTACAATCTCCCTCTGAACGCAGTATGTTCCTTCTCCTCTCATCATTTTCTCATTTGCGTACCACTAACCACGTCCTCAGCTCGACGACATCCCCCTCCTCGACGGCCCCGAAGGCGAATCCCTCGGATTCGACAACATCATCGACACGTACCGCCAGTTCTCGGGGCCCATCCACCTCACCGGCAAAAAAGTGCTGTCTTCCGAGTGCGGCGCCGTCGGAGGCGCACCCTACCTGCAGACGGTCCCAGACCTGTTATGGTCTGTCAACCGCGGCTTGGCGACTGGCATCTCAATGCATGTTCTTCATGGGTATGCGTACTCGGGCGAGTATGCGAACACAACGTGGCCGTCGTATACGACGTTCACGTACCGCTTTAGTGAGATGTGGGGGCTGCATCAGCCGGTTTGGCGGCATATGAGGGATGCCATGGAGTATATTGCGAGGAACCAGTGGGTTTCGCAGAGTGGGACGCCGAAGGTGGATTTGGTGTTTTATCAGTATAGCGCGCCGTGGATTGTGGAGGCTCGGTATCAGAACACTAATCTGGAGACACTGGGTAGGTGCCTAACGGTGATGGCTTGGGAATGACACTGACGCATAGCAGGTTATACGTACGACTACCTTGGCCCAGGCAACCTTCAACGTCCAGAGGCTGTAGTCAAAGAAAATGTCCTGGCACCGAATGGCCCGGCATACAAAGCTCTAATCTTCTCCAACCAAACCTCTCTCACATCCGGAGCTGTTTCAAGAATCCACGAGTTCGCCAGTGCAGGCCTACCAATCTTCTTTGTCGGCGCCACCAACTTCACCAGCATTGGCCAAGGTTCCGGAGAAGCAGCCAGCGTCTCCGCCTCAATGAGTGCCATCCTCGACAGCGGCTTGGAGAACGTGTACAAAGTCGCCTCGGCAGACGACCTCCCCACCGCCCTAACGACGGCAGGCATTCTCCCGCGCTTGTCTTTCTCCACCGGAACCAAGTCCTGGTACTCGTTCTGGCGCCGCAACGAAACCATCGACTACGCGTTCCTCTACAACGACGGCAACGAGACGCACACCTCGACCGTCTCCTTCGCCGCCCCCGAACACAGCATCCCCTACGTCTTCGACGCCTGGACCGGCGCCGTCTCGCCCGTGCTGCAGTACGCCACTGGTCCATCAACCAACATCAACATCAAAATCACCCTCGCCCCAAACCAAACCACCATCCTCGGCTTCGCGAGCCCCGACAGCGCCCTCCCAGCCCCGGCTCCCCGTATGCACGTCACAGCCGCAACAGGCGGCCTCGCGGCCCTACGCCTCGCAGCAAACGGCAGCGTTGTCGCGGTGCTGACGGGGCCCGCGAGCCTCACCCTCTCGGACGGCAGGACGGTGGACCTCGCTCCCTCGGATACACCACTACTGCCGCCCACGAACTTGTCCGTCTGGGACGTCGCGGTGCACAGCTGGGACGCGACGGCAGACATGTTCAGCATGGCGACGGCAATAACGAGGCACAATTTCTCCGCCGTGCCGCTGCGGCCGTGGAATCAGCTGGATCCGGGACTGGGCAATGCGAGCGGCACAGCGACATACACGACCACGTTCGGCACGCCCAACACCACCACCTCCTCTTCGGCGTCCCTGTCAGCGTTCCTAACGCTCACGCCGCATCTCACAAACACAGCCCGCGCATCCCTCAACGGTATCCCGCTCCCGCCGCTCGACCCTGCGAATCCGCGCACGCGCATCCCAGACGAAGCGCTATTGCCGCGGGGAGGGCTGAATAGGCTGACGGTCGAGGTCGCGACGACGCTGTTTAATGTTGTGCGGGCACAGGCGATGGAGGATAAGGTGTGGACGGCGGGGGTGGGCGCCGAGGACGAGAATGGGGGGATTTATTCTGGGCGGGAGGCGCTGGGGGAGGGGTTGCTTGGGAGTGTGCGGGTGATGTGGGAGGGGGAGGGGGAAGTGGTGGTGGGGTGGTGATGTTGGTAGCTACACGCGTGCGGTCATGGGTCCCTTCTGGTGAAGAACTGTCGCTATGGCTCGTTCCCCGTTTCCGTTTCCGGTTAGTCTCCACGCGACGTCACGATGCGGCGCGCTCGGCTGTTGCCTGGCAACAAGACTAGGCGTGTTAGCGCAGAGCTAGACAAGACGGCCAGTCTGCCAGGCTGCCTCTCAACCATTTCCATTTCCCCAAGACGGGAACCCTCTCGTCGCTTCGTTAGGTGGCATCATGGGGTCCGACATCGTGTGTGCCGTTTGTGGAGGCCCGATCAGCACTGCACGTATCGCCCAAAGGTCTCGAAAGGCCAGGAGGAGGGAGAAAGCTGTAGTTAACCAACACACGGATCACGCTCACACGGATCGCGAAGCAGAGGGTTCAGACAGCTACACGCGCGATCAGGACGATGGCGCCTACGATGGATACGATCCGGAAATTCTGGGCGAAGGCGACATCGAATGGACAGACAATGCCCTGGTCCTGGGCATGAATTTCGAGTCTACGGAAATCAAGAAGTTGGTCCGCCGTTCACAAGATGAGCGACTGTGTGCTGACCGATCAAGAGCGTTTATTTCTGGCTTTGGAAGGTATAGCGATTATGTGAATAGCTCTCTGTACGACGCCTACAACAGCTTCGGTTCTGACTTCTGACTTAGGGTATTATGGAACACGTAGAAGAGAGCGATGGTATGATCTGCGCTTTCGAAAGGAAGATACAACCAAATTAATTACTAACTATTTTAGACAAAACGTTTCCAACCGGGATTGACGAGTTCCAATGGTGTGATGCATCGCCACTCCACACACTCTACGCATACTCACGTTAAAGCAGCTACACTACATACGATGCGAACCAACCCCCCTGCATGGCTATACACCATCCATGCTTGGTTCTCCTGACCAAAGTCCTCACTGGCAGCGACAGCTTTGGAGATTTAGACCGAGATCTGCTCTACCATATCATGCATGACCTGATTGATTTCCACGGCTTAGACCTAGACTACGGTGACGTATCGCAGGCCCTTGATCAGTACTGGAGCTGCAAGCCCGGCGAAGAGGTGCGTAGCCCCAAACTTAAAGAGCGACCTAAGTTAATCTGACAGCCGTGCAAGGTACTAGTCGCAAACCCCTTACGCATGCTAGACGTCCGCAAAAGCATAAAAGCCTACGACTCCGCTGTCTGCAAACCCAAAAGCACCAATCCCGCACCCCTGGATCTCGGGGGTTCTGTAATGCGGGACCCTTTCATGGAGCTTCCGTACGACATCCTATACGAGATAACGCGGCACCTGCCGTCCCACTCCGTGATCGCGCTCAGCAGCGCATCATGGCCAGCCTTCTGCGCCTTCCGGGAAAACGACGGCTTCTGGAAGCGCGCGCTGGTGTCTTCGATGCCCTGGTTCTGGGAGCTGCATGACTGGGTGCGAGAGAGCGCCGCGACGGATTTCCGGGGCCTGTTTCTGTGGCTTGAGAAGGTGACGACGCCGAAGATCGATATGCAGGGCCCGTTCTTGGGCGTTGCGAACCGCCGCCGGATTTGGGGCGTGTGCGAGAGGCTGGCTGCGAGGTATCTGCCACGAGTTGTTGCTGTGGCGACGGGAAGTCACGACGCTTCGGAAAGCCACGACGCTGCGAGAACTGTCTGGGGGGGGTGCTCGAATCCTTATATGCCGCTGGTGACGTTCCCGGAACATGCCGAGGGGACAAGCACCGTGACGACGCAGTGGGTGTGCTCGTGGAAAGAGATAAGCGGGCAAGAGGGTGTGTTCGAGACGTTTTGGGATGCGAGTCGCAGCCTTGTTGGGCTAGCACTCTCGTTCGCTGGGGACCGGAGGCTTTTTGGGAGGGATGATAGAGACGGAGATGTCTTGAAGGAGGCGGTGATGGTCAGAAGAGGAGACGAGATCATGGGTCTTGTCTTACATCTGCCGGATGTCTCGGTGGAAAACATGCGCCCTGCAAGACTTTCTCACTTAATTGACCACGAGGAGTCAAACTTGCGAACGTCTATCAAGGGGATCACTGTAAGTTCAGACCATTTACGTGTGGCTACCTTGTTCATGAGACGTATGTTGATGATTACGTTAGGTCCAGATGGCGTGCGGAGAGGAACGGCTTGGAGACACAAACCAAACATACAACCGGCGGGCATTAGTCCCCAATGATGATTATTTCGTTGCGGGAGTTGTAGGCCATATCAGTGGCGTATGTTGTCCCCAACTGTATCTTGTGTGATTTACTAACAGCATAAACCACAAGAGCGGGACAATCAACCGTCTCGGTTTGGTACAATGTCCTCGCTACGGAGTCCACATTTCTACGGACAGTCCAGGCGAGCCACAAATACCTCTGGTGCAAAAAATGCTCTGGAAAAGCACCTCCACACCACTAGGGTTTCCCCCAGCAGCTCACCCGCAGCTAGTCGCGCTGCCATACCATGAAGACCCTCTCGACCGTTACCGCATCCAGGCCAATCTCCCTGAAGATGTTGTCCCGGCCGAACCACTCATCTGGGCTGCTAGCGAGGCAGAGTTGAAGAGCGTCCAGCGCATCTCGGTGTACCAGCTGAACGACGGTCGAGACATCTGCGGCGCAAAAGTCGAGTTTACACCAGAGTCGGGCATTCCGGCGCGGGTGGTCGGGAATGGCGTGGCGGTGGGCACGAAAAGCGAAGACGATGCCGAGATCGGAGGAGAATGGCAGGAGCAGTTCGTGGTGGGCTTTGATATTGATGGCCCTGGAGGCGAGGTTGTGACCGCGGTGGAGGTGATGCATGACGAGGAGATCAAGGCCATGAAGGTAAGTTGTTCGCTGCTTTTTGGTTGCTGCACAAGGAGTGTGTTTTATCGGAGCATGGTTATGAACAGACATTCTGACAGTGCGTCTCCAAATATAGCTTCGCACAAATCGTGACAGGGAGGTGTACTGGGGAGAACACAACATGAACAACGTGCACTTTCACCCGGCAACAGCAGGGCCGGGCGAGACTATTGTCGGAATTGCGCTGGGATTCGGCTCGCAAGGCGGGTTTACCTGGACGGATGAAACATATGTAAGATCAGTTTATCAGATCATACGCTTAGTATGTACATACTTATCCGCTAATTCCACTGCAGGGGTATTCTTTGATGAACTGGGCTGCCACGCTGGTCATGTCGCTGCAGGGCTGAAATATGAACCGTGTGTATGTAAGCACTCAGCTACGGATACGCCCCATTGAACTAGCAGGGATGTTGTGCCGCTTTTGAACCTAAATTCATTAGGCAGCGGGACGCCTTTAGAGTGAAACTTCGCTATCGCTTTCTGGGTTCCTAATCAGTTACTGGCGGCAAGCATCCTTGCTAGTTCACGACGATGTAGCTGCGTGCTCACAGAATGCAAAAAGGATTATCACGGATATTAAAAGCTGCTACAAGTGCCTCGAGAAGTGGGTGAGCATTGTGTAACAGCATATTTTATCGATTGCTTTCTTTTTTCATTCCAAGATAACCGACTTCCTAATTAGTGCGGTTCACCGGTGAATCCGCCCCCACGGTTTAGGGCTGCTATAAATACCCAAAAGACCCCACTGTAAATCCTTCACTCGCCTATCTTGCCGCCCGGGGTAAGAGACAATCTAAGCGCATTGACCCCCAAAAGACGTGTCAAAAGAACAGAACCTCCTCTTTGCACCAAAACTAAACACCATAGTTTGGGAGGTGTGGGAGCACCTCATGGGTATCGACTTGAAATCGCCCTCTGGGGAAGCTGCCCCCGCTGTGAATACTAATCTCGATGCGGACAATGTGGACAAGTATGATAAAGAGACGGACAGCATCATTGAATATGAGTCTCAGCCTAAATGGTGGAATTCTTCATTCCTACAAAAGAGGTCTTTCGCGGCCTTTATTGCCTGTCACATCCTACTCCTCGCTGCGGTCATAGCTCTGCGGCTAGTGGACAGGTTCAACGATGGTATCGAGACGGCCGAGCACGGCGGGCATTTCTCATGGACGTACGGCCCAACAGCAAGTGCGTAAGATACCATTATGTCAACAGGAGAGCGCTAACTTCGGCCTAGTTCTCACCGTCGTTGCGGCTTTGTGGGGCCAGGTCGAACACCGCACGAAGCAGCTTTTGCCGTGGGCGATCCTCAGACAGAACCCGACAGCAGCGTCGGACACGCTTCTGCAAGACTACATCACGCAGTCGCAGCCGGAAGTACTAGTCCACTCCTGGAAGCGAGCGCATTGGACTGTGTTTATCGCGACGGCGTGCTCGCTGCTGATCAAGTTGATTACTGTAGCGTCAACGGGCCTTCTGGTGTTGCAGGCGGAACAGGACAGGCCTCGCAACTGCTCACTTACTGCAGTGGATGGCTTTGGGTCGAGTTTTAATACCTCCTACCTGGGCGGTATTCCTGTGTCTAATATGATAGCGCTGGCGCATCGCAACATCTCCTTTCCACCAGGCACGTCCGCGGACATAGCTTTTCCGACTCTGACGGTAGAGGAGGCTTTTCAAAGTACATACAAGTTCATCACCAATGCTTCTTTCCCTGCAACTAACATTGGACAGGTGCAGAGAACTTCAGTACACATGCGACCGTCGATGCCTTTCATCCTTTCCTGGAATGTGAAACCGGGAATTTCTCTATCGTAAACGCAAGTTGTATCGGGAACAGCGGCTGCGTCGGCACAAACACATATTTCAAGGTCGACTCGCCATCATGCGAGCTTTTTAACGAAATGGAGCATGTCCAGACGCTAGCAGACTTCTCCGGCCCCTCCTGGAGCTCGTTGTCCAGTCAATTGAATGGCAGGGCGGCGGAAGGCGCCATCTTTACCGCGAACTGCACAAGTTCGTCAGCTCAACCGGAAAGGCGTCTCATAGCCGCGGTTGGTTTAATGGACGTGTCCGTTTCTGAGGGACGTAACGTCACGGTTTCATTGCTTAACTCTACACTTCTGGTATGTAAGCCGAGGTATATTATCGGAAAGACGGCGGTTGAGGTCGACAGTGAGGGCACATTAATCAGCGGCGGTCTCCTACCTAAGACCCAATCTTCTGACCCACGTCTCCGGCCCTGGTCTGATTGGGAGATGTCCAGGTTCTTTGAGCAGCCAACCTATCTAAGCACTCTAGACGTTCTCGAAACCATGGACGATCTCTCAAACTTCTACAATTCGGCATATCCCATTTCCTGGAACGAACCCCTCAAGGCTGTTCAGGCATGGACTACACCGAACAATATTACCAAGGTCCTGGATCCGCAGAATCTACAAGACTTGGTAAGCAGGACTTTTAGCATGGTTGTTGTTCAAACTGCAAAACAGTACCTCATGGATACTTCGAACCAAACAATTTCTGGAATCTGCCGTGCCACTGAACAACGAGTCAGAGTTCACAACTTGTCCTTCTACATCATGGCCGTCACGTTGGGTATACTTCTTCTTTTAACGGCCCTTTTATGGTATATGACGCCACGCGATGTCGTCAGCAGAGACCCACGGTCTATTGGAGGGTTGGCAACTATCTTTGCAAGAAGCGCATCTCTCTCCAACCATCTGGCCGAAATAGGCGCTACTCAACTGGAGAGAATACGGTACAAATTACTCGGTTATCAGTGCTGGACTTCGATTGGAGACGCTTCGAAAAACTTTGCTTTCAGCATCGAGATGAGATCTGATCCAGAACTCGTCCGAACGGAGATACCGGGGTCGAAACTGGATCCCGAGAAACTTCACTCTACGCAGTGGTGGCATCCACTCTCACTGTCGCCAGTCTTCAAATCCGTCGTCATCGCCATCCTCATTGTCCTCATCATCGCCCTCGAAATCACGTACCGCCTGGCCAAAAAGAGCGACGGTCTCGCCACAGTCAGCACCGAAGGATATGTTCATTACGCATGGTCATACGTGCCGGCCGCGGTCATGGTATCCATGCAGACCTGCGTGGGGATGGTTTCGTTTTCGTCTCTCGTTATCTCTCCGTACTATGCCTTGAGGCGAAAGGTTTCTGTCGGACGGGAAACCATTCTCCGCGACTATCTTTCCCACACGGCCATCCAATCCCTATGGCACTCTTTCCTCAACCGAGACTTCGCTGTAGCCACGATCGCGTTGTGCATGCTCCTCACGCCGATACTTACGATTGCCGTGAGCGGTTTGTTTACTGCAGCGCAAGTGAATGAGATGTGGAACGTTGATATTACCGTCGTGAGCAACTTCAAGCAATCGGGTTTCTCGTTCAATGATTCTGCGACTGGCTTGGCGAGCTGGGGTGGAGATGTCAGCTTCCTCCTTGGGCTCTTGTTCACTCAACAGGTTTCCTATCCGGCAGGGACGTTTAGAGAGTTTGCTTTCCCCGAGTTGCGCCTTGACAGTGTCACCGGAACCGATGTCTACCATGGCGACCTCCCCGCCGAGCGGCAGTTCTGGAACGGATCGAGCGTTGTTGCAGTACTGCCGGCAATAAGGGCAAACCTCAATTGCACAGTTGTAAAAGAGCATAATGCGAATGCTTCTGACTACCTTTTCAAACAGACATTTCCGTCGCTTCCAGGCTGTCCTGAGATTGGGTCATTCCCTACGGGGTACATGGGCTCATCCCAGCGCTTTGGCTACTTTTCATTGGACACCAACAAGTCTTCTATTCGACCGAAAGGCTGCCCTGACGCAGGCGGAGTTCTTGGACTGAACGAAACTCATTGGACGGCCTTTGTCTGCGATAGCTCTTTTGTGGAATTAGACGTAGCCACCACAATGCGGCAACGAGACTACAAAGTCACTAACGCCGAACCAATCGAGAACAGCACACGGCCTTTCTCAAACGCATCCCTATCTGGCTCCGGCATGTCGATACCCGGCAATTTTCTGCCCAACACCTTTGGCGGCGACGATGGCTCCTCGGCTTTCGACTCGAGCTTCCAAGCCATCATGGCACAGACGGGCTACGACCCCGGCACCTTCCCAGTCGAGGCCTACCTCGACGACAACGCTGCGCGGCTTTTCGCCGAGCTCGAAAGCTTCTGGCGCATCGTAATGGCGCAAGCCGCGAACCGCGCTCTGCGCGTTTCTGCGCCGCCCAGCACGCCTGCCATCAACGGCACGCTGATCAACCCCAACATGTGGCGCCTCCAGCAGAACACCGTTTCCACGCGCGTCTTGCAAGGCTTTTTGGGCGCCATAACGCTGTGTGTTGCTGTTTCGTTCTACCTCATGGACACCCGCGAGGTCCTCCCTATGAACCCTTGCAGCATTGCCGCCGTTGCGAGTTTGGTGGCCGGGGCGGAGATGCTGAACCCGGATGTTACGCCGAAAGGGGCGGAGTGGTTGAGCGATCATGAGATGGAGAAGAGGGGGGTCTGGAGTGGGCATAAGTTCGGCTTGGGTTGGTGGGGAGAAAAGGAAAGCGTGGATAGAAGGTACGGTATTGATATGGGGAGAGCGGAGCATGACTGATCGGTTGAGGAGTGTGTGGTATTTACTTGTACGGTTGGGAATTTGGATACTAATCTATAATCCCGCTTCCTGGGGCTGCGGCTTCTTTCTTTTCACTGAATTGCTTCCAGACCAATATCCAAAGTCCACGTTCCGTTATTTGTCCAATATCCTATTTCAAAGCACAAAAGGCAGGATGTGCCATCCGGTGCCATCTACATGCCAATACACAACTAAATACGTTACACCTCCTGCGCTTTTGGATCACTGTAGCAGGCCTTTTCGTCAATGTCGTCCGTCTCGTCACCAGGAAATGCAGCATTCTCCTTTTCCGCCTTCGCCCGCAGACGTCTGGTCTTCCGCACGTTCCACTCCAATTTTCTTGTCAGCCACCACGTCCAAATGCTGGCAAGGTAGGCACCGGCCACGGCGCCTGCACAAATCGAAAAAGGAGTCTTGTATCCGTTGGAAGCGTATTTGGCCTGGAACAGCTGAGGACCAATGACGCCGCCCACCTGCCCGACACAGTTTTGGAATGCGAGGCCGAACGCTGCACCCGTTGCGCCTTTCAACGTTGCCGAACGCCCTGTGGACAAATGTAAGCCATCTCAATCCTCAACGTGAATACTTTTGCACTTACACGCCCAAAATGGAATAAACCACACTGAATAAAAAGTCGTTCCCAACACCACTGAGATGTATATCGCTGTTTTCGATGACAGAGCAGCCAAAAGAATGAAGAAGACTAGCATCCCCGTTCCTATCAAAAGCAGGAAAGCCGGTCGAATGATGTATGCTTTTTTCAAGAACCACCCTGCGAAAATGATCGCGAGCACCGAGCCAGCCGCTGGGGGAATATTGAGCAGTTGGTTTCGGGGCAGCGAAGCAAACCCCAGATCGGTCGTTACTGTAGGGAGCTGCCACTGCAGCGCATATCCTGCAAAATTCGTGAGGAATTGGGCCAGCATGAATGAATAAGTACGCTGGTCTCTGAGCGATGCGAAAAGCTCTTTCTTCGAGAATGCGGGGTCGGATGTTTTTGGCGCATCTTCGGAAAGACGAGTTTCAAGATACTCTTGCTCTCGTGGAGTGAGCCACTTGCTGGACCGGGGGGATTTTGGATAATCCGGGAGAACGAGATAGACGACACCGGCAAAAACAATTGTTGCCAGGCCCTCAAGCAAGTAGACCCTGTGGTACGTCAGTGTTTTCTTTCTTCAAAAGATGTTGCCTGGGTAAAACACTAACCATCGCCAGGCACTCAAGCCCGCAACCCCGTTCATGTAAGAAATGCCGTACGCGAGCAACGAACCAATGACTCCGCTTGTGTTTTGGAAACCAAACATCCACATGATAGGCTTCCCCATCTCATCGCTGCGATACCAACTCACAAGCTGTACGGCCAGTCCAGGAAACATACCCGCCTCCATCATACCCAGAAACCATCGCGCGGCATACAACCCTTGTCTGTTCTGCACAGCGGCATGGCAGGCTAGCACTATGCCCCATGACAAGATAATGCGCGTTTGCCAGTTGCGTGGGCTCATTTTCTTCATTACCAGGTTGCTGGGTACTTCGAAGAGGATGTTGCCGATGAAGTAGATGGATTGCACCCAGTTGTATTGGTCGGCCGACATGTGCAATTCTTTCAGAATGTTTCTGGACTCTCCAACTTGTAACACTTTAACGCTGGCGGCATTGGTATAGTCAATCTGCTGAGGTTAGCGACTTTTCACCTAGTTTTGTTCTGAGACTTACGTTTTTTATGAGATAAATCATGCCAATCAAAACGAGAAACCTTCTGTCCACCTTTCAAATAATGGCTTTGTCCTCACTTGGGCTAAAGGATGCCAGAAACAACCTTTTCCCCTCTTCTGATCCATCATGGAAGCGCTCCACGGTGGCCTCAGAAGACGCCATGCTCTCTTGCGCAGAGGTGGGTATCGTGGAGTGCCTTAAGAAGCAGAGCTTTAGTTGTCGTATCTGGGATAACAACTGTTGGACTGCGCAAGACTGGCGGCTGCTGTGGTTTTCATTAGCACATTCAACGACACAATCTTGCACATGTCTGTAGCACGCTTTCAAACTAAAGATCGAAACGGTAAGAATCGGCGCTGCTGCATGTGTACGACATCCTCCCCGAGCACGCAATCCTTATCATAGCACTAGGGGCGTAACCTCTTTTGCCGTCTTTTTTTTTTGGCTCTTTCAAAGAAATAAAAGTCATTCCCGGTAATTAAGCATCACATCGTGAATAAGAGCCAATTGGGGTAATTTCTTTAGTGGAGAATAAATATATTAAACAAATTTAAAAGCAAATGGTACTTTATCTTATCAACAAGAATACTAGCTCGCAGAAAACTATTTATTTGGGAAGTTATATGAGACATTTTTCTAGAGAAATTTCTCGTTAAAACCTCGCTGGTCTAGCCTTTGGGTTTGGTATACGTGTGGGGCTGTTCGTGTTCCCCGCAAAGTCTCGGTTAGGAAAGCATATACGCCATCAATCTTCTAGATGACACAATAGCTCCGGCGTCCGCCAAGAAAAGACCACTGTGTGGCCTACCCTATCATACTTCAGATATAATAACACTAATCCAAATGGAGTTGATTTTACGACTTGACTATTAATTACAACCCTCCTATTCGCCATCGCCATTCTATCGCCGCAACACCGCACTGATTGATAAGGGATTGCGACATTGCATGGATGCACTTACGATTTCGTGATTTTCTTAGATCTTGCAGCTAGTTTAAATTTATAAGCAGTGGTACTGTTTCTTCACGGCAGATACAACATATTCTCATCAATTCATACGCGTAATATACATATTTGAAGTGAAAATTAGCGTCTTCTCACATTAATTTCTCCATTTCCAAACTGACAATACCATGGAGTCATCTGAATGAATGTTGTATGGTGGATGGACATAGACGTTGGACAAACTTACTTAGGTACCGACGGAGTAAACCGTACTCTACCTACAACCACGAGGCATACACGCCACTTATTGTAGGTCCAGGAACGCATGACGCGTATCCCCCGCTTTCTTGCGCGGGATTGAAGTGGCTCGGCTTTTGCTGTTTCACTGCCGTCCGCCTGTTCGGCTAGTATAAATGCCTCGCTGTCGCACACTTTCTACCAACATCAGAGATCGACCTACCAGCACAACCAAAGAGCCAACATTACCAAGAAGATACGAGAAGAACCATGGCGCCTTCAGCAGTGGAACACGAGGTGCCAGTCCTGCCATCTGTTACAAAGAAAGGTGCACCGATCAGGAAGCCTCTGGAACTATCTGGAGCACTAGATGGCTTTGAGTCGTTTGACGTGACGCCCACGATTGGAAAGGAGTTTGTCAACGTCGATGTGGCCGAATGGCTGAAAGCGCCCAACTCGGACGAGCTCCTGCGCGAGCTCGCGATCACCAGTAAGGCGCACTTGAGCAAGTCCTTAAAAGCTCCGCCACTAAACACGTCGTATTGCAGTCTCGCAACGTGGCGTCGTCTTCTTCCGCGCGCAAGACAACCTAACGAACGACCTGCAGAAGGAGCTCGTGCACCGCATGGGGCAGCTAACGGGCAAGCCGGCGACGTCGACGCTGCACATCCACCCGGTGCTGAACGACGACCGCGAGCTCGGCGGCACCGACAAGGAGATCAGCACCATCAGCTCCAAGCAAAACAGCAAATTCTACGAAAACCGGGCGTACAGCGTGAGCAACAAGAACCAGAGCAGCGCGGCATGGCACAGCGACATAGCGTTTGAGCCGGTGCCGGCAGACTACACGGCGTTGCGGCTGACGGAGCTGCCCAAGACAGGCGGAGGTGCGCTTTCCCTAGGAAACCTAAAAACAAAACATAAATTTAAAAAACAATAAAAAAAAAAATAAATAAAAAAAAAAAAGACAACCCAAGATGCTAACGGAGACGACACTCACAGACACGCTCTGGGCATCGGGCTACGAGCTCTACGACCGGCTCAGCGCCCCCTACCAAAGATTCCTCGAAAGCCTGACCGCGACCTTCCAACAACCAGGCTTCAACCGCATCGCCGAGCGCGAGGGCTTCGAGCTGCACGCGGGCCCGCGCGGCGCGCCCGAGAACGTCGGCACCGAGCTCAAGGCCGTGCATCCCGTGATCCGCACGAACCCGGTGACGGGGTGGAAGAGCGTGTTCCCCGTGGGGCACCACATCGCGCACGTAAGCGCGCTCTACTACTCACTGTTTACGATTCAGTGATAGCTAACGCGTACACTTTAACCAGATCAACGACGTCACCAAAGAAGAGAGCGCCAGCCTCCTCCAGTGGTTCCTCGACCTCGTGTACAGGAACCACGACGTGCAGGTGCGGCTGCGGTGGCAGAACGCCAACGACCTCGCCATCTGGGACAACCGTAGCGTCTTCCACACGGCGACGTACGACTTCTCCGAGGAGATCCACGGCGAGCGCTTCGGGAACCGCGCTGTCGGGTTGGGCGAGAAGCCGTATTTGGACCCGAACAGCTCGTCCCGCCGCGAGGTGCTTGGCAGGTTGGGGCTTGTGTAGACGGCGCTGTGCTGTTGGTGGCAGGGGCTGCTTGTTGCTGGTTTTGGTTAATACAATGCCTTTTCGGATGATGCCAGGGCCTTTCGGTTGTCTGTGCTGTGTGTTCAGTTGATTACGAACCGTGCGGATGGATCGTGATCATACGTGAACTTATTTCGGCTGCAGTAACGTCCATCACCGTTAACCGAGATTCACCGTAAAGCGAGATGGTGATACTTATACGGAGTAGAAGAAGAGACCTACTCAAGGTATATAAAGTCTATATATACTCTAAGACCTTTTTATCTATGCCTAGAACTCGGGCTAGGATCTGGGTAAGAAGTACTCTATAGGGACTGCTTGTATCGTCCTCTATCTTAGTAAGGTGTACTCTATAGGGACTGATTATATCGTCCCCTATCTCGCTATACGGTGGATCTCGGTCCGCGGTAACGGACGTTATAGTAAACTAAAAACGCGGGAGGTTTAACGTATTTAGATGTGTATTGCGTTGTAATGTCCTAACCCATGAACGAGATGACTGCTCAGTGGGATAGTGACTTAGATCTTTCTCGGGCTTCGTCGGGTACTCTCGTCGTAGAGGGATTTAGTAACGATGATCTGGGTTCTAATTTACAATGCCTTACTAACCTTAGGGGCTTCAGTTCTCGTATACAAACTTATATTATTTTGCTTAAGTCAAAGTCTAACGGTGGATGATAACCATGCTAAAGTTATATACTTGTTAGTAGTTATTATGCCTGTAGAGTACTTTTCATCTTGTTAATAAGAGCCTCCAATTGGCTATCTCACTGAGCAGTCAATCTCGTTTAACCGTCAGGTACGTTACACCCTGTACATGAATGTATCTCGGCTGGAGAACCCGGTTGTACTAGTGCATCCCTGTACCGTATTTACCAATTACGTACAGGTCCGTGCTTTACACTTAGCAGTCACACAACAGGTCCTTAGGCGAAAAGAGCAACTAGCGCGTAACATCGTATAGCATTTTTATACAAGGCAAACATCTCCAGGCACAACAGCCGAAGAGAAGACCCCAAGACTCGGCCGCAACCCCTCTAGAGATATTTCGAATCCACCCAAGAGGAATACCCACTGAGGACGGAAGAGATGGAAACGGCACTACTAAGCTTCGTAGCAAAAGAAGCGCGGGATCCCGAAGCACCGTCGCCCGAGTTGCCATACTCGGCAAAAGTGACATGGTCGGTGCGCTCGTCGCCGGAGTTCCACACAGTCCAGCCAGCGCTGTTGATGACGTTGCTGAGGGAGGTCTGCTGGACGACGACGCGGGCGTAGTTGCCCCACGGGCGGCCGAGGTAGTACGCGCCGGCAGAGACGCTCTGGCCGCTGGCCGCGCCGATGCTGCCCTTGTTGATCACGTAGTAGGACGAGCTGCCTGAGGAGCTGCGGCCGTTGGCCGTCACGTAGCCTTTGGAGGCGCTGACGACGCCGATGTCGCAGGACTGGAACCACGCCGCTGCGTGCTGGCCGAAGATGAAGTCGGTGGCGCCTGGGCAGAGTTAGCGGAGTGAATGAATACGGGTTATGGAGATTGGGCCTGACCTTCAATGTAGCAGAAGCCGTAGAACTGCTGGCCGTCCTGTGCGAGGAGCGTGTCTTGGTAGCCGGTAAACTTGCAGCCGTAGAAGGCCTGGTTGCCGCCGGAGTAGGCCGACAGCGCAACGGCCTGGCTGCCCTTGCCGTACGTGTTGGCGACGTTGACGTTGTACATGGAGAAGTTGGGGGAGTGGGCGCGGAGGGTGGCCGTGCCGTCGTTGTTCAGGCCGTCTGCTTGGCTCAGGCCGTACGTGATGGTGACCTCGTTGGCAGCGTAGCTGCTATCGGATGTCGAGTACCCGTAAAAGTTCAGAGGACCTCTGAGCGCTGGGATGGTAACCTGCTCTTTGTAGGTGCCGGGGTAGACGAAGATGTACTGCGAGCTCGTCGTGCTCGTGCTGAGCTTGTTGACTGCCTGCTGGATGGTCGAATAGGTACCCCCAGAGCCAACGGTAAGAGCTCCCGAAGGCGGAGAGGTCAGGGCCAAAGCCGAGGTGACGAGACTCAGGATCAGGGAAAGACGCATGATTGCGGTTGAGAGGTGGTGATGAAGGGATTGAGTGAAGACGAGATGGAGGGAGAAAAAACCATGTTGCCCCGTCTCTTTTATAGCCGCCAGATGGATCGATAGATGAATTGCTGTCGGGCGTAAGCTGGATGAGGCGTGAGCAGGACGAGAGAGCCTCGAGCCATTGAGCCTTGGCGAAGGTCGCTTAGGCGCACAAGGGTGGATAGTCCCCGCTCCGAATAGCTAGCCCACCGCAATTATGGGCCATCTGCAGTCGCGGCTCCTGCCAGCATGCAACCACGGAGCTCGCGCTGCCCCAATTGCGGAACCCATAAGTGACTTCTGGCTGACTGACCGAACACGAGATTGGCCGACACCACACCATCCGAGGGTGCCGGAGAAATCTAGGAAGAAAATGCGGATATCGACTGAGAGAGTGCGGCGAGGCGCGTGAATGGGGTGTACACGCCACCAAGACGGAGAAATGAGGGAGGTTGATGAGAGTGCCTGGCCATGTTGATTGACGGTAGGGAGTTGTGGTCGGGACGTGCGAGCTACCCGCGTGCTCGCCTGCCGCTCCCGACGTCCCCGCTGTGCCTGCGCCACCGCGGCCGGCGGCATGTAATTCCGCCCTGCTTCCCCGCTTTTTCGCTGTCCGGTCGGCCTGAGACACCATCACCCTGCCACTCTCCAGAAACACCACTGACATGCTTCGTTTTCCTCCCTTTTCAGCCAGCCAAGACACCCTTTACCAGCCGTCTATACACTCCGGCCCGTGCCTCCGCCAAAGGCGTCTTTTGCATTGACAGCCTAGCCTGCCGCCGCCAATCGACGACCACGAGGATAAATAAGATCAACTGATGAGTACCACAAGGTCATCCGGCCCCTACTTGGCGCAATCCTTACCTTCCACCCGTGCATGTCCTATGACTGCGGCCTCGTCTACTTGGAACGTGCAACCATATTGCACTTTGCTCTCGACTTTCCACCAACTGGGAGATGCCTAAGGCGTGCCAGCTCCCTATAAACCGCATGCTAAAGCCATGGACGGTTCAATTAAAGCCAGCCCGCATAACGTAATAAATTTAAGCTCTCCAAGGATAAGTACCCAAGGCGCGCAAGGAGCTTGTCAGCTTGGCACATCAAGCTTTCCCGCACAGCGAGATAGCTGAAAGACAAGCAGCGCCTGACCGGGGAATTCGGGATTCGCTGTGTAACATTGCAGCGATAACACCCCGCATCATCTCACTTTAAAGCTGCGCTCTCATCCTTGCTCATTCGCAATATACCCATCTACATACAACATGGCGGCCGCCGAGACGCAGGACCCCTACGCGCTGCTCGAGGTGGCTGAAACGGCGACTCGCGCAGAGATTAAACAGGCCTATAGGCGGCTGGCCCTGCTGCACCACCCGGACCGGAACCAGCAAAGCGCCGCCTCCACGCAGCGCTTCCAACAAGTATTACCTTGCTTACGCCTGCGAGCTGGCTTTTGCTGTCTGTCGAGCATCACTGACCACCATCTCAAAAGATTGCAGCGGCGTGGGAAATCCTCTCGGACCGCAAAAAGCGCTTCACCTACGACGCGACCCGGCGGATACCAAACTCCACCATGCCATCGCACGCCCGCAAGCACGCCGAAAAGAGCGACGCGCGAAAGAGTGACGCGCGAAAACCGGCAACGCAGCCCGCTGCGCTGCAAGCCGACCGATCATTGCGCCAGGCGGACGCGCCGCTGCGCTGGCAGCGCGTGCGCGATGTCACGGGACCGAAGGCTCGTCCTCCTACCTACATAGCTGGAACGAGACGTACAGTACCGCTGTGCGAGAGGCGCGCCCTTGCTGACTATTTAGGATATGCAGGCGCCGCGACGGAGATGCAGCCATGCTGCTGGCGTTGCGGCTCCGAGCTGCACTCCGAGCTAGCTGGAGGGTTGGTGGTGTTGTGATGAGTCATGACATTTAGAGGGTGACGAGGGGAGGTTTTGGGTGGACGGTTAGAACTGGTAGATGAGGAGGTTGTGGAGTTTAGAGGCGCAGTATGTATATGCTTAGATAATGACTTGAGGTATTCGCGGATAATCAAGCAAGATAGCTTAAAGCACATTAGCAACAGATATATCCGCGAGGTAGATGAGCGCGTGCAGCAACAACCCAGGTGTGGTTTTCCTAACGAATGCAAACGACTGATTTCGACAAGAGTATTTGCAAGGAAGTCGGAAGCTTGCGTACAGCTGCTCGACGACGAGGACTCGATTTATTTTGTACGCCCGCGTGTAGTCAACGCCTGCAGACTCAGAGCATGCCTTCGCGTGTCGCCGGGCACTGTCTTGCAGGCTGCCACGACGCTTTTCCTGCCTACATAGCGTCGGTTACGAGACAGGGGACGGTATAAGCAGGCTCTATAGAGTACTCCTTGTCTAGTTCCTTGCCCGAGTCATGGGTATGGATGGAAGGTCTTAGAGCGCACATAGACGCTATATCTTAAGCAGGTCCCTTCTTCTCCACCGTACCATCTCGCTTCACGGTGACGGACGTTACAACATTTGCCGACCCTTCTGGTCCTTACCGAGGCCCACAGAAGCCGAAAACAGCTTCCTTCACATGTCAGTCACCTGTTTGGAGTTTCGCATGTGATCACCTAGCTTCCACGACCTTCATCTACGCAGGATACACAAACCCATGCCAAAAAAAACACAGGAAATTGGCTCATTGTAAACGAACAAGTCATCCAGTATTCACACGAGTGGTCGAATCTACATTCTACTCCATCCATCTAAGAGAACGACTCCACCTCCCCCATAACACTAAACTCCACCCTCAGCCAGTTGAATGGCTCCACCCCACCTCAACAACCCCACCAAACTCCCTCGCATCACTTGACATCACAGTCTAGCCTCCGGCGGCGGGGCTCTCTCCCCTTCAGCCACCCCCTCTCCAACCCCCGCAGTGAACATTCTCTCCGCCCTGTCCCCCTCCACCATCCTCACAACCCTCTCCATCAGCTCAAAGCACACGTGCTCGCTCACGACCCCGTCGCCCGCATACGACGGGTGCGCGCGCACCGTCTCGCGCATCCAGCGCGCCGCGGTCCAGAACTCGCCGCTGGCACGGCGGCGCACCAGCTCCAAGTAAGGGGCGATGCGGGCGCGGTCAGCGGGGGTGAAGGCGGCGCTGTGGAGGTGCTGCTCAGCGAGGGGAAGAAGGCCAGTGTTCTGCGGGGAGCCGTTGACGATGGCGTCGAGGGAGAGCTCGACGGGCGGGGCATCTTGGTCGGTGCTTGCAGTGGTGCCATTAGGGTCATCCAAACGCCACCAGAACGTCTGCTGATTGACGGCGTCGCGAGCGTGCGCGCGGTCCATGTTTTCCTGGACTTTGTCGATGGGTGCATACATATTAAGGTTGTAGCGCGGGATGGCGAGACGCAGCAGAATCATGAAGATGGCGAAAGCCGCGTTTTCAAAGTCTGTGAACTGCGTTTCCATGGAGCGGAACTCGACGCGCCAGCCAATGCCCGCGTTGTCGATTGGGGGCAGCTTGAAGCGGACGTGTGGCCAGACGGTGCCTTCGAGGCTTTCAAAGTGCTCGTGCGTGGCGATTTGCGGGTTGTCAGAGAGGGCGGACTCGGCTGTGTTGCGCGAGATAATGACGGGGTCCCGCACGAGGATGTGCGAGTAGTGCCGCGCGAGGAGAGTGTCCATGCCTGCAGCCTCGAGACGTGCTTTGGCGGTCTCGTGGATGGGCAGGTCGGCGCGTTGGTACGATGGACTCAACCGCTCGTCTTGGGCGATGTATGTTTGGCACGCAAACCACGAAGGGTGACGTTGACCTCTAGACTGCTGACGCTCATGCTGTGAGCGGTCGTCGACAACCTGAGAGATCTGGTTCCAGCGGGCGTCGGTGTCAACGAGGAAGCCCTTGTAAATAGGCGTGGCAGCCGTAAGCGCCAGCATGATCGGCCCCAAGGGGACGAGTTGATCATGGAGGATACGTGCCTCTTTTTCGTCACTCCCTTGGAAAGTGACTTGGAAGCCGCAGTGGCCGGGACCGAAGACCATGCTGTCAAGTGCCACACGCCTCTGCTCCGGGTCGGTGGAAGGTGACAGAGCTTCCGGGAACCGAGAGCTGTACGCATCTTGGAACAATGGAACGGAAACATTGTTCGATTCCGTTCCACGTCGTGCTTTGACATTGATCCCGGCAGCCTGGTAGCGACCTTCGGGGCTGATGAGACTGTTGTTGGTCAACGCTTCGAGCGCTATCTCGCCGGTTCCGTCGGCACCTAGGCGCGGAAAGATAGAAAGTGTGAAAGGATACTCGTTGATATCGAGCTGTCTCCTGATAGCAATGCGTCTACCAACCATTAAGATTAGTTACAACATGGGAAGTTAGGGGTCCTACCTTTCAGCCATGCTCCGTTCAACGCTGAGAAGAGAGCGTGCCGAGATTCCGTACGGCTTCTCAGGCTCCGACTCCACCATGTACCTGGCAAACTCGGGAGTGTAGCCTGCGTGTTTGCCCCGTCTGTCACGTCAGTGACTACGCGGGTGGTGCGAGCTCAGGCAAGAATTACTTGAGATCGTCCAGACATCGATGATCACTCTCCTTTGAGCTGCCCGACTCGCTGGCCGCCTTGAGCCTCCGCAAGACAGCCGCCTGCTCAGACGACAGTCCCGCTCTCTTCTCCGCACAGTCGAGTCGCACAATGGCGTATTCGACTTCATCTCCCCACAATGGCGGGAACCCCGTCTTTGTTTTACCATGCTCCCACAGGTCGAGCAGTTCCTTCGGCGAACGCCATCAGCCTGCGCCGTGCGGCTTCGCCAGCCTCAATCGGCACATACCTCGACTGCGCGATCTTGGACCCGCGACGCGACCTCCGCGGTCTCTGGCCACTCGACGTAAGCGCCGTCGATCCTGGCAATGTTAGTAGCGACCTCAGAGCAACAATGGTGAATTTTCAACTCACTGTTTTCCCATGGCTTGCGGTTTGGAGGCTCTGGACGACTTGTGTTACCGTTGCATGAAGAGATGTGACAGGCAGGTACAGTTATGTGGTGGAATGTTGAGACGACAGGGTGTGGGCTGGATCTTGGGGAATTTGTGGGGGTGGGGATGAGATGCCGGGATGACGTCAAGTGATCGATCACGACAACACCCGTGCATCCCTGGGCGCCCCTGGAATTGCTCGTTTTACCTACTCGTGCGCCGAAAACATCTTCTGGTTCGTCAACTACCTCACGGACATCCCTCGGAGGTCCATGAGGTTCCAGAGAGATGACATCGGAATGTTGTAGCCAAGCCATCCAGCCGCCGTTGGTTTCGGCTATTTTTACCCTACGAGTACTTGCACATGTCAGGGCCTTTTTCGCAGACAGGTGCCACCAATAGGACTGGATGTTTTTATTAGACTGTGAAACGTCGAAAATTTTCTCAATGAGCCTAAAAAGCAACTTCCTTGGCAGTGGTTTGTTCATGGTCGGGGTTGACAACGTGTCTAGATCATTCGGCTAATAGTTTTCCCGATTCTACAGAGCTACTTCTAGCTTTATCCGTCGTTGACAGCTGAACTCAATATGGATGACGCTATAAAACTTTGCAGTCATTGCGTCCTTGTTCCATGTTTTGCGGTTAGCAAATGGGGAGCTTGGGGTTTCAAATCAAAGAAGATGGACTTTCATTAGCGTCCATTTGATGTAGCGCACAAATCCAAGTCAAACTGTTGTTCCGGGATGTGTTTTACTTGTATTCCTATGCGGCCCTTCAGCCTAATAACTAACAGAAACACTCAAGACACAGCGAAAAGGAGAGCAATTTATGCTTTCAAATCTCGGGTGTGAAGATATTGGAAAAGTTCTCGGTAAGCCCGCCGGCAGGGATATAAATTTTTCTGGCAAGGAAAGGCGCAGATGTTGTTGGCCGTAGCTTACGGAGCTAGTATTGGGTAACCGAACAGTAAAAATCGATTCGTACGTGATATACCACCACAAAATGAAGTAATCTCTATAAAAATAGCAAAGAGAGTAAGGGAAGTGTGATGCGAAATCACCTACAAGCTTATTTTTCTAAGTAATTATTATGTTATAGTTTATCGTTTTCCTTGTACTTCGCAGGGTTGGCTTTGCTGTTTGGTTACCCAATACTAGCTCCTTCGTAAAAGCTAACTAGGCACTAAATCAATCTCACCCCGATCTTTAAGCAACCTCATTATTCGAGTCGATATACGACAGAAATAAACATAAGTGGAAGATAATAAGCGACATTCTCAAGAAATCAAAGGTATTGTCGGTGAAATAAACATAAAGGACAAAAATTCAGCGCCTCCTCCAGACTACACAAGAGAGAAAGTCTGCTCTTTCAGCTTTCCCTACTTCAACATCTCTATGGCCTCTCCGTCCATGAAGTCGTCCATATAACGTTCTCCACAAATGCGGTACTTCCCGTCACCTACGGGCCTCAGGACATAGGGAACGCTGGCGCCGAAAAAAACGCATACCAAATCGCTCGGCAACACGATCTCCGGTCCTAGTCCGAACTGTCCGTTCTCGGTGATGAAAAAGCTTCGACCAATACAAGAATTTATTATATCGCTCAAAAAACGTGTAAGTTCTCCGTGCCCCTCTATACCATTATGTTGTATCCATTTCGAGCAATCAAAACCAATATGCTCTAGGAATACTATCATGTCTACTACTCTCTGCTTTAACGGAAGTTGTGGATATGAAGTAATGCCGGTAGTGAGCGCGAAAAAAAGTTTAGAAAGGATACTTGGCTCTTCAAGAGAGCGTATGGCACTATCAAAGCCATCCAAGTGGGTCCGTATGTCATAGAAGATGGGTGCTATAAGATTGACCCAGTGCCAAATATCCTCCCCTATAAAGAAATCGTCAAAAGGTTCTGCATTCCATTTGATAGTGTCTATTGCAATACCCTGTAATTGAAGGATTTTGCTCTTTAGCATGAACACAGGTGCAGTCTCTGCGGATGCGTTGAAGTGGCATCTCGAAGGCAAAGGCTCCAAATCGCCAATGTAGGCATTTATGTTCCATTGTGGCACCCATGAGATATCGGTTTGTTTGAAAGATGCGGCCGTATGCTGAACAAGGCCTAGGACGTAAAGGGGATTTGGAAGCTTTAACAGCTGTTCGGCAACAAGATAGTAGAGATCTTGATAAGGTATGTCGTAGCTTATATGAATGAATTGGTCTTTCCCAGGTCCAGTGCCAAGTTCTTGGAATGCGGGATGCCCTAGTAGTGCATATATTTTGTCTCTGGGATCAGAGCTTTCCTTAGGCCGGCCAAGCCGTAGAATATTCCTGATGTCTTCTGATTTTCCTGACTTGAACTGGAATTCCTCAATAATCTTGACCAACTTGAAGGCGACGGAGTGCCATAGATCAATGCTGCCGATTACGTCATCCATTGCCGTGGCGACTGTGAGGAATTGAGACTATTGGATAGCGTCGTCCTCGCAAAGAAGTAATGCATCGGAAGCCAAGCCAATCTCTTGTAAGATCCAAATTCGGCTGAACCACTCTTTATAGACTACCTCGTGGAAATCAATCCACGAAGGCTCCGGAACTTCTTTCACCATCTTAATCAATACTGGTCTATCTGTTTGTCCTGATAGATGAACAGCTTTGCGTAGAAGCCTAACGACTTCGAAAGCTTCCCCTGCCTTTCCGCCAAGCCATGCGAGAACTCTGCTAGCCTGCGCAAAGATTGCTCCCATTGATCGAACTTGTCGCGCACGCTCGTTTTTGTCTCGCTGGTTGATGCAGATAGCGTCCGCCCATAGATATTTTGTAGACTTCCTGCCCGTACTGTGAAATAGGGCCTCGTCGAGGTTCCACGTTATTTTCAGAAGCCTTCCGTTACAAAATATGTAACTTATGTCCCGGTTGTCATCGAAGACTCTCCATACGTAGGAGATTGCCTCATATGGCGGTGCGCGATCGATAGCGTAAGTGCGGAGTCGGCATTCTAAAGGATAGTTCATGCTGTTTACTCCAGGTAGGAGTTCCAGGAGCCGAAAATATTTCCTCCCGTTGGGTAAACGGTCATATTGGTACCACTTGGGATTACTTTTTTTGGCTTCTTTCTTCTTCTTTGCCGCCTTTTTCTTCCTGCCGGAGCGTTTCTTTGTCATGGGAAACGACTTTGAAAACCGTGACTGTATGGGTTTGTGTAGCAGTTAAGGTGATTTGGGATTAAAAAAGAGTGCAGCCTTGCAGTCTTAACCTACCCCGCTCTTCAGCTGCAGGGCAAGGATCCTGTGCCACGTGCGTCCATGACCCTAGCCAACTTGCACTTCAGCTAAGGCTAAAGTAAGCCGAATACGAATCGTGGCTAGTCATCTGCGTATATTTGTACCGGCGATTGGATCGAGGAAAGTTCATGAGAAAATTTTCAGCTCCAATGACAAAATCAGCGGAGCTGAGTAACTATTAGCGCTCTTGGGCTGCTTAACACACTCACAACGATTCGATTGGATCGTCGAATCATTGTCGAAAACACGAAAAGTGAGTTGGGGCAATATCACTCCAAGATTCTGAGTATCTTTGTGCCTTTTCGCCATGACGCAGGCCTATTATTGCGAAAGCCTGTTGCCCTTTAACTGCACCGATACATATACTCTCGCATAATCAATGCGACCTTTAATCACCCAAGAATCGTTTTGCTACAGGGTGGCGCAAATGGTATCGTGGAGACGTAGACACTGAACAACCAAACCTCCGTAAACTCTTCGACACCGAAACAAGTCTGTAATTAGGAATGGACTGACTCCGCTCAATCCAGCCAAAATCAGATATTTCGCATACCCATGACTACATTCTGCTACTGATGAAAACCTTTTTGTTACATAGTGAAAGAGACCGGTCTTTAGGGACGTAAGTCCTGATATCCAAACGCCGCATTGTCTTTCTCTGGAGATGCTCGTCTCATCCAGCGCCATCCCGCCTCTCTCTTTGTACCCACGTATCTTATTGAACAGCGTGTACGTGACGGCTGCGTTGTACTCATGCTACTTTTCCCGCGATCCGAACAAACTACTTTCGCATGTCACGGCGTTAATGTCTTCACTTGTCGACGAATGACCTCGTAGTACGATATGCTTGGAAGACTTTAATCGACAATTTGATGTGCAGAACTTCATGTTTTGCAAACTCCGCTTCACGACAAGTTTGTGTTCGCCCTAAACAGTGAACAAAGAGACATTGTCATTGAGCTGCGAGGACCACAAGTGAAGCCCCTCCGTATTTCTAGCCCAAAAACCCCATCCAAGCCAGTCTAACCAAGTCTCACAATCCGGTGTCGCCTCTCCAACTCTAGCTTGACCCTCTCAGCAGACCCGGACAGAACAAGCTCCTCAAGGCTCTTCCTTTCAGCAGGTCCAGACAGAACAAGTGCCCTAAGAATCGTCTGTGTCAGGAAGCGGCGCGCTGCGCCTCCCGACCGCACCATCCCAACCGCCCCTCCACTCCTGCGCCACAACCCAGTCCTGGCAAAGAAGCTCGCAGTCAAGCGCCCGCAGGGCCTCCAAAGTCGAGCCGTACCGAGGGATGTGATCCATGCCCATGACCGAAGTGAGGGCGACGTAGCGGACAGTCGAGAACACGACGGCGAAGCAGCGCCAGCCAGCGTTAGTGGGGTCGTCAACGATGCAGACCTGGAGGTAAGGGAAGTAGGCGCGCAGGGCCGGGTGGCGGGAAACCTTGACTGTGGGCCCGAGAGTAGAAATCAGCGTGCACTTTGAGGGTGTTGCGTTGCCCGACCTTGCCTACCGTAGATGGAGTTCAGGACCGCGATGCGCGGGTCCGAGTCGGGGTACGTGGTGCGCACGAACGGGGCCTTTCCGACGGCTTCGTGGTACAGAGGGTTAGCCTTCTCGCGGATCCAGCGGTCCAGCTCCGTGAGTCTGGTCTCCGGACCGTTGCCGTAGCCCCAGACTGTCTCGAGGTCGACAGTGATGGGCTCCCATGGACCGTCCAGGCCGCCCATGTAGCTCTTGGTTATCATGAGGAAGCAGTCGTACATTTCTTGAATGACGTCGAGAACAGGAGTGCCGACGGGGCGCGGAGTGCGCGAGAGGGTGTGGCGCATGCCGCCGTAGTCGATGATCATGGCGACAATGAAGTGCGGCTGGTTGTCAATCGTGATGTTGAGATCGATGACGTGAACGACGTCGACGAGGCCGGGCGGGAAGATACGGGTTTGAACGATATCTACGACGCAGTTGACACTTGGGGTTTCAACATTTTTGAACGGTGCGGACATACCTTCGATGGCGTGGCCAAGGGCCAGCTCTTCATCCTCGGACTGAATGGCATCATAGCCGGCGTCGTCAATCTGGTTTTGCTCCATGGTGGCAATGTGTTCGTGGAAAGGTGTTGCAGGAGAGTGAGGAGCGCTAGTTGTCACGAAACGAGGCAGAGGTGGTTGGAGTTTTCGGGAGGATGGGGCGAAGTGGGCTTTTATGAGCTTCGACGACACTAGCGCTAGCCTGGTCATTTTGATGTGAAAAAGCTTGGGTTAATTGTGGTAGGGGAATGAAAGTGCCAAGCAATCACGTTGTGGAAGTGAATAGAATTTGAAAAGTACTTCTAAAGTAAGCCTTCAGTCTTTCCGTACCAATCCTCAATGCTACTCTTGATACCGGTTACCTCCAAAATCAAAGGCATGGGGCATCTGCTGCATACTGGGATCAGGGTTAGGGGCCGAGTTGTAAACTTTCCCAGTCCAAAGCATACAGCATTTGCTTCATCCTGGGATCAGGGTTAATCGCCAAGCTGGCCTTCAAGTCCTTTACCCTCTTGGCCCAAGCATTGAATCCCTCCAAAGCTTTTTCCACCGGTCTTTCTGTATCGATATGATACATGTGTCCCGGCTTAAGCTTCAAAGCCATTTCCACAATCATAGACATTGACTTCATCAAGTCTTCTTTGCCTGCCTTATATTGCATCTCCGGAAGTCTCAGTAGAGCCGAAAACTTAGTGTTGTTCTGCTGCACCCAAGCCGTTATGACTCGGTACCAGGGGACCAAAAGAGAATAGTGCACCGTAAGTAACTCAGACATCACCTCGATAGGGTTAGCTGAAGACATGTGGGCGAATATACTCGTACTGGCCCTGATGACGCTGCCGACGCAGTTGGAACATTGTCCATTCGGAGAGTCAAGAGAGTACATGGACAAGGTAGTCGCGCGGAGGGCTACATATTCGGCCCATGGGAGGACAGGAGAATCGTACCAGCCATACGACGCGCTGTGAAAGTCGAGGCAATACTTTTCGCCGTCTTTCAGGAGAACGTGTATGACTTTGTATTCTCCCAAGTAGAGTCTCTCTTGGCTACGGTCGTGGACAGGAACAACTCGAATGCTGGGGTTTTTGACTTGAACAATGCATTCAGTGATGTGTGTGTAGAGTCCTATGGTCAGGTCAGTAGCGCCATCAGTCCACCTCGAGAGGTAGAAAGCTTACCGGAGAGAGCCTGCCGAACCATTTTCTCCATGAATGCGACCGAGTCACCGATCGTCATACTGCAAAGGATCGTACGCCTCAGTTCCGGATCGCTGACCAAGTGTTCCGGTAAGGGGAAGAATGGTTGTCCACCATTCCTCTGGAAAGCTTCGTTCGTGGTTTCCATATGGACGTAGACGAGGCCATCTTTCACTTCCACCTTGTCCACGGGATACTCGAAGGTACACTCACGGTACGCGTACCAAGCCTCACAAAGGAACTTGACCGCGCGGTAGAACGTCTTGCGGATCTGAAGCTTCTTGCACTCAGACTTGTGAACAGGCCAATGAGCCGTCTGGCACTTGCTGTCGCAGTAGTAGGTGTTGTGGGCGCGGGGAGTGTTCTTGCAGCCGCTACAAGTCTGGCGAGCTTGCTTGCCGCAGAAGTGGCACTTGTGGGAAGACGTGTCCTTGTGAGAGGGTGTGTTCGAGTGAGTGTTCGTGCCAGAGGGCGGATTCTTGTCGGTGAGCTTGCCTTTGCCGGTGAGCTTGCCGGAGGGCTTGTCGGAGGGCTTGTCGGAGGGCTTATCCATGTGGAAGGATATGTCCTTGTCGGTAAGCTTACCCTTACCGGTGAGCTTGCCGGAGGGCTTGTCGGAGGGCTTATCGGAGGGTTTGTCCGTGTGGGAGGATATATTCTTGTCGGTAAGCTTGCCGGAGGGCTTGTCGGAGGGCTTGTCGGAGGGCTTGTCGGAGGGTTTGTCCATGTCGGGGAATGTGTCCTTGTGAGGACGAGTGTCCTCACCACCGTCAAACTGCATGGAGGGTTGACCGGGCGCAGAGGCGGGTTCCGCGGACTGGCGCTTGACGTTCAAGGCCCCCAGCGTCTCGCAGAGCGCGTCCTTGTCGCGTTCTTTGGGCGGCGCCATGTTTGCGGGCTTGACGTACGTGAGCTGGAGCAAACCGGGGCGGAGGAAGGAAGGAAGGAAGTTGAAGAAGGCGGAGGGACTTAAGTAGGTAGAGAAGGTCGGAGAGCGGTCTAGCCGAAGGACAAGCGCAGGTAGGTGACCGTCAGGGCAAACAGTGTGAAAGAAAAGTTCATTCACCTTCACTCACACCAACCTTAATAGGGCTCTAGAACCGTCTATTTCTATCCGTCCGCTCAACCGACCACTACGTTCTTCACTCGCTGCCAGACTGAGCGCTCCTTCCCTTCTTCCTCTGCGTCGTCAAGGTCCTCCCGGCGTCCGCTCCAGATGTCCATCTCCGCCAGCCGGACGAACTTTGTTTTGTTTCTGAATTTGTACACGATAACAAAGATAAGAAAGACAGGGATCAAAATGTAGTTAATCACAAAGTCGGATGCACTGAAGGGGTTCAGGAACGCCGTGTACCCTGTTCAACATGTCAGCTTCAACAACACCACCACATGAAGAGATGAAACGCATACCCTGGAAGAAGATGAGAAAGACATTGGCAGCAAGACACACATACGTCCCCCACGGATACCACAGTGCCTTAAACGGCAAATCATCAGCACTCTGGCCTTGCACCTTCAACGCCTTCCGGAACCGAATATGCACGATCTCAATAACGGCCCACACGATAAAAGTCGCGACGCCAGACAGGGTGATCAGGGCCGAGTAGAGCGTCCCCGCGCTATTCGACTGCGAGAGAAACGCGATACAGGCGGCCAGATTCGTGAACAAGAGCGCCGCCCACGGGACGCCACGGTTGTCGGCACGGCCCAAGAAGCGGGGCGCCATGCCCTTGCGCGCCATGTGCGTGATGGTGCGAGACGCGACGTAGAGCGACGAATTCCCGGCCGAGATGACGGAGATGACGATGAGCGCGTTGATGAGGTGGGCGGCGGGGGCGATGTGCGCGTCAGCGAGGGCGATGGTCAGCGGCGAGGCGGCCGTCTTGGATCCCTTGCCTAGCAGGCGCGTGTCGGTGGAGGGGATCAGGATGCCGATGAAGAACATCATGCCGATGTAGAAAATGAGGATGCGCCAGAAGACTTGGTTGATTGCGCGGGGGACGGCGCGGCGGGGATTCGAGGATTCTCCGGCTGTTATCCCTACCCTGATGGGGGTCAGCAGAGGTAGGGATGAAAGGATTTGGATGCTTGCGAAGAAGGATAGCTTGAGGGTATTCACTTACATCTCGGTGCCCGCAAACAGAGTACCGGCAACAACAAACGTTCTCGCAACACCATTGATAGAATCCGCAAAAGCCCCCGGATCACGCCAATACTTGAACCCAATCTTCTGCGGACCAAGACCACCAGACGTAATGGCAATAGCAAGGATAAAGAACACCGAGAGGGCAACGACCTTGATCAAAGACAGCCAGAACTCGACCTCGCCATAAGCCAGCACGCCCAGCATGCTCAGCGAGACGAAGACGACCCAGAAGATCAGGATCCAGGCCCATTGCGGGACCGAGTCCGTCCAGTACATGATGACCAAGGAGATTGAGTTGTACTCATTGGCCAGGACCTAGCTCCGGGGTTAGCCCTGGTCCAAAGAGAGAGAGAACACCACCTACCGTGACCCAAAGGTACCAATACGCCCAGCCCAGACCAAACGCCAGACTCTCATCCACGAACCTTGCTGCATAATCGACAAACGAGCCCGAGACGGGAATGACGGTCGCCAGCTCGCCCAAAGACTGCCTATCAGCCTGTCAGCTTCCATCGTCCAACGCGCCACCCAAAGCCCGTATCAAGGGAGAACAAACATGACAAAAAACACAATAATCCCCACCAGCGAAAAACTGATCAACACGCCCGCCGGGCCAGCAAGATGCAGCGCATTGCCGGACCCGACAAGAAGGCCAGGGCCGATAATGCCTGTATCGGTACACGGTACCGCGTCAATCGGCAACTCGTACACATCGCATCCCGCGCCAGGGCAGCAGGGCAGCAGATAGAGCACACGCACCTCCAATCGCAATCATCTGCAGATGCCTGGACTTCAGCCGCCGGTGCAGCGGGCGCCACTCGCCATCCGTCGCCTCGCTCCTCGCACTCCCCGCGTCCCTAGCAGCAACACCAACAACTTTGCCCGCGTCCGCGTCCAGGTCCATGTCGATGTCTGCGTCGGCGTCCTCGTCGTTGCCTCGTCGAAGGGGCATGTACGCGCCTCCAGCCGCCGACATGCTGGGCGCGACTTTTTGTGCGCCAGCGCAGGCCCAGCCCGTCTGCTGCGTCGGGTTGCGGTACGCGCTTGTGCGGCGCTGCAGCGCGTGATTGGGGGTCGCAATAAGGGCGCGCGATAACGCAATCGCGTGAGTGCTGCTACCGGAAGCGTGCTCGACTAGGTAGAGGTCGGGAGCGGTGCTGCGTTACTGTAGGTAGCTAGCTGGCTGGCTGGGCGGGGCCGCGCGCGGTGTCCACTGTTTTTTTATTATTTTGACGGGGGTGGGGCGGGGCGGGGCGGGGCGGCCTGCGGAGGGGGGGGTGGGGTTGTTGCTTCTGGGGTGGGTGGACATGCTGGGCTGGAGGGAGGAGATGGGGATGGTGATGGCTATGGGGGTTTTGGTGTGGTTGAGGTTGCGAGTGTGTTGAATGTGTTTATGATGGCGATTATCGATGATATCGATAGGCCGTGTGGCCGTATCGCTGGTCGTGGGCTGCGTGATACGTACCCGGAGACCTACTACCCGTATAGTATGCTTTATGAAATGAGGCTACTTATCTCTTTATAAGTGCCTTTATGCCCTTCGAAGTCTTTGTTTTCGTATCCTTATAGAATACTTTAGTACTACTATATACTTTTACTTTTATATCTTTTTAGATGCTGATATAGGTAGTATCTTTTTCTTCTACGAAGTTATATAGTGCCTACTAACTGCAGTATATTAATCTATTATAACTGCCTAAGAAGTACTCTATAGGTATCGTAGGTTTTAATTAAAATATAGTTAAGGAGTGGGTAGATTATCGGGGCCTTTCAAAGACTGCTTGTCTCTACGTGAACTTCCTTACACTATCCAACGAGAACATTGGACAGCGTTCAGCAAGCTACCATTTCGACGTAAGCAGGCCTCTTTATTCTTGGTGATGTGATGGGAAAGAGGTATAGGTATAATCGCCACAAGCAGACACAATCCAGTCAAATACCAAAGCAAGCACACAGCATCACTATACCGCTCTCCTCGCCTTGTCCGCGCGCCTCCAAGCCCTACGAAACCTTCGCCCAATATTATAAGGCGGACTCATCAGGGGCTGCACCAACTCGGCCGGCACACCCTCCCTCGGCACTTCGACGCGCCTCGCACAATTCCAGTCGAAGTCGTAGCGACAGAACGAGCCTACACGAGAAAGATGCGTTAGCGAAGGATGTTATTGGCTGTCCACGTGTGTAGAAAGGAACCGGCGTTTTGCTAACTCACACTTCATGAAGCAACAACCACCATTCTTCTCGATAATCGTGCGGCACGCAGGGCACCTGCGCGCGCTCAACCTAGCAAGCGAGTGCAGCGTTGCGCGCGTGTCGTGCTCAGCGCGCTCCTGGTCCAGGTCGTCATTGTACTGCTTGCAGGTCTTGCCATGATGGTAAGGAATCTTGTGTTCGCAGCAAGACTCTATCCCGCAAGCATGGCATTTCATGAGGTTCTTGTCTCTGCAGTCCGGGACATGGTACTGGGCGGAATTGCAGCCTTCAGACGGACACCAGTGGACCTCGTCTAAGGTAGAGAGGCAGCTTCGCAGCAGGAGCTCGTCATACCGGGCGAAGGACTCGGCGGGGAGGAAGCTCTGGACGACTTGGTAGGGCCATTCTGCGCCGCACTCTGGGTTGGGGCATTTGGCGCTGTAGGGCAGCTTGGAGTTGTTGAAGCTGTACTCGAAGACGCGCGCGATGCAGGGACGGCAGATGGGCATGAATCCGATTGCTGAGACACAGGCTGTACATTTGTGGGGGAGGTCGTTTTCGGCTGGGAAGTTGTCGAATGGCAGTGATTCCCCGCATATATGGCAGTCTATGTGGGTGTCATATATGAGATTAATTTCGTCGTTGCGCGGGATGAGAGGAAGTTCATCGTTGTTGATGGAGGGAAAAGAGATCTGTTCTATGTCGTGGTCCCTAATTTTGTGCCTGGTTTTCCGTTTGAACAAGCGGGAGATGAAGCTGAGGCGGGAGCGGAAACGCATGATGAAGAGACGCAAGAACGTGAGGAGATTGAGAGTGACAGACGGAGTACATTTTGTACGGAATGTTTATCTTTCGGATAACCTGATCAATTTGTTTGAAGCCAATGGTCTGCACTGCTGGATTGGGGAAGCCATGACCGAATCAATATCGCAGACCCAAGATTGAGCAATGGAATCACGGGAGAGGTGAGCGAGCCGTCACAGGAATTGAGGACGACATTGTAGGGAAAGAGAGATGCAACGATAAGTACTGAATAACGATGGCAATAGTTGATGATTGCTGATGATGATGATGATGGACAAGAGACGCAGGAACGCGGCGCTACGGCAAGTCTCGGCTAGAGCTGCTGCTTACAAAACAGAAAAGTGCATGATGGAAGCGCGCAAGCTCACGACGCACAGCTGTAGTCATTGCACCCGCGCGCCCTCATCCTTCACCCTTTCCTTGTGTTGTGAGCGTCTCTACCCCCTGTCGCCATGTTTCGTGCCGCCTCCCGCGCCGCCGCGCCCCGCAGCCTCCTCCCCCGAGCTCCCAGCGCCCGCCGCTTCCTCAGCACCGCGCCCCCGACGCAGAAGTCGCGCAGCTGGAAGAGCTCCGCCGCCCGCTGGGCTGTTGCCATCGGCGCCATCTACTACTACAGCTCGAGCTCCTTCACCGACGATGCCGCATGTGAGAGCATCCTAGCTCCGACGGACGTGACTCGCCGCGACAGCTGGCTGACGCAATTGGCATCGCAGATCCAGTGATACCGGGCGCAGACGACAAGGTCGAGCGTCTCCCCACCATTGAGTCCATTATCGCGAAGAAGCGGGCGCGCGCCGCGCAGGCCTCGCCCTCGGCCTCGGTGCCGCCCACCCAGGGCACCATCGAAGAGGAAGCTGCCGCCGGACTGGACGAGGCCGGCGCGGCCCCAGCTCCAGGCTCCCCCGAGGCCCTCGAGGAAGAGGCCGGCCAGCAAGGCGCCTTCAACCCGGAGACTGGCGAGATCAATTGGGATTGCCCGTGCCTGGGCGGCATGGCCCACGGCCCTTGCGGCGACGAGTTCAAGGCTGCCTTCAGCTGCTTTGTCTTCTCGAAGGAGGAGCCGAAGGGCATGGATTGCATTGACAAGTTCAAGTATGGGGAAATCTCGTTTGTGGCGAATGCGATGGACGGCTAACACGAGTTCGCAGGGGCATGCAAGACTGCTTCAGGCAATACCCGGACATCTACGGAGAGGAGATTGCCGACGACGGTGCCGACGACAACGACAACGATGTGGACTCGTCAGTAGGCCAGGACTTGGCTGCTACCCCCGCCGTGACGCCCTCTGGCGGCCACGAGCGCGCCGAAAAGGTCGCGGACCACAAGCCTCACCACCCTCCTTCTCCGGAGCACGAGGTCAAGGGCCGGACGGAGCGCGCGAAGAATGCGTCGCAGCAGGTCAAGGACACGCACGCGGCGCTGGAGCAGGCCGAGGCCGAGGCAGTTGTTCCCAAGGAGTGGCACGAGAACAAGTAAATGGGTGGGGAGCACAAAAAGGTGTGTTTATTGGGGGGAGGGAGATGGCATAGCATTTTGGCGCAGATAGAGGCATCTCCACTGTGGAAAATGGATACTGTAGTAATAAAAGGATCTATGTATAGATGCTGATGTCGTCGGGCCCACACGGACGCGGCTGGACTCAGTCGACGCCGTGGCTAGCGGCATATGACGTCAATCGCGCTTCGCCGAAGCCTTTCAACCTGAATCCTTGCGCCTGCCCGCGTGCGCCTTAAACCCTCGCCCGCGCCGCTACACAAAACAACCTCTCGACATCTCTCTGCTTTGCTCTTTGCTCACATCAACTTCCCTCCCACCAACAACTACTCCATCACCCACTTCACCGCAACCATGTCTTACGCCGACATTGCCGCCAAGGGCCCTCAGCAGTCCGCTGAAGAAGTAAGTCTAACGCCACGCCACGTCTCTGCCGCGCAATGCTAACCTCGGCTCCAGGCGTAAGTCTCTTCCATCCTCCGTGATATGCTTGTCATCGGCGGTGGTGTTGAGTATGCCGTCGTGGATATTGCCATGTGCATCGCTGTCGCGCGTCTGAGGAAGCGGTCGGTTGCCTTCATATCCCACGAGGAGATACACTCTGGTCGATGAAATGCTTCGGTCGCCTCCTCTGCGCGTTGGCATTGCCAGCTCTGGTAGCCAGCGAGGACGAGCCAGTCTCCGGCAGTCCGCGACACGCCATACCACACGTCCCCGCGTCATCTCGCGAAACATACCCTTGTCACACTCGTGACAGCCAATCCCCCACTCAATTGCACATCATTGCAGTTCTAACAACACGTTTTAGTCGCGCCCCTCCTGTCGCCGAGGTCAACCGCACCGACGACTCCGTGCATTCGCTGGTCGACGTCGACTCGCCGCACGTAGCGTCGGTGCCGTCGGACTTCGAGTCGCAAGACGTGCAGACGTCGACGCAAGCGGACCGGCTCGAGATTGAGGAGCAGGCGCGCCTGCACCAGGCCGAGGCGCGGGCCAAGGAGGAAAAGGAAAAGGCCAAGGCCAAGGCCCGTCGCGCCGGCCACAAGATCCACGCCAACGCCTCCAACCCCGTCGTCCTGGGCAACGCCATCACGGTCGGTGTGCTGGGCGCGGCGCTGGGCTTCGGCGCGTACAGGAAGTACACGGCGGGCCAGCTGAGCTGGAAGCTTGCTGGTGCGTGGGCGGGCGCGCTGGGCCTGTTTGGCGTTGCGGACTACTATGTCTCTCAGTAAGTTTTGGATGTCGGATATGTGGTTGGGTTCAGCTCCTGACGTTCCATTTAGATACTTCTTCCAGAAGTACCCTCCCAAGAACTAGACGGACGGCTCGTGAGGAGCGCAGGCGCTTGTTGCGGCCTTTCTCTCTTCTCTTCTCTCTTGACCAGCTTTCTTTTTCGGCTCACGACTCAATCACACCACACCTTTTGGGCGCTGCACTCTGGGCGGTAGTCTAGCGTTATGATAATGTATACCACGGGGAATTTCAATACCACTCCTGTTTCTTCCTGCATTGTGTGCATGCGATTGAGTGACAGGGTGACGTGCAAACGTGCCGACAGGCATTGGCTGATAGTGTGTATACGCTCTAAGTCCCTTTTACTAACATCTAGGAATTAGACTTACAGCTAGACAAAGACTACTCTATAGGGACTAACTATATTCTTCCCTGTCTCACTAGACAGTGAATTTCGGTTGATGATAACGGACGTCAGATCTCTATCCAATCGTCGCACAGTTGATACGGTGGCAGGCGAGAGCATTCCGCCCGACACCTCGACGCGACCATCATCACCTCTTCCATCGACCCCGCAATCCAGCTGCGTCATACATCACCACCACCCCAGCCTATAGCACGAAAAGCAACGTCGGCTGCGCGTCTGCCGCCATGCATGCGCCCTCAAGAACGTGTAGCTACGGCGCTCGTCACGCCGCTTGCGGCGGAATGCTCGCGTGTGGTCGCGCGGGACCCTGGATGCGCTTCCCGGGACCACGCTGCCATTGGAAAGGCGCTTTTCCGCAATCGAGTGTATGTCTGGACGCGTTGCGGGATCGTGCGAAATGGTAGCGGACTAGGTGCCACCGAGCGGGGTCCTTTATATACCTGCTCTGGTGCGTCGTTTGCGTTTCTGGACGAGGCATCTCTCTGTTGTGGCATGGCAGTCATGTGGCTCTCGTGCGCATGTTTGTGTGTTTTGTTTGCGGCCGGTAAGTCTTTGTCTCGCTGAAATGTCGCGTTGGAGCGCTCGCTGATGGAACAAGGCTCTGCCCGGCTGGTGACCGTGCCGTCGACACCGTTCAGGGAGACATATGGGAGCTTGTCGCTTTCGAGCCTCCGCAGTATTACGGTCGACTCTCACTATGCCAACGCTACCAATAAAGAGGGAGAGACACTCATTCCGCCTACCTTGCACCAGTTCGCGCGGACGTTTGCCGATGACCTAGGCTCGTCTTGCGGTGTGAATCTCTCGATTGTTCAGTCATCGAAGCCAGCAAATGGGTCCATATTCCTCACGCTAGATCACGAGACCGAGTTCCTCGATGCGGCCGGCCGGCCCACGTCCGAGGGGTACTCCATCTCAATCAGCACGAACGGCGTCGTGGTCGCGGGCGCCAGTCCGCTGGGCGCGTGGTGGGGAACGCGGACGCTCATCCAAGCAGCCGTGCTCCAGAACAACACGCTCGCGGCGGGGACAGCCATCGACGCGCCCGGCTGGGGCACGCGCGGCATCATGCTCGACGCCGGGCGGCACTACTACCCGCCCGGGTTCCTGGTCGAGATGTGTTCGTACCTCAGCTTCTTCAAGCAGAACACGTTTCACGTGCACCTGAGCGACAACACGGGCAGCGTGCACCTGGACGACTACGGCTACGAGATGGGCCTGTATGCGGCGCTGCGACTGGACTCGGACGCGCCGGCCGTGGCGGGCCTGAACAGGCGGCGCAACGAGTCGTACACGCGCGCCGTCTTCGACGACGTCCAGACGCAGTGCGCTCGGCGCGGCGTCACTGTCGTGCCTGAGATCGAGGCCCCAGGGCACGCGCTCGTCATCTCGCAGTGGAAGCCCGAGCTGGCGCTCGCGTCCGACTACAGCATGCTCAATATCAGCCACCCGGAGACGGTGCCGACGGTGAAGGCGATCTGGAAGACGTTTCTGCCGTGGTTCCACTGCAAGACCGTCCACATTGGCGCCGACGAGTACGACGACGAGCTCGTCGCGCAGTACAACGACTTCGTGAACGAACTGAGCGCTTTCATTGCCAGCGAATCGGGCAAGCACACGCGCATATGGGGCACCTTTCCCCCGTCGGCCAAGTACACCAACAACGTGCACCGCAACATCTCGATCCAGCACTGGGCGTTTACGGAAGACAACCCGTACCACGAGTACATCGCACGTAACTACAGCGTCCTCAACTCCGACGACGCCTTCTACATCGTGGCCAAATACAGCCGCAGCTACCCGCAAACGCTGAACAAGACGCGCATCTTCCACGGCGACCCCAGCGGTGGCGCATTCGCGCCGCACATCTTCGACACCAAGAACGCAAGCAACAACGCCCCGCGCGCCCACCCCGCCCTCCTCGGCCACGTCGCCCCGCTCTGGAACGACTTCGGACCCAACGCCACCGTCTACTCGGAAGCGTACTACGCGTGGCGCGACCTGCTGCCCGCGCTCGCAGACAAGCAGTGGGGCGGCGACGTCGCGGAAGCAGAGTACGACGGCGCGTTCGCGCGGCTGCACGCGGCTGTTCCCGCGCAGAATCTCGACCGCGCGGTCACGAGCCGGGGAAGGACGATTCTGCGCTACGACTTTGGCGGCAGTGATAGCGACGGCGTGGCCGAGGCTGCGGACGGCGGCGGTAGTGTGGTCGCTGTCGCGGACACGTCGGGCAATGGCTATGATGGCGTGGTGCATGGCTGCGCGGTGAGCGGCGGCGCTGTGCGCTTCGATGGGTCCTGCAATGTCGCGACGCCGCTGCGCAGCAAAGGGCGCGGGTACCGGCTGGCGGTCTCGGTGCGCGTGGACTCTGTGCCCGCAGAGGACTCAGCCGCAGTGCCCGGTAGTAGTGGCGGCGGCGCGCTCCTCAGCGGCGCGGACTCGGCGCTGCTGCTGCAGCCGCGGGCGCGGAACGGGGTCGGCGTGGCGCCCGTGCTCGTGGCGAGCGGGTTCGGCGTTGGGGTCGAGTATGCGCTGCCTGTGGGGGAGTGGGTGGATTTGGCCGTGGTGGGGGAGGCGGGGAGGACGTTTTTGGATGTTAGGGAGGGTGGGAAGGAAGAGGGGAGGGTGGAAAAGGAAGTGGGGGAAGAGGGGAGGGTGGGCGTGGAAGAAGAGGTGTGGGCGGGCGAAGAGGAAGATGGGAATGTGGGCGTGGAGGAAGAAAAAGGTGAGTGGAAGAGGTACGAGTTCAGAGTCAGCATGGGGATAATGGGGCAAGAGATTGTGGAGGGGCCGGTGGCGATTGAGGCGCCTGTGGGGAGGATAGGGGGGGAGGGGTTCGTGGGCGCTGTGAGGGGGGCGGTGCTTCTGGAGGGAGAGGGGGGTGAGGATGGGGGATATTGAGGTGGTGCGTGTGTGTGTGTGGAGAGAGTGAGGCGTAGGCATCAGAGCGACATGAGCTCCACACTTACCTCTCCACGCTCCAATCAAAGCCAAACATCAAGCCCAACTCTAAGTCCATGCCACAAGTTTTACACATTGCACACAGTTAGTTTTGTTTTCCCGCAAGCCAACGCATGTCTCGTTCTCTTGGAAACTCAAAAAAACCTCCTCCAGCCCACACCGGCCCGGGCCGGCCTGGAATAGGATAGACTAACAACCGCAGCAGATGTCTGCATCCTCGTCCTCGCTCGAGGGGGGGCTGGCTTAAAGGACTCTAGGTACTACACGCCTCCTACATAGTAGTAGCGGTTACCGCCTCCTCCTCCTCGCCTTCCTGCTGCTCGCGCACGAGCGTGCGGTAGTTAGTATATACACGGCTAAAGCCTACCTACCTAGTATACATGTAAAACTCGACCGTACAGCCAGAACCCAAGCACACCGCAAGCCTACTCGCATTCATCACTGCCTCGCTACAAGGCACACAGTAGGCAGTGCCAGGACAGCGTAGCAAGGCTTCTAAGCTGCAGTTGATTGTATCCAGGAGTCAGACGTACGGGTAGAGACGAAGTATTTCGTAGGGACTAATTGTATTCGTCACGGTCTTTCTAGGCGGTAGGTCGTATATGATAGTAACCATAGAGTGTGTAAACTCTTAACGCATTTACGTGTTTCGAAGAACGAGACACGCAGCTAGAGGAAAAGCAATCTACAGAGCCTAGATATATATATTACCATCTAGCCAGATAGTAGGCGGTACAAGGTATCGACACAATCGCCAACACGCTCAGGCATCCTCGCACGTGTTTAGAATTCGGATACGCAGCTAGAGAAAAAGCACGTCGTACGGACTACGCGCATCCGTTCCTATCTTACTAGCCGGCGTATCCAGCTTACGCGTGTACGTAAGCGGTAAGTCCCAGCGTTGCGAGGCGTATAATATATAGAGCGTAGTATAGATATATATACTATCTATATACGCGAGAAAGGATAGGTAGTTATATAGTTATATAAACTATATATATTCGCGTGGTCTAGTTTAGACAGCTGTATATATGCAAGAAAGGTCGCTGGGAATTGGGTAGGTGTGTAGATTTATTTAGGTCTACGACTAAACTCTCTCTAGCCTACTAACTAGCTGACTGACCCTCCGCGAAAAAGGACCGTGTGTGCTGTATGTGCAAAGTAGGTAGGAAACCCCCTTATATACTCAACCCCCCCCCCCCCCCCCCCCCCCCCCCCTCACCCCCCCCCCCCCCCCCCCCCTCCCTTCCCTCACTTTAAACCCACTCCCTCCCTCCCTCGCCACCATCACCACAACGCCCCCAATCTAAGCGCCCCCATTACTCGCGATAATGAGGCTCCCGCCGCGAATATAGCCGGGCGCATCACTGGTGCCCAGCTCGCCCTGGACAGCACTGCTCTTCAGCAGGGCCTTGAGGGCCTTGGGCGTATACCCGGGGTTGCCACCCAGATAATACGCCAACAAGCCCGCGACATGGGGCGTCGCCATGCTCGTGCCGGAGAGAGACGCATACGCGCTGCTGCCCGTGTTGTACGCGGAGACGACGTCCTCGCCCGGCGCGTACACGTCGACGCAGGCGCCGCTGTTGGAGAAGTAGGCGACGGAGTCGTCGATGTTGCTGGCGCCGACCGTGTTGACGTCGCTGTTGGAGCCGCCGAGCGCAGCGGGGGAGGTGTCGCATGCGTCGGCCGCGTCGTTGCCTGCCGCTACGGCGGCGTGCACGCCTGCGGCTACGAGGTTCTTGAGTGCGGATTCGACGGCCGTGCTCCGCCCGTTGAAGCCCAGGGACAAGGAGGCCACCGAGGGGCCGCCTGTGCGCGAGTGCTGCTGCGCGACGTAGTCGAAGCCGGCGATGAGCTGGGCGGGAGAGGGGGGGTTAGTGGGGGTGTTTTTTGGGGGGGGTGGGGTTTGGGTGATGGGGGGAGAGAGCTTACGCCAGTGGAGGTGCCAGAGCCCGAGTTGTCGAGCACCTTGACGCCGACGAGGGTGGCTTTGGAGGCGATGCCGACGGTGGAGCCGCCGATGGTGCCGGCGCAGTGCGTGCCGTGGCCGTTGCCTGTGTGCGTCGTTGTAGTTAGCAAGACCGTTCAGTGAAGAGGAGGAGCAAAGGGAACACCACGCACCATCCGTCTTCTGGTTGCTGTAGTAGGTGTAGCCGATGGACGCGCGGCCGCCAAACTCCTGGTGGCTGGCATAGACGCCCGTGTCGATGATGTAGACGGTGACGCCGCTGCCGAGCGCCGCGTCCGAGTAGGTGTACGTGTAGGAGCGGGCGGTGACGCTCTTGCTGCCGCGCGAAATGGTCGGGTCCTGCGAGATGCGCTGCAGGCCCCAGGGCGCGGAGCCGCGCGTGGCCTCGAGCTTGATGGGGATGACCTCGCCGACGGCGGCGACGGCGTCCATGGCGTTCAGCGTCGTGATCTCGTCGACGGTGATGGCGCCCGAGAAGCCCTTGAAGTGGCTGTTGTTGTACGTGGCCGTGATGGCGTCGTGGTCGACGTGCAGGCCCAGCTGCGCCAGCGTGCTCGCCACGTCTGCGTCCGGGCTCATCACCACGTCGTACTCTTTGGTGTCGCGGCGGCGGTTGTCGGGCGTCGTGGGCGCTGCCAGCGCCAGCGCTGCACTGAGCAGCTGCGCGAGTGCCGTGTACTTCATGGTGTTGGTGGAGAGTGCTGGGACCGGTCGATGCGAGTGTGCTGCTGGTGCTGCTGCTCTGCTGGGCGGGTCTGTTTGTTGTACGGCGGCTGTCTTCCTGCTTTATATACCTTCCATCCCGTATCCCAGACGGCGAGCTCGTGGCAACCATTTCCCCAAGTCGCCGTCCACATCACCACCATTACCACCACTCTCCACCGTCCGACATGCCGGCCGACCAGGCAAGACATGCATAAAGTATTGGCTTGGCAAGTCGCCATCGGTATCGTCAAGTTTCCCCAAGGCAGATAGTGTAGGGACGGTGGTTTGATAGAGGCAGGTCGGCAGGGCCAAGGCAGGCCAAGCTTCTGCACTCGACCCAGGCCGAGCGGCAGACTGCGAGAGCCGCTCGCCGCCGTCCGCCGTGCTGCGAGGGCCAAGACAAGCCCCGCCTGCAGGTACGGAGGCTGTCAAGTGCCAGTTGCCTCATCCGGGCACGCGCCCTCGGCGACTTGTGACTTCATCTCGGCGGCCTCTGACACCATTCCCGCGCCGCCAATACCGGGTGTTCCAAGCTCTTTCAGACAGGCGAATCTCCACTCACGAAATGGGAGGAGGCGAGGCGTGGTGGACGAGCAAAATCAAAAACAGGCGAAGTGGTGGAAAGTTGGTGGCAGGGGAAACAGGGGCCCAGAAAGCCGATGCCGGTTCTCGCCGCCGCTCGTCGTCGTCGCCGCAACAGCGCATCGCAACAACGCAACGCAACGCAACGCGAGCGATTGTTTCTCCTCCATCAGGAAGGCCGCAAACCCGTCGTACGAAGAAGCAGCGCCAACCATGCCGAACTCTCAAGGTGGGCAGCAGCCAGCACGAGAGCTCGCTGCACGGCGATAAGGCCGCCGTGCATCTGCATCCAACCACCACGACGACCCTGCATCATCCAACACCAATGCACCTCGGCCTCATCCAGGCAGGTGCGTGAGCGCGCGGGAGAGAGAGAGAGAGAGAGAGAGAGATAGAGAGAGAGAGAGAGAGAGAGAGAGAGAGAGAGAGAGAGAGAGAGTGTGTGTGTGTGTGTGTGTGTGCGTGCGTGCAAGTGTGTGAATAGCAAACGCATACAAGCACGACACACGTCCGCGCGCCAACCACGTACTGTACTGCACCACACCTCCAAACAAAGAAACAAAGATAGAGAAACACCACCACACCACCACGCACCGCTATCGCGTGCTCGCAGCTACCTATCGCACATCAACACGGCGGCTCGCGCCTCGCCTCTCTCGATCCCTCTGCACGCACACACACATACGTATGTACATGTGCCCCGAACGAGAAGGTCACGGGCTCGTCGGGCGGCGGCGACATGGCCGCATGGGGAAGGTGTGGAGGGGTAGGTAGGTACGCGGTAAGGTTTGTTTGAGTAGACTGTAGGTAGACTGTCCGTGGGCGAGTGACGCGCAGGATCGACGCCGGGGGGGGCAGATAACGACGACACGGCCTGACGGGCAGGTGGGCGATGGATGCTTGCACACACACACAGCTCGCGACGGAGAATTACATAGGTAGCGCCGGTGCGGAAATCCATGGGGACGCTGCTTGCTTGCAGCCAACACGAGCCTGCACCTGCCGCTTTGGTGGTTAACAGGCTGCGTATGCGTAAGCGTGCTCGCGTGAGGTGTTGACGCGACGGAGGGAGCAGATAGCGCGACGGGGCGAGAACGGTCGCGGAGGTTTTTCTTTGAGGGGGGGCTGGGTTGACTGACGTGCTGACTGGATGGATGGATGGGTGGGTGCGAGGTTGCGTGCTGCGTTGCAAAGGAAGGTCGATACGGTAGGTACTTCGTACTGTATGTAAGGCAGGGTTCCGTTGGGGGTGGGGGAGGGGCATAGCAGCAGCCACGCTACGCCGTACGCCTGCCTACCCACCCACCTACCCACCACACCCACCATCACCGCCTCGTAGGCCACACGGCCCAGCGCGCCAACGACAAACGTGTAGCAGCGTGTCCAAACTCTAGAAACAAGCGAGAGGGTCTTAGGGGGATGCGCCTCCGACTATTATTCCGTCTGTTTCTGTTTGTCTGTCGAGATAACAATATGTATAAGTAGGTAGGCCCTACAGATTGCTTAGATCTCCTCTAGCTATATATCTCGTTCTTCGAAATATTGCAACATGGCCGCAGAGTACCTATGCATGTGTGATGGTGTTCTGTGCTTTGGTTGCGTGGTTGCTGCTTCTGCTGCTGCTGCTTCTTCTTTCGTCTTCCTCGTGCGTGTGTGTGTGTGTGTGTGTGCCAGAAGAAGTTCCAACCGCCATAGGTAGGTAGGCAAGAAACAGCGAATGTATAATCCCACCTACAGCCTACAGCCGGGCCCCTTCCTTCCCCTTCCCCTCCCCACCTCCTCCCCCCTCTTGCCCCTTCACTCCTCCTCCTCCTCCTCCTCCGTCGTCGTCGTCGTCGTCGCTCGGCTCAACAAGCACAACCAGCTTCCCAAACTGCGTGCCAGCCTTCATGTCCTCGAACAGGGCGTCCACGGCCGCCAAGTCGCGCAGGCCGGGGCCGGCGCTTACGGCGCGCGAGACGATGGGGGCGAGAGAACCTCCTCCTACAGAACCTCCTTCTGCGGTGGAGTCTCCTGTGGAGTCTCCTCCGGCCGCCGCCACCGCAGCAACCATGGCGGCAAACTCGGCGCGCGAGCCCATGGTCGTGCCGAGGACGGAAATGTTGCGCAGCACGGCGCCCATGCTGTAGGTGATGGCGGGGCCGAGCGTCATGCCGTAGATGACGATTGCGCCGCCGGGCTGTTGGTGTTAGTGTCTGTAGAGATGAAAGAAATGGAGGAGAGGAAGGGAGATAAGGAGGGGGAAGAGAGAAGGGGGTACCTTGAGTAGCTTAACGCCCTTATCAACGACATCCCCGCCCGCGCCATCGATAACGACGTCAAACCTCTCGCCCTCCGGCAGCAGCGCAAGCAGTTTCCTCTCCCACGTCTCCTCTTTATACACGACCCCCCCACAAACCCCCAGATCCCTCCTCGCGCGCTCCAATTTCTCCTGCGTCCCACTCGTCACCCAGACCTCGGCCCCGGCGCCCTTCCCCCCCGCAAACAGCGCCGCCATCTGCGCGACGCCGCCACCAATCCCCGTCACCAGGACGCGCTTGCCCCGGCCCCCCTTGGACGGGACGTGCAGCCCCGCCTTCCTTACCACAGCTCTGTAAGCAGTCAGCCCCGCGAGCGGCAGCGCCGCGGCCTGCGCGTCGCTGAGATGCGGCGGGGCGGGCTCCACCATGCCCGCGTCGACGACCACCTCCTCGCTCAGCGTCCCGAGCGGGACACCACTTGTCCCACCCAGAATCGCGAACGCCTTGCCGCCGTCCTCGGGGGCGTGCGCGTCAGAAGCCCAGCCCACGCAGGGGCACAGCACGACGCGCTGTCCGAGCCAGTGTTGCGCGCTGGGGGCGGAGCCGGTCGCGGTCACGACGCCGCAGCCGTCGGCGAGGAGGGGGACGGCGAAGGCTGTCCCGGGGTAGAGGTGTTGACGGATGAAGAGGTCGCGGTGGTTGAGGGCGGCGGCGGAGATGCGGATGCGGAGTGAGTTGGGCTGTAGGGGTGTGCTGGTGGGGGGGAGGGCGACGTGGGTTAGGGCGTAGTAGACTTGTCCTGGCTTGCCGGCGGGGCCGGAGATGGCGATTGCGCGGGGCATGGTTGTTTGGTGGTGGTGGTGGTGGTTTCGTAGATGCGTAGGACGATTCCCCGCAAGCCCGCGCTTTTGTGGGTGGACCCTGTGTGGGGTGCCGAGGTCTGTCGGCATGCATGGGCCAACGTGGGGAACGAAGACTGTCAAAGCCGTATGTACATGGTCTTCTTGCTTTCAGTTCCTCCTCACTGCTCAGAACATATGCTAATTCACAATGCATCCCTACGGGCAAAGAAACGATCGCTTGCTCTTTTAAACATCCCACCCGCCATGCACGCAAAAAGTAACAATATACAAAGAGAAAAGAAGCTCAAACCCCGCCCTCACAGCTCCCCATCGCCCAGCAGCACAGCCTGTGCGCCATCCGCCCGCTTCACCGGCGCAAAAAACTCCTTGAAAATAGCCTCGAGCGCCTCGTCGTCCAGCTCCATGTGCGCGCCCGTCATGTTCCTAAACACCAGCCCGTCCTTCTCATCCAGCTGCTTCAAGCCCAGCCAGTCCTCCGTATAGACGGGCCGGTCGCGCAGCTGCGTCACCTCGCCCGTCGTGCCATTGACCTCGGCGAACCAGCCCGTCTCCTTGGGGATGACGGTCGTGTCCTCGTCGAAGACGTACATGGCGAACTTGTCCAAACTCGCCAAGTTCCTCTTGTACGTCTCGTTCTTGAGCTCGCGCTCATTGTTGATATCGGCGAGGAAATTCGACGCAGCGAGATAGTCATCGGAGCCCAGGCCGGTCGACTCGTTCAGCTCGCGGTAGTACTGGGCAGGGACGACGCGGCGCTGGACAAAGCCGGACCAAGCATTCGAGCGCAGCAAGCCCATGGCGCCGCGACAAAGCCAGTCGGTCGGCGCGCACGTCTGGAAGCGCGCAATGCCGTTGTGCTGGCTGCCGAGGGTGACGAGGGCGCGCACAGGCGGCACGTTGCAGCGCTCGACAAAGGCGCGCAGGAACTGGCCGCCCTGCGAGAAGCCCAGCGCGTTGATGGCCGGCGCGGCCGCGAGCACGGGCTGCGCGGCCAGCTGCGCGCACACGGCCGCCACCTGCTCCGTCACGTTGCCGAGGAAGGTGGCGGTGCGGTCGCTGCCCGCGTCGTTGTCCAGCCGGATGTTGTACACGAAGGTGCCGGGGTTGGCTTTTTCGGCTAGCTCGCCCACCGCTTGCAACCCTTCGCCGAGGTAGTTGTCGCCGAGGCCGTGCCAGATGACCAGGGGGAGCGGGGCGCTGCTGTCTGTGGTGGTGGTGGGGAGGGCGGCGGCGCTGCTGGAGAGCGCGAGGAGCGCGGGGAGGGCGGCCGTCCGCATTGTGTGTGTGGCGTGTGTGGTGGTGTGGAGGAGAGGTGGTGGCGGAGGTTGTTGTTTGGGGAGGTGAAGATGGATGACGACGCGGTGGTGGCCAGAGCTCCGAGCTTTGCCGATCGCCGCATCACGACCCGGAGGTGATTCTGCTGATTTATGGAGTCACTGTTGCCGTATGTAAATCATAGCTGTCTAAGCCTATCATGTCGATATAAACTCCGTCTCTTCGGCGTTTAAATAACAGTCATGCCTACACACTCCTGTATGTAGATGAGAACGCTCCCTGTAGATCACTGCTTATGTAGATGAAAAGCTTGCATTCGTAGCTAGTATCATCGCTTAAGAGGGTCTGTAGATTGTAGTGATGTCTCCGCCCCCGACCGCTGTAGCAATTTGAACCTGAGCTCTTTCCATACCGATGATTTTGTCGTTGGCCTTTTCTAATCTACCCTAAACCCCTTGACCTTTGTCCCCGGCTTTTCCAAATCGCTGTTTGGCTGAGAGATGTGCAGGTTATGTGACACAAGAAAGAATGGAGAGGCAATTCAGTGGAAATAAGTTTGAAGGAGTGTGAGCAGTTGGAAGCAAGTAGGGAAGTAAACAGTGAAAGCGAACTAGAAGAGTGAACAGAAAGTAGTGAATGGTAGGAAATAAGTATGGAATTGACAAAGGAAAGCGAGGAAAGGAACAAGATGGAAGACGGGTTGGCTCTGTGCTGTTGAGTTATGCAGTGCTTTTCTGTTGTCAAAAAGCCGGGGGTGTTAAAGGAGTGTTAATATGTTTGAGAGCTGCTTCTCGTTGTCGCAATTGAATCAGTACTGTCTCGTGCGTGTCTAAGCGACAGGTTACTTCCCAGTGCGCTATGATAGGCGTCAGTACATATTTCCGTTTTCCAAGAATCGCTTTTCAGCTCTCACCCGAGACCAATGCTCACTAGCTTCTCTCTGGAACCTGATTTCCTCGTCGTGGTTCTCCGGGTCTCCGACACGATATGGCAGACGATCGGGCACTCCAGTCATGCCCCGAGCCATAGTGTTAAGAAAATCATCGCGAGTCCGCTTCCAGTCCTCTTCCGGGAGCTTCAAGAGGTCGTCCCATGTGACAGTCTTACCTCCGCGGTTCTGGGATTCAAGCCACCTGCCTACGCCATCGTCCCAGATCTCGCAAAGCTCTTGGTGAAGTGCCAGTACTGCCATTGGGCCGTCCACTGTTTCGCCGTTGAGGTACGCCATGGCAACCCCATTCATGTATTCTTTGCAACCACCAAAGCTGCGTCTTTCTTTTACGCGACGCGCGCATTGGTCCATGTACTCTTGGTATGGGAAAGCATCATCGTGCCAGCCGTACTGCGCAGATGTCAAGCCGAGAATGTAGTCTTCGCCGTTCTTGACTTTGATCCGGAGAACGTGGTGGTCGTATTGGGTGGGATCGTGCAGTCCACTGGGTTTGATATGCCTGACGTTCCAAGTTTGGTTCTTGACCTCTAGGTCTAACTCAGCGAACGGGTTGGGGGCTTGAGAAACAAGTCCTGTGTCTGGTCAGCTTTTTCCACAAAATATTAATTCCGTCGCAGGATCTAATGCGTACCCGAAAGAACGGATTTGATGGTCTCGTGCATGTACGCCACAGCGTCCATGCACATGATATCACACAAAATGGCCTTCTTGACTTCCTCATTTTCAACCGAGCTATCCAGAAAACTAAACGTCATGCGTCCTCCCCTCTGCTTGCGAGCAAGTTGCATATCGCCCTCAGTGACGAGAATGTCATTTTTAACAATCTCGACTCTTTCAACCAGTACGTCGTACGAGATTCTGCGGTAGACAAGCCACGCATCCTTCAGCAACTGCGCAGCGCGATAGAACCGCTTGCGGACAATGAGGCTCCAGCAAGTCTTTTTGTGAACTTCCCAATGGGCTTCCTGGCAGTTCCTGCTGCAGTAGAAGGTTATCCGTGAGCCGGGAATGCCTCTGCATCCAGTACACTGCCCTCTCGCCGTTTGGTTGCCACAGGGACATGCTCCAAATGGTCGCGTGTCAATCCTGTTGCTGAATGAGACCGGTTGGGTGTTTGCTTGAGAAGGCTGGATCGGTCCGGCTTCCTGCACGCGGCGTGTGGTCGCGTTGAGGCCGCGTAGGAAACCGGGCAAGTTGTACATAGTTCTGGGTGTTGAAGTTGTTCCTGAGTGTAAGAGTTTGAAGCGGAATGGATGGACAATTTCCGGTTTCTAAGTTCTTGGTTAGCGGGTTTATATACCCAAGAAGTTGGGGAACAGCGTTGTCCTGTGGCTGACCAGTTTGCTTGCCTGCAGTTCTCATTACTAATTGGCAAGTACTTGCTTCTTCGCTTGTGATCTTAAAAGACAAACCAAATGGTACAATGGTGTTGGTTTTAACCAATCGCAATCGCAAGGGAGAGGTTTTCAGTGCGGAACACATGCGGAAATCTCGCCTATTATGCCAAACTACTCTATATACTTCTGTATTTATATCTTTTTAAAACCCTTTATACCTAGTATTTTTTTTACTTCTATACAGTTATATAGAGCCCTCTAGCCGTAGTGTAATAGTCTATTATAACTACTTACGGAGTACTCTGTAGGTATCGTGGATTTTATAGTTAAGGGGCGGGCAAATTATCCGGGGCCTATGCGAAGGCATTAAGATAGTGAGTCATGCAATTATCATGCAAACATCTCAGTGGCAGTCAGCTGGGACACTTCGCTTGGCGAAATCAATCTTGTTGGAAAATCATGGTATTGGAGTCCGCTATCTAGCAATTTGTATAGTCTCGGCTTCAGTGATCAATTTTGGTCATTTCCCTTTCAGCAGTTTTTCCTTGTCTTTTCCAGTCAAAGCCCGTTGTCAATTTGTGCCGTCCATAAGCCATTGATATCCCTGTTTCCTTTCTAACTCAGTCATTTCGTCAATTTGTTCCGCCGATGTGTTGTCAATCTGCCATGTGTCCCTTCTGGCCAAGGTTTGCTGTTTCAGTCTGGTCCAAGTCCTTTTGTGTCGCTATTAGTTTGATTGAGGTGCAATTTGTGTAAAGAAAAAGATGAGAAGAGTGATCCGAGTAAGAGCAAGTACTTTTGTTGTAGAAGCAAGCATAGGGAAATTGGTCATTTGACTCTGTGCTGTTGAGTTGTGTAAATGCCTTCCATGTTGCCAGAGGCCAGGAATGTTGAAGTGAGTGTCAATCTTTTTGTTATTTGGTCCAATGAAAGATTCAGAAAAGTCCTATGTAGAGACATCGATCGATCTTGATATTTTGAAAGGATGCCATCGCACTATCTCCGAGGTTCTGGTGCCTTGTTGTGTATCAGAAAAAGAATTTGAAGGCTAGAGCATCCTTCCTGGAATCTTCCAGGTTCCTCCTGAACGTGATGATATCTTTTTGGTACTTGGCATTTGCCTTCTCTGTCGTACCCACGCGATATGCATGTTGATGTTCATCGTCATCGAGCTCGGGCAATTTGGAGAGGTACTCCCATAGCTCATTTTCATCCCATTCGAAATAGTTACCCTGAGTCTTCAAGTACTTGTTCACCGTGAATGTAGGATCCTCTCTCAACATGGTCCTGTGAAAGCTCTTGAATGACTTCTCCAATCCTTCTTCGAGTTCATAGCGGAATGCTCTAAGTGGAGCCTGAGAGTTTTGCGGCTGACCTTTGAAGTAGGCTGCGACAGAAAGGTCTGTCAGAGCTTTGTTGCTGCCAAATGGATTTGTAGTGATTCTGTCAGGTTCCACACGCTCCTCGATGTATTCACTGAGTGGCATTGCCGCTTCGTACCAGCTATATTGAGCTCCCGTGAGGTCCAGAACGTAGTGTTCGCCGTTACTCCGTAGAACTGAAAGAAAGTGGTGCACATTGTCCGCAACATTACAAGAACCGTCTGACGCAATGTATCTGACTTCGCAGGCTTTGTTCTTCAACTTGACAGTTTTCTCGGTGACACTTGTCTCGATATCTGAGACGAGTCCTGTATTTGGTCAGATCTGGTTCTCATATCTCCTTGGACCGGTATGCTTCTCACCGTTAAGGAAGTACTTGATGGTCTTGTGCATGTACGCCAAGGCATCCCAGGACGTCAAGCTACACGAAATTGCCTCTGTGTCCCATCCAGACGGGATCTTGTTCCAAGGGAATCGGAACGCTACGTGCGCCCTGCTCTCGGAGACCGTTTCTCTCCTGTCTTTTGTGAAGACAAGTAGGTTGCCGTCTTTGACTTCTACCTTCGATATAGGAATTTCGTATGACGCCCGACGAAATGCATGCCATAATTCTTTTAGAAGATCTGCAGCTCGGTAGAACGCCTTCCGAACCTGAAGGCTCTCGCAGGTTCCCTTGTGTGATGTCCAATGAGCTTCCCGACAACTGCTGTCGCAGTAAAATGTGGAATGTGAGCGTGGAACGTCTTTGCAGTCGTTGCAGCAGTCCGTGGCTGGCTTTCCGCAGTGGGCGCATGATGAGGTAGTGTTAGCCTGTGAGGTAAGCTGCGGCTCGTCTTGTGGCGTGTCCATTCCGTGGACGTTGACGTTTCCGTCACTTGATATCGAGAAGAGGCTGATACCAACACCGAGGATTTTGTCAATGGAGGGTTGAGATCGGGCTTTGGCGTCAGTGTTGAAGAGCGGGAGGCGGTTGTGTGAGAGAAGGAGAGTGGAAGAGAGAGGCAGAGAGGGAGGCGGTCTTGAGTTTTATGAGCTGAATGGCATTGATCTCAACCGACAGTTTACGGAAAGAACGAGAACCCTTCTACTAGCGGTGAAGGATCGGCGTCAAGCGACAAGGAAAAGGTGCTCAGAAAGGCAAGATCTCAGTGTGAAAGTGAAGTGGCTCGCACTTTGGCAAACAAAACCTTTTCAACCATGTATGTATTCGCCATACCTTTGCCCCTGTTACCGAGCTCACTTTTCCAAACTATGTGACTGGCTTCGGTCTGATCTTCATTGCTTGGCATTAACCAAGATTTTTCATAGTATACTGACGTCGGCAGCCGACAAATTAGAGCAATAAATCTTTCGTGAGGTGGAGTTTAACAATCACATGCCAAACAATGCCGAGGCTGGCTCAAGACCACGTTCCCATGAAATCCTAACGGGTAAGGCGCCGAATAATTTGCCCACCACCTCTAGATATCTTACCCATCCCACGTAATGATATACCTATAAAACTATATAATATACTTTCTACTCTTAGATCGTTTATACCTCTATACCTTTAAAGAACACTTCAGACCTCGTGTTTATTTTTCCTATTATATCTTTCTAAATATTATTACACCGTATATCTTTTTATTTTTATGTAGATATATGGTGCCTACTAGCTGTACTATTATACTCTAATTACAACTACCTAAGAAGTACTCTGTACGTACCATAGATTTTACTCAACGTGTAGTTGAGGGATGGTCAAAATTTCTAGAAGGGGCGGGCAAGTTATCCGGGCCAACAAGGAAATGTCCAAGTAGAGCGGTGCTGTTTTATAGTAGGCTCGGGTTTTTGACTCGCTGTACGTAGGAAATTCTTAAATTTCATATGCAGGTGAATCCAACGTAGTAGAGACAAACACTGATTGCGTAATCTGATAGAACTGCACAAAATGTCGACCATTCACAGTCTACAAAGTCAAGGTGGTACCGAACTGCCTTCCAAAGACTGTTAGTTCTCCCTGTAAAAGTTAATTTCATTGGACACTCGGAAAAATCCAATGCTACTTCTCAAGAGGGTGGAAAGGAATAACGATGAACTTAATCCAAGACCTCGAATGCCGCACCGCACAGACGACTGCAGGGCAGAATGCCGTCATGTGATGGTGACCTAGAGTAGTACACGAAAAAGCACAGGAACAAAACGAGACACATTAACGCTGTGCAACAACGCTGCGATCGTACGATGCCATACGGCGCACACGCTACACTATCATCGAAGCAGCGATCGAGGTTACCACAATGTCAGCTTGTGTCATTCCCGGCATCCAAGGCTTGATATCGGATGTGACTTCCATGTCAAAGATCTCCGGCTGCTTTGCAGAGCCGGCTCGGAGCGGACCTGGCAACCCGCAGCTCCTGGCGATGCAGTGGGGATCTTTTCCACTGCCGTCTTCCTGTAGAGGAGACGAATCTCAAGTAAGCAAAAGAAGGGTCAGCTTTAGAAAACCATGTACCAGCGGAACGTCTCCTATCATGTCATTTGCCCGATCCATTGTTCTTCCGGGTAGCCACTGGATGTCAAGCACGATCGAGGGTTCGGAACAAAATCTGCGCAATGGATGCCTCTATGCAACCTAAAAGAGGGGCATGGATTGCCATGCGTCGGGGAAATTTGCCGATCGTGCTGCATTCCGCTTGCTGTGGGAGATCCGTCAAGGGGCTGAGCGTGTGTACTACATGAGACTGTCCAATCAGCGGAGCGGAATCCATATCTTCAACATTCGAATGAGCGGCGCGGTGTCGAATGCCGAATTAATCATGGGTGGCTTATATATACGGTTCTAGGTTCAGCAAGAGTAGTTTTTTGTGGCAAGGTGCTTTACTTCCTTACATAGTAGTTGACCGGCAACTCAACAATACTCGGATCTCTCCAGACAGCGTTTAGCATTTGGTGTTGGCCCCTAGACTATCCACAACCGCATACGGAAGTAGAATCTGTTACAGCTCAGAAATTCTTCTAATATGTTAAAGTGACATTTTACTTAGTCCTCAGGCTCAACTTGTCAAGTGTTGATGAAAGCGGAATTACGCCACTGTTGGAAAGTTTGATCAGCAGCAAAGTTTTCCCGAGGGCTTAACATTAGCGTGAATAGCTCTTGCATTCCTTGCTATTTCCTCATAATGCACGTGCAATGAAGGATTGGGCTTGCCTGAGACGATGCAGTGAGGAAATAAGCCGCCAAGGCGGCAAGATTGGTAAGGCGTGCCGTGTTTGACGGCGGCTGACGGCTTCAAGTTTGCGCTAAACGGTACACCAAATTCAGCTTTTCATGTCGCTCAACGGTACTTTGGGCATGGAATAGGCGTCTCTGAATCATAAGCAGACTTGAGGCCAGAATGTGGTAGAATCCGCCATCAACCGCATCCCCGGCTCTTCAGCTGGCTTCACTTTGAGGACAAAACCGGTGAGAGTCTGACGATGGCCCTATGCAAGCCTCCCAGTGCACAGTACGCAGGTATCGTGCAGCCGGTTTCAAACCGTGCACGCGGTTGTACCACACCATGCAAGGCAGCGGCAGTGACACAAAAGAGTTTGTACCTCTGGACTCCGTGCTTCTCACATATCATCTCGGTTGCAGCCTCTGTCTTGGACTCGACTTCCCCTCGCCCCTCGAACAGGACCTTCTCTCGTCGCCTTGCGTCTGTCTTTTCACCCATGCGGTCATAGACGGAATCCGCCATGCCTGGTGGTACAGAGCCTCCGTTGTCGCTTGTTTCTGCATGGCAGACAGATTCATATCCTCATGGAATACGAAGAAATTGGGGTTTGGTCGTTTTCACCATCATCTTGTTCACCTTGACCGTTTCAGCCGTCGCCGCTAGGTTTTGGGTGAGGTTTTTTGTGCAACGGAACCCCGGAATAGACGACGCGCTTATTGTGGCTGCTTTGGTATGGCATGTTCTCGTATCTTCAATCTATTCGCTTTTATTGACTTCTGCAGCTTCCAATCACAGGTCTTGCCATTGCAACATGCCTTGGTATGCATTCTTTCAACATTCTTCAGGGATGTACTGATAGCAATACAGCTGGTCGGCTGTATGGATTTGACCGCCATATCTGGGATTTACCGCCAGATTTGGCCGTTCAGAGTCGACAGGTCTGAGCCAGCATTCACTCCTTATTCAACTTAAGCATTAACAAGCTGCAGATTCACATGGTAATAGCCGCTATGTACATGGTGAGCACCGGTCTCACGAAAATATCCATTCTCTGCTTCTACCGCCGCATGGAGGTTGGTATCATCAAAAATTGGTTTCTGTATACCGTTTGGACCGCCATAGCTTTCGTGTTCGCCTACATGTCCGCCTTCCTCTTGACGTTATTCTTTGGTTGCAGGCCAACGAGCTCCTATTGGAACAAGGTAGATCCTTCCTGGGCAAAAACACACCAGTACCACTGCTTGGATGAGGGCGCCAACATGCTGGTCGCATGTGTAGTATGCATAGTGCAGGACTTTATCGTATTTGTCTTGCCACTGCTATTGCTGAGGAAACTGGAAACTTCAAGGCGGCAAAAAATTGCTCTTGCGGTGATTTTCGGGGTGGGTTTCTTGTAAGTGTTATTGATTTCTTTGCATCCGACGTAATGGAGTTCACTATGTGCAAAGCTGACAGTGTTATGGTCTAGGCTCTGTATAACCAGTATCCTTCGTATCGTCTTCATATACAACATTTTCTACCGCACCTACGACACAACCTGGGCTGCAACTCCTGCATACGTCGTCACGGCTATAGAAGCACACCTAGCCACCATTTGCGCCAGCGCACCCGCACTTAAGTTCTTCTTCCGCAGCGTATTCTCCACCTCGAGATGCGACGCTGCTGGCCACAGTTCTGACCCCAGCAAGTCACACATGCGTGGCTCGTCCAACCCGCACACTACAAGGACCAGCAACTGTAGGTGGAGCATGCGGCAACACTATGCGCTCAGTGGTTTGTGCCCGCGGAACGCGACTGGGCACAGCACAACCGTGGCCAGCGCGTGCGAAGCGGACAGAGATACGGATTTGGACATGTCGGGGATTAAAGTTGCGCGCGAGGTGGATGTCGTTGTGGAGGATAGGAGGGGCAGTGAGGAAGAGTCGATGGACCAGCTTGCCGGCCGCAGCGAGCGCAGCTCTGAGGAATTGCGTCCCGGGACCGGGCCTTGGGTTGGTGGGTGGCGACGGTTTTCAAGGGGTGTGCGTGATGGACGTGCGGGGTCTGATAACTCTTTAGTTGATGTCGAGAATGCTCCTGGGCAAGGGATTCGAGGCTGGAGAGGCAGTGGGTAAAATTGTGGGTTCGGTGAGGCAACTTGATTTCTTTGCGTTTCTATTGATGGTAGGGGCCACAACGCCCTCTCATTTCCGTCACTATATAACGGTATGAGGTATTTTTGTCGAGACTGGATTCGATCTGGTAGCAGATAGGTACAGTTACAACTACAGGTATTGCTATTCGTTTCCGTAGTAGTGATAACCGTCTTAACTACATATAAAGCAAAGTCGACCATACCCACAACGCACTCCTTTGGCAGTTATATCAAGTTACACCACACCAATACGTAGCCTTTAATACCTACAGAAATTAAAAAGGCAGGAGGGCATAAAGGTACGTACAAGGACACAAATAAAAAAACATACGAAAGACGAGAGTATTCCAAAAAGGTACGAAACCAAAAAGCATACAAAAATACGAATATATTCAAGAGGGTACAAAGACAAGAACTCATAAAAACGCTAGGGTATCTTATAATCGTATAAATGTCTTCCACAAGCGGTACGGCAACCCCATCAAATCCCCCCGCAAGCAACCCAGCACACGCCCTCCAAAGCACTTCTTACGAAGACGCAGCTTCTCCACTCGCAGCTACACATGCCGCTTACGGGGCCACGCATGTGTACTGTTGTACTTTCATCTAGACTTCTGAGAGCGGTTGGTGCGGAAACGGAGAAGTGTGGATGAAGTGCGTGAAGTGGTGCGAGTGTGCGATTACAATGATCTACCTGTTTATGTATGTGTGTGTGTATGTGTGTGTATATGTGTGCTTGCAAGACCTGTGTCTCCGCCTCGGGAGTGCTGTTCCTGCGAGAAGGGAAGTGGGAGAGAGGGAGGTGGTTGGGTGAGTGAGAGAGAATGGGGCAAGCCAGCCGGGTGCAAGCAAGCAAGCAAGCAAGCAAGCAAGCAAGCAAGCAAGCAAGCAAGCTCTTCCTACCTTGCCTTGCTGAAGCCAACGCCAACGACAACGACCCTAAGAGCTCAGACGACAGACTAGGATAAGAGAGTGTCATTATCGTCATCGTCGTCACTTCATAGGTGCCTAGGTAGCTACTAGGTAGGAAGGATTAGAAGGCACCGGCACCAGCAGCCGCAGCATTACCACCGCACCCCTCGCCCTCCTCTTCCCCACGCACCCTTCCTCTTTCCTACCCACCCACCCCCACCCCCACCTCCACCCCGATCTCCACCTCACACGACTAATAAATCAACTGCTTCAACCACCACTTGCAGCGCTCATTCGCGGCAGGGTCCACCGCCTCCTTAATGCCACTAACGCCCAAGCGCTCGACATTCGCGCCAGCGCCAAACATCCTAAAGACGGGCACGCCAGGGACGAGGGAGGAGGGCGTGCCCGTCTCGGCAAACGTCATGATAAAGTCCTGCAGGGCGTGCGCAACCGTCACGTTCGTGTCCAGGGGCACGAAGCTGGCCGCCGCCGGCCCGCCAGGCGTGTAGTAAGTGTAGGGGACGTCCTGGCCGTGGATGGCGGGCGGGATGGCGAAGAGGTAGGCGTAGGTCTGGTTGTCGAAGGCCCAGTCCAGCGCCGCGGCGTTGCACGTGAAGCCCGCCTCTGCGAGCGTGAGCGCCGCGCGCTGGATCTCGTCGCGGTAGCCATAGCTGCCGTCGAAGACGGCCGGGTACAGCGTGTTGACGATGTAGTCGATGATGGTGCTCTTGGCGCTCGGCACCAGGTCCTTGACAAACGTGAGATAGCCGTCCGAGTCCGTCAGTGGCGGCGCGAACAGCAGCCCCTCGTTCTCGTTGTGCCCGACCAACAGCGTCACGTTTTGGTCGAACTGCCCGTGGTTGAGCAGCGTCTTGGGATCCGCGGGCACAAAGTTGCCGTCGACCTGCGGGCCGTAGGTGAATTGTCCGTAGTCGGAATTGGCGACCTGGAGGGCGTTGGCGGCGATCAGGGCCTTTGAGGGCAGCTTCCGGACTTCGTCGAGCGTCGAGACGTTGAGTAGGGAGAGGAACTCTTGGAAGGTGGTTTCCTGCTTCTCGGGTGATGCTGAGGGGAACCAGCCCGCGGACTGCGGGATCGCTTGTTGGAAAGGCGCTGCCTCGCGGCCACCCCACGCGGTAATCTGGTGCATGATGGACCCGCCACCCGCGGATTCTCCAAATACGGTAACCCGGTCCTTGTCACCTCCGAACAGGTGGATGTTGTCCTGCACCCACTTGAGAGCCAGGCGCTGATCGTACAGCGCCGCGTTCGCGGTACCGTCTTCCTGGAAAGTAGGTCCTGCAAGCCAGCCGAACGCGCCAAGACGGTAGTTCATGGCGACGTAGATGGCGCCGTCCGAATAGCTGCCCTTGCCGCGGGAGAGGAGCTCGATGGGGTTTCCGGAAATCTTGTTACCTCCAGTGTAGCCTCCACCTGATAATCATTAGCATAATTCGACAAATTCTTCCGTAGTGCTTACCATAGATCCAGACGAGCACTGGTGCGCCGGTGCCATTCTTGGCGTTGTCGTAAACCTGCTGGGGCACAATAACATCCAAGAACAAGCAGTCTTCGTTCTCTCTGGGATCCCTGGTAAGAGTGTAGTTGGAGATTATTGCCGGCGATACAGTACGGCTAACGTTCTTAAGGGTTCCACTGATCAAGTACTGAGGAAGCCATTGCGCAGCAACCAGATTCCACGCAGGATCGGCCTGAGGACATACCCTTCCGTCTGAGCCATCGTGAACGACCGACCTGTCGGTCTTGGGGGGCTGAGGCTCCCTGAAACGCAAATCCCCAGTGGGAGGCTGAGCATAACGGATGTTGGAGAAATTGTAATATCCCGCAGTTTGCTAGAGGTTTGTGAGCACGCGCGTCTTGTGGTGAGGAAAGGATTCTCGGGTGGCTTACGTTGAAAGCAGCGGCGCGGTACAGCTCGTAGCCCAAATCGACGACGGGTAGAACGGCAGAAGAATTAGTCGGCGCAGCGAAGGCGCCTGAAACCAGCGAGAGGGAAGCTAGCGCTCCTAGCGACCGCATGGTGAAGCGCATCATTACTCGCGCGAGGCGGACGACAGGTATATGATTAGAGATAGAAGGAAAGGAATAGCACACAAAAAATCACAAAAAGAGGAGAGAAGAGGAGAACGGGTTGACTTTAAACAGCATGAACAGGCATGACCTGAATAGTACCGGGTGATGAGGAATCCGAACAGGTGGTGGCTGCCCGAGTAGGCCACGGCGTGGACGGTGCTCAGCCCACATGCTTAGTCTGGACCGCTTCGGGCGTTAGTCAAGGTCTCAGAAGGGCATTGGTGAGAGAAGGACGAGCGGGGGAGGTTGGCAACGGCGGTGACGGGCTGGGAAAAGGCGCAGTCGGCAGAGGACCCGCGGGTATGGTCGATCCGCGGCTTTTACCCATGTCAAAGAGCGATTGGCGAGACAAACACGGCGAAGGATCGCGCGGGGTCGAAGATGTTGGAAAGTGACAGGCGGCACCAGGCTGACGCTAGATCCCGACGTCACCGGCCCGGAGGCGCAAACAATCTCCGGCCCTTCATGCTGAACTCTTGGCACCTCCTCCAAGACATCAATCTTTTTTGCGTGAAACGCATGTTTGAGCCGCAGCACCGTCGCTCTCGGGTATACCCACTTAACGCCAATCCCCCCAAAAAGCTAAAAAGAAACAAATCCTTCCGCTCATGGCCGCCTGACCCCCACGATCCGCTCATCAAGCAGAGCCACCAGCCGTTCTTTTTCGCCCACTGCCTCGGCGCGCTCAGCCTCCACCTCGCGCAGCTGACGGTCTAGCTCCGCCATGCGGTCCACCTGCTCGCGCTCGCTCGACCCAATCCCCGGAAGCCGGTCGATCAGCGCCCCGATGCGCGCCATGTTTAGCACCACGTCCTGCGCGATCTCGTGCTGCGTCGCCGTGAAGGAGGGATCGGGGGGCGGAGAGCGGGGTCGCTCCGTCAGGGCCCCGGCCGCTCCGCCCGCGTCGGCCACGTTGCCAGGCTGTTGCTGACCGTCGCCGCCGGATTGGTTCGCGTTATTGCTGCTATTCAGGTCGCGGTCGGCGTCGTGTGGCTGGCCGGGAATGTCGGCGTAGGGGTGGCGCGTTGACGTGTAGACCAGGCTGGCGTAGAATTGCTGGAGGAGCTGATGGTGCGCGCGTCAGCATGACATGACATAAGATGCGCTGGCAGGGGCGGCGGACGTACAATGTCCAAGGCATCCTGCAGCTGGGTAAGTATGTCTGCCATTGTGAGAGACGAGGCTGGTTGAGAGGTGTGCTGGAGCTGGAGGAGCTGCGGGCGTCGATCGGTGAAGCTGCAGCTTTCAGGGCCGCCGAGGTTTTGCCAGTCGCCGTCCACGATGGAATTTCTTTTGCCATTTGCGTTCCATTGTCTGCCCACCGCTGCTTGTCTGGTCGCAGGAAAGCTATGGACGCCTGCTCTCCTCGGCCCCAGTCCTTCGTCCCCACGTTGTCATGATCCCTCTCCTCCTGCGACGCCCGCTCCGGAGCCCTTTCCGCATCCTCTGTCTCTCCTCCGTGCGCGCCGCCTCTACCAAGACCAAGACCTCAACCCGCTCCAAGAAAGAGGCCAAAGATGACAAGCCTAATCCCATAATAACCCCCGGCTCCGAAAACCACAATGACCTTCCCTCCTTCCTCGCCTACGCCGAACGCGTCGGCCTTACCTCCGAGAAGACCGTCTACGTCGGCACACACTACGAATACATAGTTGCACAGTCGCTGGCCCGACTGGGCTTCGGCCTCGTACGCACTGGACGCGCATCCGACTTTGGCATCGACCTGCTCGGCACATGGACGCTACACATCCCCCGCAACAGCAACGAGGCCACCGATCCTCCGCCTCCCCCGAAACCAAAGACGAAACGACGCTCCGCTGCGAAACCGCCCCCGCACGACCAACAGATCCTGCGCGTGCTCATACAATGCAAGAACACGAACATCGCCCCGGGCCCCAAACACATTCGCGAATTGGAGGGAGCGTTCACGGGCGCGCCGGCGGCTTGGCGCTCCGCGGGCGACTTTCTCGGCCTGCTCGCGTGCACGCAGAAGGCGACGCGTGGCGTGATTGACGCGCTGGCGCGCAGCCGCTGGCCCATGGGCTTTTTGAAGGTGAATCCGGGCGACGGCCGCGTCGAGCAGTTCGTCTGGAACCCGAGCGCGCGCCAGCGCGGCCTCGAGGGCTTGGGCGTCACGCTCAGGTATCTGCCACAGGTGGGGGACGGGGCCGACGCGCGAGTGCGTACGGATGTGGCGTTGACGTGGGAGGGGCGCAAGCTAGCGTATGCGCACGTGGAGGGGCCTGGGGCGCTGGAGGAGGAGTTGAGGGAGGAATTGAGTGAGGGAAAGGCTGGAACTAAGGCTGCGGCCGATGTGGCGGGCGAGGATGCTGCGTCGACTGAAGCCGCTGCTGCTAACACCAATTCTGATAGTCAGGCTGATGGTGTAGCCGCCGCTGCAGGAGGAGCCACTCCAGGAGAAGACGCTCCCGCGCCGGCTGACGCAGAAGCAGAAGCAGAAAACGCAGAGCCCCCTCCCCCACCCAAAAAGCGCCGCGGCCGCCCGCCCAAGAAGCGCGAACCGGAAGCCGATCCGGCCTGATCGAGGCACGCAGCGCAGCCACTTCCCATACCGTGTCTCCCGCGCACGTCACCGATGCCCGAGTGTTCCGCATAGAGATGATGCTCTGTCCGGCGTCCTGGTCTGCTCTACGTCTGCTGTGGATGTGGGTGGAGGGACGCATGAGGAGCGGGCAGGTCGCTGGTGTGCAATGCATATGTATGCACGTGGGTTGAGGAGGTTGTTTGTCAGTATGAGGAACTTTACTTCACGTCAAGCTCCCTTCTGGTCAATCGGTCCTTCACATGTGTTTATATCTGATCCTTGCACAATAAGATATTACTGGGCACATCTATTGGACAATCCGAAATCCTGATACATCGGACTTGACGAGGCTGCGGGGTAAGCCCAGAGCTGCGCCGCAATTTTATGGATATAACTACGCAATGCCGAGCCTGTTGAGAGCTAGACACAAAACGATGAAGCCATATTCTTGTCTTACCTACCAGCAGCTATCAAGATTATCAGATTTCTTTGCTCCAGAATATGATGATGTTGAATATCCTCAGGGGCCGGAGATTACTCTACCACCATTCAACTATGTACACGACTGCGCAAAAAACGGGTGCCAGCTTTGCACTATTTTAATGATTACGGCGGATGCCTCCCACATGCCTCCACAATCACTACAGTATAACCCTATGAAGCTTCGGCGAGCCGCCCTCGACCCGCGCCAAGGCGTATGTTTGTTTATTGGCGATTCTATACTCGGTAATGACATTTCAATGACATACTTTTATCGCGTGCCAGGATCGTGGTGTAAGTATAAGCTCTAATAAATTCTGGGCTAATAAAATGCTGTTTATACTTACACTTGTTACCGTTAGGCACACTTCCTCCAGCTCAGCTGGAGAAAATGAATGATGAGCTTCAAGTGATGCGAATGTGGCTCTACGATTGCCTTCACAATCATTCAGACTGCAAACGCAATGAGCAGAGCCAAACGCCAGCCAGGCTTCTTGACTTGAAGGCATTTGGGCCCTCAACGGATATCAAGCTTGTGGAAACCAGCCGCGAACAAGATTGTTCTACTTATGTGGCTTTGAGCCATTGCTGGGGATATCCTTCGAAACAACCAATCCGGACTACTCTGGAGACACTGGCGCAGCGCAAAGAGCGCATCGATTATGAAAAACTATCGAAAACTTTCCAAGATGCTGTCACCACCACAAGAGATCTCGGAGAACGGTATCTTTGGATTGATTCCCTATGCATCATACAAGACGACGCGCAAGACTGGGAAAGAGAAGCCTCCAACATGCCTGCAGTTTACGGCGGCTCGTTGTGCACTCTCGCTGCCTTAAGCTCACAAGACGGCTCTGAAGGCTGCCGTGTTAATGGCGGCAACAATAGCACGAAAAAGAGACTTCGATATGTCGACGTTGCCCTCAAGGACCGTGTCATTCGCTTCTTTGAGAATAAGCCGCGTCAGTGGCGCAAAGAATACGGAGACAATCCATACCATCATGGGAAGTTTGGTGACAATCCTCTACGGGGCAGAGCATGGACACTTCAAGAGAGAGAATTATCCCAAAGGAGCATTCATTTTTCGCGCAACATGCTGCTATGGGAATGCGCGACGACCAAAGGGACCATGGAGCTCCCTTGGCAAGAGATAGAAATCCAAAGTACGGACAACCCCTCACCATGGCCAATTCGCAACGACCTTTCCGAAACCGCAGCAGATGATGGAGCAGAAGTTGGCCGAGACGGATGGTACAGCACCGTGGAGGAGTATTCGTCCAGGTTCCTGACCAAAGAGACGGATAAGCTGCCCGCGCTTTCCGGGCTCGCTTTCAAGTATTCCAGAAACCACGACCCTGGCCAGTACAGCGCTGGCATCTGGACACGGCACATGCCCGGAGCCCTGTTGTGGAAGACGCGGCCGCGCCATTCCCCCACTGATGTAAAAACTCGCTTGTACGCGGCGTTCCATCCGCGCAGGCCAATGTCGTACAGAGCTCCCAGCTGGGCCTGGACGCCTCTGGATGCCATTGTGTCGTATGAAAGCCAACGGCTTGGTGCTCAGGGTTCAAGGCCAGAGTTAGACCGTGCTGAATGCGATTTCGGAAGCTTCAAAGTTCTCGACTTACGCACAGAGCTTGCTGCTAATGATCCTTTCGGGTCGATCGCTTCTGCTGAGTTGCAGGTAGAGGGGTGCATTGCGCCGGCCAGATTCAGCTTCGAGGCCCCCGACGGCTGCAAAGCTCCGGATAATCCTGATGACGGTTGGGGGTGGATCTTGGGTCGGGATGGGTCTGCAGCGGGTATTTTTTACCCCGATATCAGCACAGAGATGCAGTTCTTGGACGAAATCTTTTGCGTGAGTTGTCGTGGAGAGCCCGAATGGCCTGATGAACGTTTGATTCCCTCCGAGCTGCAAGAGCTGGTTTTCAAGTGGTTGTCTCCAGATACTAAACATGATCTGGTCATGGGTCTTGCCCTTCTACCGGAGCTGAACAGTGTATGTACGTATCGAAGAGTAGGGTTGATTCGTTGGGTCAAGAGGTCGTTGTTCGCGGATGTCCAGCCTACTAGAGTAACGCTTATCTAGGATAGTAGTGGAATTGTTGGGCATCTAATCTAGCATTTGGATGACAATCCATACATCAGGATTGAAGAGCGTTTTCATATTCCCATGGCGGATGATACTCCGTAGAAACGAAAGAATGTCAAATCACCCTGAATTCAAATATCATCTCACTTGCCAATAGTGTATAGGTATGCTTACGGTACCTTTAAAACGCTCCCTACAGGTCACTCCATAGGTGGGTCTAGAGGCTATGTTCGCGGTTGGCGATCTTATTCACGAGGGACAGCGAGATCTTGTCAGCTCTCCCCACAGATTACTCCGTAGGTAGATGTTAAGGCCACTTTCACGGTTGGATGAGTTGCTTACGATGGGCATGTAGATTTTGAGACTGTCGGTTGCCAAATGGTGTACATGTACGAAGATAAAATATATAACATATTACGGTACTTTGTAAGTACACGATAGTGCAAAAGTATAAAGGTACTAAGATATCCCGTAGAGATATAAGAGTATAAAAGCGTCCCGTATGGGTATATGAGTATGGACGTGGAATAATACAAAACTAAGTCGTACCTACATTGACGTCGTATATCCACAGTCATCCATAATTTACATCTTCGAGAGGTCTTATTATCGTCTCATGCATATATGGATTATAACTTCGGCAAAAGTTGTAAGGGTCTGTTGGGAGGATTCAGCTGCTGACGGTAGGGCTAGTCCGTTTACAATGTACTACGTTGTCTAGCTTGTTTCAAAGTAGCACAGTGAGAAGATAAGATTTCAGATGAAAAGCGGGGTTTCAGGGAATCCTTCTTATAAAAGACTCATAATCGAGAAGGTTCTATTCGATACCTACCGCAATTTATTAGCAGCTTCTTTTCCCAGACAAACCAAAGAACAACCATTTCCAAGATGTCAAAAGAAGAACTACCAATCCCCAAAATGTCATCCGACAACCTCATTACCTACCGCGGGAACTGCCATTGCGGACAAGTCAAATTCACTGCTGCCTTGCGAGACATCCGAACATACCCCATCATCCGCTGCAACTGCTCCATCTGCACCAAGAACGGCTATCTGCTGGTTTACCCCAAGCGCGAAAACGTCAAGTTCATTTCAGGCGAGGACTCTCTCTCGGACTACCTCTTTGCGACAAAGACCAAGCCGCACAGGTTTTGCAGAAATTGCGGGACAAGTATTCTTATCGACTTTGAGAAAGCCGACGTCGAGGCTCTGAGGTCAATTTTTGCTGTCAACGTATGTATTGGGAATCTGTAATTGCGTTCATTGCTTACCGTGCGGCAGTTGAGGACATTCGTGGACATTGAAGACGTTATGAACGAGCTGCAGTTCCGGGATGTTGACGGCAAAAGCAAATGTAACCCGCCTTATCAAGTGCCGTTTTGAACTGGTTTGGGGAAATCCCGGTGTGAGTTCAAGGAAAATCATTCAGTAGGTTAGCTCCGTTTAGTGTTTAGCGAATCAATACAAGTTGTTTTTCAAATGAACGTACCATGATAGGAGTAATCCTAGACTACGCCCCTTCCCATGAGAGCCTCAGCCAGAGCTTAAGAATCCTATTCATACGTCCATTGAAGACGTCCAGCACGTTTCAGTTCCTTCTTATCACCGAACACAATTCTCCCAACATCGTCCTCCGGCTTCGAGTCTTGTATTTACACCCATTTATCCCGCAAAAGTTTGGCGCGATCTTTAGCCCCAAGCGAACTGCCTCCAATTGGCTCACTAATGAACGGCGAGTGGCGTGTAAGCCCAGAAACGCCGCCAAAGATATCTGGAACTCTGATGATGCAGTGCAAGGCTATGGTGACAAGGATGCAGACAGTGAGGACGGCGATGGCAGCGAAGTACAGTGCGAGCCAACCAAATTGGACTCTGTACATCAGTGGAGTGAGCTATCTTCATGTGCCATTTTTGAGTCGTCAAAAGCTTGTCACGATTGACTTCTAACCTAGAAACAAAAAGTAGTATTACCAGAAGCAATGCCTGAGGTAAGGCATGCCTCAATGTGGAAGGCGTTGCCTCGTCCAAAGTCATTAGCGACGTTGGCCATGCTTTGAAAAAGCTCTGTTGTTGTTTGTCTAGAAGTGTTCCACTGGACAGCGTGATGAGTGCCGCTAAATAGAACACATTCCCCACTCGGAGGAGGGTTTAGGGGCCATTGGCAAGACCGAAACAAGAATTGGTGTCTCCATCCACAGGTCTGACATCTGCGGCAAGTGAATGCGGTGAAGACGGAAGCGCCACTTGGATAACAATTCAGAGAAGGATGCATACTTGGCTGCATATCTCTCCTAAACCACCAATCAGCCGCAATGTACCTACAACGAATCATCGATCAGTTGTGGACTCGGACGTTTGCGAGGCACAGTTGATTTAGTGATATCCGCGCATAGGCGCAGAGTTATGGATATATTCAGACCTACTATAAATGCTAATCGTCGATCGGACAGCAATCAAACCAAGTCATAGGAAAACATGACCGAGGAAATACAAGAACCATGTTTACCCTACTGCGAGATAGATGTCCCGGCAATACTTGGAGCTGCGGGTGAGCGGTATATAATCGGTCGAGACTAATTCGACTACGCCCCGCTAGACTTTCCGACGGCTATACAGGAAGCATGCCACCCATACTGCGAAGTGGTTGTTCCGGCAACATGTAGAGCTGCGGAAAAGCTGCGAGAGCGCGTCATGCAATCCGGTCGGGACGTACTCGAACGCGCTTCGCTGTAGTCGCAACTAAGGGACCAACTGCTGTTTAGCACCCCATCTCTTCTCATTATTATCATATTCCCCAAAAGGCCGCCGTCCCGCTGCAGCACAGAGACAGCGACAACGACAGCGACAGCTGACAGCTGACAACCCGATGAGTGTCCAGACCCCAATTTATGTCGCCAGGAAGTCTGCCGGTACCGGACGACTGCCCCCGCCTTGTAGTCGCTATGTATTTCCCGTCAGGCCAACAAGGCCGGAACACATGTTGCTCGATCAACTCGCGGTCGCTGTGAGCATCCCGTTATGGGAGACCAGGGAGAACGCTCGGAAAGCATGCATGCTCAACCAACCTGTAGCCACAACGCGCACCTCGTCAGCCAGAACACCCACTCCCCCGACGGGCTGAAGAAGTGCTTCGAGAAGATGCGCATGCTTGCCGTCAGAGTCATGAAGAAGCGCTACGGTCAAACGTGCATGTACTCAACCCGTGGGCTGAAGAAGTGCTTGGAACAGACGCGCATGGGTGCCATCAGACCAATTGGACGCCCAATCGGCTCCATCATAACCAGTATTCGACAACTCCACGTAGCGGGTGTGCACATCGTTCGACAGCATCAAAACGTTAACCTCAACGTTGGTGTTAGGTTGTCACGACCACAGCAGCCGAAGAGAGAAAGACGGGCGGGAGGGAAGGCACGCATCGCGACCAACCCACCTTCCCACTCCCACGGAACCCCGCACCCCTCCGCTCCTTCCCTCCCCTCCCTCGCTTTCGCGCCGCCCCGACCCCAGCCCCGCCAAGAAATTATTTTTTTCCGAAAATAAAATAAAGCAAAAGAAAATTAATTCAAAAGATAAAAAGCAAAAGAAAATGGTCACTACGAGGGTCGAACTCGCGACCTTGGCGTTTAACAGTTTGGAAGCTCTTTTGAAGATCCCAAGTTATTAGCACCACGCTCTAACCAACTGAGCTAAGCGACCGGTCTTTGTTGGAGAACCGGTTTGGCAAGTGTAACTATATCGTAGGCGTTTAAAGAAGGCGCAGTGGTCGTTGTCCCGCCAAGACCTACACCACGCCCAGCCGCGACGGGCAGGGAAGGTGCGATCAGGGAAATGCACGTGAGATCTCATCCCACGCAACAAGCGCGGTGGGGGCCGGCGCTTGCTTGCCCTTCGTATTCACGGCATGTCGCAGATGTTCGGAGCACTACATGGATTTCAGAGCTAAAAGAACGAACCCTATCTAGTAGATTCCGTAAAGCAAAGAAAGTCAGAGACTGTATAGCTGAACTCTACCTGGAAGCTATGACAAACAAAGCAAAGAGAGCAATCGTGGCTGAGTATGCTCACAACCCGTGCGAAACAATCAGGAGAACCAGCCAGGTGATTTGAACACTGATGAGACCATGCCAGTCGGCAAACTGCTTGAACAAAGGCGACAAAGCTGTCTCCAGGCGCCAAGCTTGAGCAATCTCCTTGGCTCTGTCGAGAGTCACTCTGATCCTGCTGTTGTTGTTCACCGATGAGGCAGAAGAAGATTTATTGTTATTCGAGAAAGGATGAGGCAGCGCTGCCGACTAAGCGAGACTAACTACAAGAGGTAAGCGCCAAGCTACATCAGGAAAGAGGGCTCTGCCTGCACAACAGTTGTTTTTGGTGTGCACACCCTGTTTGCGTGCGTTGATGAATTACGCCCTTAGTAATGCTACTCTATGCTTGCAGTATAGCGTGCCTTCTGACAAACAATCGGTATGAAGCTCAAAGAAGAGTAACACCATCCCGCTGGTGTCGAGGCTGTAGTCGCTCTTGGAGACGATGACTACAACCGACGAGGTGCCACTCTGCTTGTTAACTTTCCCAGACCGGAATTTGATACTAGCACGGATTGACGTTCTAGTGTTCTCGACTGAACAGGTAGTGCCGGGGGAAATGTCTGGCATCATGCTGGACTTCATGTAGCCCTTTATTCTGACCCAAAAGCAAGGGTCGTCCTTCGCAGCAGCTGAAGACTTCTGGACCTTCGACGGTATGCCGTCATGTGTGCTGCTCGCCGGTCTCTTGGTTGGAACCAATGCAGCAAAGTAATCTGTGTGCGGCTGTCGTGGCTGTATCTGCTGGCTGACTTTGCGTTCGCTTTCGTGGCAGCGCCCTTCGAGCCGTTCGCTGCATTGAGTCTCGAAGCCGGAGCAGGCTTGGTCTTTCCTGTGCCGCTTCTCAAAACCGGACCAGGGTCGGTGTCGGCCGGGGCAACTATCGAGACCGGAGCAAAGTCGGGATTGTTCTGTTCTGTTTCCAATATTAGTATTAACGGAGGAAGATACATTAGCGACTCACGTTGCTTGGTTGTCGCAAGCCCTGACGCCAAAAGGTGTCTAGTGATTGCCTGCACTCCAACCTTCTGGACATCCCTCGCATGGAACCCATCGACAAAGAAGGTGTGGTCCGTCAAAGAATGCTTTACATCGTCGACCAAACCTGGCTCGGTGGGAACCGAAGTCAAATCTTCCGAAGTTACAATTGCTGCCCTGGTGGAGTCTTTCGAATCGTTGCATGAATGATCATCCGAACGATCTTTTTGCTCTGCCCAGTATCAGTAACAATGCCCAACCGGAATTGCAGTGGGTGTAGTCGCGTCGCCTCTTACCCGTAATCTTCTCCATACCCCGAATATGACGCCAGCATTGTGGTCTTGCTGTCCAGGCGGAGCGCTCACGAATGTGGTGCATCTGTTTCTTCTTGCGAGTCTTCGCCATTGTCTGTCAGAAGATCGAGTGGATGTAAGTATGAGTGATAAAGGTTCGGTGCGAGGGAGGACTCTTGGGTCATGTCATACATAGAAGGAAAATGTCATGTCGAGTTATTAATTCGTGGTGCCTTAGCGGCCTTCGGGGCAGGTGCGAATGGGTGCTCATGGCGTCGGGAGTGTCGACGGCTGCTACTTCCTGAAATGGGTGCGCCTGCCTCACGCTCCTTGCAACATACATGAAAACTCTCCAACCCAACGCGCGCAAAAACCGAAGACTACATAGCTAGAGGCGGATCTGTAGAGAAGGATTGTATTTTGAGACCATAGGCCTATGAAAGCAAATGTTAGCATACGGAGTATGCATACCTAGAACTACCTAATCGCCATTAGGCTTCCGCAACAAAGGTGAGTTCGCCGGTATCAGCTAGGAGAGTAGCGGCGTCTAGACACTCGTTGGCATTCATAGGAACCAGAATGAGCATGAGCGCCTTTTTCGCGAGCTCAGGATCACCCGCCAGGTGGAAGTCATGCGTGCCGTGGTCAAATCCTTCCGGGTAGACGAACGATCCTCCTGGGAGAGGAACATTACCACGAAGGTACTCGTCACCTGAACCAAGGATTCCGAGTTTCTGAATGTCCTCGAAGACAAACCCGGCCTGTGCGGACAGGACGAGACAGCGCCGGACGGCAATCTCACTCTCTGTGAAGATGACGTGGGGGGAGGGAGGTACTGAGTCATAGGGACCCCGTACTTGGAAGGAATTTCAATACTGATTAAGTGTTTGTCACACTCTTCCATAGTGGTATCGATCAAGAGGTCGACGAATTTCTAAGCAAGAAATTAGTATCAAACTTCTAGTTATCGGTGTGACCATCAGTGTAACCATCAGGCTTACGTCTTGCTCCTCAGTGTTCAGGAGTTGGTAGACAGCACTGCAGCTCTCCGAGTTCTTCCAACTTCTTAAAGAAGGACTCCAGGGCTCCGAGCCAATGCCCTCGATGATTCTTCCAAATCGTGTACCGAGGCTAAGCTTCTGTTCAGTCGAAGAAGTCGTCGGCAGGGGCATCCGGGTCAGGGCTCTCGTATGGGTCACGGCTTTCGTACGGATCACGGCCTTTGTGCCGATCACGGCGCTCGTACTCATCGAGGTCCTCGTACGGGTCACGGCCTTCGTACGGATCAAGATCTTCAGAAGGGTCTCGATCCTCATATCCATCACTGCCTTTGTACGCGTCAGGGTCCTCGTACGGATCAAGGTCTTCGTACGGACCACTGTCTTCGGACGGGTCGCGATTCTTGTGATCTTTGTACCGATCAGGGACTTCGTAGGGGTCACGATCGTCGTACGGATCAGGGTCTTCGTACGGATCAAGGTCTTCGGACGGGTCGCGAGCCTCGTGCGGGTCGACACCCTCAGATTCTTCGTCAGAATCGCGGGGGACAGTCGAATCCTCGGCACCCTCTCCAGTAGCATCGTCATCGACAATGCTTAGTAATCTACGGGGCGACTTGTCATCCGCGTCAGGAGCGTCAATTCCTTGCTTGCTGAGGACTTGAGTGAAATAGCGACCGGCTTTCATGCTAAGAAAATGTTATAATTAGAAAAGAAAAAGAGGGAGGGAGAGAAATGTCTTATACTTACCGCATTGCCTTCCATTTGATGTCTGCATTGTGAAGCATAACCTCCTGCTCCTCGGTAGTAGAATTCAAGAAGTCCTTGTGCTTCTTGATTCTGTTCCTGTAAGTAGTCTTTGACACACGGTCTGCATGCTTGGCCTTCTCTATGGCAGCTGTAATCGGCTCCGTAGTTCTGATCCTTTCCGTCCTCGCCCTAGACTTCTGCGTGTTTAGATTTGACGAATAGGCTCTGGTGGATGAACCTGACTTCTTTTCCATGGCTTCTTCCTTGGAGGTAGATGCTAGTCCTTCCTCCACCTCTTCCCTTGATAAAGGAAGGGGTGGCTCATCCTTCTTCTCCTTGGGATCCATGGGAGCAAGAGAAGCAGCAACGATATTTATGGAGGTGTCCGAGTGAAAACAAAGACTGATAATCTATCTGGTAATCACGATCACGCTGTCGAGGAGGTCGAGGTGGCCTGGTGTAGAAAGTGTGCTCTCAGCTAAGGTGTCGGTGGTGAAACTGACGAGGAAAGTACTGGTAGTGAGTCTTCACTAGTGAGTTAGCATAGGTAGTGGAGGAGCTGTTAGCACTGGGGTCGACAATTACCTTGATGTGATGTCACCTTTAGTAGGCGACAGAGATGAGGCGCGCAGCGGGTGGAAGTTGTCGGGTAGTCGGCTGGGAGAGAGCTGAAGGTGAAGGTCGCTCGCGGCGTAGCTGCCAACACCAGGCCTGATGGTTAGCCTGATTAATAGGCTGGTTAATAGGCGACAGAGCTGGGGCGCGGTGTAGTTGAGAGGAGGAAGGTCAGTGGAGGAGAAAGGTGGAGGAAGAAGGTGGAGGAGGGGAAGGTCGAGGGCGGAAGGTCGAGGGCGGAAGGTGGTGGAAGGTTGGCGGAGGAAGGTAGGTAGGTGGCGGTAGAAAGTCGGCGGTGGAGGTGAGGTGGAGGAGTAAAGATGAGGTGGAAGTTCGGCGGTGGAAGGTCGGTCGAGGAGTAAAGGTGAGGTAGAGGAGTAAAAGCGAGGACAGGCGTGTGGTCGAAGTAGGAAATCGCGGGGTGTTCGTGTGAGAGGAAGTAAAGGTGAGGTCTCGGGTTCCATGAGCAGAAAGCTATTGCTCTCTACCTACGATTTAGTGAAGGAGCGAGGACCTTTCAACTACCAGTGAAGTAAATCCGAGTCTGAAACACCCGAGCTCTTTCTGAGTCGACGTTCTAGTTCCCCAGCCTCTCCGTAATATTACCCAACAACCCCTCCGTAAACCGCCAGACAAGGCTCGAATCATGCGCCTCAAACGCCGCCCCCGTCCACCAGGTATCCCAGTGCCCCTGCAGCGCCTTCAAATCGCGATAAAACCCTGCCCTAACATCCTCAACACCAACCATAAACTCATACGGGCTATGATTCGAAAACGCAACCAAGCTCACGGCCTCCGTCCCATTCTCAGCGCCGCCCTCCAGCGAGCCGGCCTTCAGCGTCCGCTCCACCGTAGCCAGGACATCGGCCTTTACCGCCTCGTCGCTCAAGCATTGCCCCTGGGGCCCGCCGTACGTGAACGAGAAGTACCCCGGCGCGCCCTGCGCCGGCGACCAGCCGTACACGCTCGGCAGCCGCGGGAGGTGGAACGGCTGCTCGGGCGCGGCGTTGCGCACGCTGGTGGACGGCAGGCCCGACGCATGCATCACCCCCGCCCAGTACGTGTTGGAGCGGAAACGGGAGAAGAGGGCGCGCTCGCGAGCGGAGGGGCAGAGCGGCTCGACGACGGCGTTGTAGGATGGCGGCGCCGTGATGAGGAGTTGTTTGGCGCGGAGGTGGGTAGTGTTTTTGGGGCCGCGCACAATGAGGCTGGGGAAATGTTAGTGTTGGAAAGAAGAAGAAGGTTCTGGGCTCGCGTCGTTGTGGCTACTCACTGCATATAGCCGTCCTTGTCCTTGCTCTCTCAGTCCGCCCGTACAACCGTAGACTCGTACCATACATCGCCTTGAAACTCTTCTTCCCCGCGGCTGTAAACCTCGCTATTGTTGCCTCTATAGGTCGTCAAAAAAAACCCTCTTGTAGCGCGTCCAGCAATTCCAGCCCAAAGTATTTCGCGACGTAGAGCGTTGGGACGGCCAAAATATCGCCAAAGCCCTGGCTGTACTGCGCGATCAGCCACACCGCGTCATCAAGCCGGTACTTCTCGACGAAGGCGCCAAACGGGATCAGCAGATCCTCGGGCACTGGGTCCGGCAAATTGAACCCCTCCCTGAGATAAGGGTATTTAGCAAGCTGAGCGCCATAGGCCTGCAGCGCAAGCGACGGGTCGGGCTGAGTGTAGTTTTTGTCGACCTCGCCAGTGCGCAGGTCGATAGATGTACCCTGATCGGCGGCATAGCTGAACTCGGTAAGGGGTATGCCAAAGTGCTCGAAGAAACGCTCAACCAGGGGCCAGTTGTGGTACACCATGACACCGTAGTCGATTGGCACGCCCTGCGGTGTTATGTATGTCTCTGTGTGCCCGCCTAGTCGAGCTTTTTTCTCGATGATGGCAACGCTGTAGTTAAGTTCACGTAGGCGCCAGGCAGCATACGTGCCACTGGCACCGCCGCCAATAATTGCCACGTCGCGAGTCACCCAGTTGGACGTGCAATCGGAATGCTCTGACTCCGCGAAAGTTGCGCTGACAATGGCGCAGAGGAAACAGGTGATGTACCCGAGAAATTCGAATCGGACATGAATTGTAGTAGTTTCAGGAAGACTTGAAGATAAAGAGAGAGAATGTGATGGGGAAGCGATGTGGATAGAAAAGTGTATTCAGCGTGCTGTGGGATAAATAGTACCATAAGGCACCCGAAGGAAGTCATCAGGACAGAAAAAGAAACATCAACCTCCACCATGAGGCTGAACCACTGGATCAAATTTTGTTATTGCGGTTAGACGGACCCGAAAAATCAATGAGTAGGCTGAGACGCGGAATTGTTGCGCTGTCTACTCGGGAGTACGTCGTTATTTTGAGAGCAGTCCTTTGTTATTGTAGTAGCTTTGAAATGAAAACACATACCGCGAGATTCATATAAGAAATCATTTGTTGATGAAATGTAAACCGCAAGCTGAATCGTCTAATGGATACTCTCAATAATCTCAATGATAGCAGTTCTACTTTACCTTTCTAGTCGCTCCTGAGCTGGTTTTCCACAAGCCAAGTCCGGGCGCGCTCGAGGCTGAAGAAGCAGGAGCTTTGGTTAACCAGACACCGAGGTGATATGTCATTCGGATGCTGACGAAAAGCCACCAGCGACCCGAGTTGCGTCTGCAGCACGCTATTGGTGAGATGCAGATCTTGTAGTTAAGAAGCCCATCAGCCCACCAGCCTTATAGCTAGGATCCTCAGTCACCTGTTCTGATTGTGGCTGGCCATATTCTGCAAGACAAGAGGCTGCAACCTGGACTTGACATATCGTGGCATGGTGGCTGGACGTCAATCGGCCAATATCCGTACAAAGACAGGAGCTGCGATAATTGCCTTTCTTGGCAATTTAGGCTAGTTGTTGTTGCTATGACAGCGATAAGGTTCTAAGGCCGACGAATCAAGCCCGCAAAACCCACTTCAGCGGCACACCACACTTCGATATCTCAAGCGTGCATGAAGTCCCGTGATCTCTTTCTGGCATTCCTGAGAATCATATGACGTGCTTTCGTTACTTTTCAACGCCAATGCATCATCTTTGGCTTTTGATTTCAGACCATCAACCTAACCTTTGTGTGGACGGTGGGCGGCAACAACAGCATCACATGGTCTTCTCGCTCCGCACACAAAGGTGCTTTGTTCCACTCGCGAGGATACAGTCGCGGCGCATGTCGTCGATATGATCGCCTCATATCAACCGTCATATCCGTTCCCATCAAAAGCAGTATGGGAGGCCGCCGGTGCGGTACTTGGCCCTCATCCTTGGATACGATTGTGAAGGTGAGATCGACACACGATGAGGATCAGCAGATGCTTATGCTGACGGTTACTGTGCCACGAGCAGATCGCGATGCGCCGATCTTATATTCATAAGCCCAAGGGTCCCGTATCGGCTGAATGAAAAAGACGGTGTGTGGCATGACAAACACTCAGGGGAAAGCCAGGGTTGGAGCAGTTGGACTTCGTTTTCATCGAAATCCTGGTAGCCTCATCTCTTTAACACCTCCATTCTCCAGCAGTGTCGCTCACCGCTCAAGAGGATGTTCTCCACTCGAGACCGTGCTGCACACGCATCGTCCTAGCGGCAGCAAATTTAGGACCAGACGCGTCTTGCGTTTCTCGTGTTTTGAAGACTGGATTCCAGGTACCGGGAACGACTGCTGCGCAGCGATCTTGCCTTTTAAAGAAGGTCGTATCGCAACAACGTCGCGAAACATCGTATGCCCTCGCACGAAACAGAACACGAAGAGCCGCACCACACCACGAGCCTGGGGGCCGTGCGCGTCGAAAGCTTCGAGAAACATCGTCAGCCTCGGAAAGCGATGCCCCCGGATAGGCCCCCCCACACAAGCCCACATCTTCAAAGTTATCACGCCGCGATGGCGAAAAATGCGAAACGATCGCTGCCCGCAAGGACCGAGTGTCAACTATAACCGAGACCGGATTCCGAACGGCTTCGTATTCCGCGAAATGAGACGATTCGTATTCGCCGGCCGACGTCATTGTTGCCAATGGCAAAGATGCAATATGTCCTTGAAGACTATCGCACCAGCATTGCGATCTTCTGTGCCTCGTTTAGCCGTTCAGTCCGAGCTTTCGAGCTCTTTCATCACCGGTTGGCGGCGGTCGCTTGAGGATTTGAAGCGAAGGAACGACGTTTCCGCAGATAAAGAAAGATTCCGGTCGATAAGGCAGGATTGAACTTACCGGATCCGGACTCGCGTGTTCAACGTCGCTTGGAGTATTTGTAACGTCCGTCGCCGTGAAGAGAGTTACCATGAAGCGAGATGGTGATATTTGTACGGAGTAGAAGAAGAGGCCTAGTTAAGGTGTATAGAGTGTGTGTGTGCTCTAAGAGCTTTTCACCCATATCCAGGAATCGGACTAAGAGCTAGGCAAGGAGTACTCCGTAGGGACTGCTTGCGTCGTCTCCTGTCTCGCTCGACGGCGGATTTCGGTTCGCGATGACGGACGTTACTGTACAGTCAAGACTGATTACGCCATTTGAGCTGGTCAGCAATATCTCATCATCGAAAGCGGTCATCGACAAGTCCGGCTAGGTTTTATGGGGTCGTTTGTACACCTTGACCGTATAAAGTGAGAAACTTTATACGGAGTAGGAACAGTCACGCCGAAGGGGAACCGGACTGCACTACGAATATGAAGCCGGTCCAGTAGGTGACCAGATTTCTGTCTTCCTTCCTGGTTGCCACAGAGGAACGAGAGGAATCGGTCGTCTAGTTTGTTGTCCGTCGGCTTCGTGGCATCAAACCAGTGCCTCCGTTCCATGGGCCGGTAGCGGTCTTGAATAAGACGAGGTACCATCTCTCTGCTATTCCCCGACCATTCCCTAATGATATCACAGATTATTGTGGCGTGGTCGTCTGATACAGCATCGATGGACTCGTGGCTCCATGGCAAACTCGGTTTTGTGCGAGGTGTTGGCTTGAATGACGGTGGACAAGAAAGAGGTAGTGCAACACATCGAAGAGGGTGCAAGGGTGTAGAAGAATGGCGCAGCGTGACCGAGGGAGGATTGTCGCGTTGATGTGTGGGCGGACAAGAGGGCGAACGAGCAGGCCATGCGCTCAACGCTCAAACATGCAAGGACCGCAGTACAACCCAGACCCAGGGTCGATCTTCTGGAGAAGTCCTATCGATACACGATAACCTCTTTCGGACATACGAAGGACTCCAGACGGGGCCCGGAAACATGGGCGCAGCGCGACTGACTGCGCAGGACAAGAGGAACGCTAGCGACATCGTCGCAGAATTTGGAAGCGTCATCGGCGTGACCGTGCGTGCGACAAGGCTGCCGCTAGCGGACCGGCGAAATTTTGACACAGCAGAACGTCAGACGCCGGAGAGGCGGCAAGCAGAAACGGAGCCAGGCGCGCACGTTGGAGCCAAAGGATGCGCGGGACGTACCGAGGGGCAAGCCGCTGATCCCACGATGATGCCAGGCGTGGAGGCAGTAGGAAGTCGCTGGGGGGTCGTTGGAGCAGCTGGGGAAGCTGAGCTGGGGCGACAAAAGGGCCAAGCTGGTAGCGAGAGAACAAGCGGAGGGTCTGGACGGCCGCCATGTCAAATACAAGAGAAGCTGTCGAGAAAAGTGCCATGGTGGAGTGGTACGGCGGGTGGGCGGTCGCGCGCCATGACTCGGCGTGGCGCTCGTGTTGCGCGACGGCGCAAGGAACGAGCGCGCCGGATTTGCGAAAAGCGGAGCGGGTGGGGCGCTTCGCTGCGGAGTGCAAGAGGTGCCGTGACGCCTGGGTGGCCGCTATTTTTGGAGACATCGACACATGCGGAGCGCGCGCGCGCGCTGCAACCCTCGCGACGTGTGTGTGCCTGATCGCCGTCGTATCGCCTCGAAACGACACTTGGGCCGTGTCTTCCCTCTTTTTTTTTTTCTTTACGAAGCGGCCCGTTTCGACGCTGGGGCGATCGATGGGTGGATAGTGGTGGACGATCGTGAGCTGGTCTTCCCCAGCGCGGTCTGCACGTCGCTCGTCCAGCTCGGTGCGGCCGAAGTACTCCGTAGCAGCGCGACGCAGCTGGCGTGCAATCTCTGCCACGACGGGCCAACCACGTGCAGGCATGTTATGGGGCGGCCGGCGTGAAGGCGGTTGTCCACCCGGCCGTAGGTAGTGGTGGTGCGGCGCAGCTGGGTCCCGCATACACGACCGACGGCCAAGGCTGCCCGAAAAATCCATACCTAGCCAGCGGTTGCCCGGAAGGGGCGCCCCAGTGCTCCTGCGCCTCGTATATATCCTCGTCGTCGAGAGCCGCCCCCCGCTTCTGGCGACATCTCGCGAGTAAAAGGCAGCCTACTTGCTTCATGCCTTTGCCCTCTCTACCCTCGACTCTCACCACTTCACACCTTCGCTTTTTTTCCTTCCTTGCTCCTTGCTTTCCACTCGCTCTGCATACCCGCACCCGGTGATCAAGGATCGCTGATCGCTCGGCTGCTGCTCTTCCGCGATACGAACCGAACAATACTTCTCTCGCAGGTGGCGCTCCCCGGCTTCCCTGGCCTTCCAGAAGTCCTGCCTGCTATTTTCGCCCACCCGCCTTCTCTAGCCTTGTGTAACGAGCTGTTGTGTCACGGCGCGCCCTCTGCCACAAGACCGCCCTCTTTCCTGGACTTCAGTTCGTGCCTGCTTCAAAGCTCCAGCTCGAGGTAAGCCCGACCCGCCCCAATTGCGCCATCCTTGCCGCCTCGCTAACTAGCCGCTCGACAGTCGCTCAAATACGGCCTCGACCCTTGCTTATGCTCCTACGGTCGACTGTCTAATCCCTCCGTCTTCTCACTTTCCTTGACACCTCCCGCCTTTGCGCTCGCTCACCTCCCACAACCGCAAACATGCTGGGCGAATTGTTCGCCCGCGACCACAAAGATGGCGTCTACAAAATCACTGACCCATGGCCCGTCCAGGACGTAAGTAGCTCTATTCGCATACCGTCGTGAGCTCTGGTGACTAACGGGCAGTCAGATCGTCTACGTCGCCATCGTCGGCACCATCATGTTGGCAGCTCTTCTCGAATGGTTCCTCTGGCTCGCCGCCTTTGAGTACTGCTTGGTCAAGGTCTTCCAGAAGGCCGAGACTATTAGCATTAGAATCCTGGCTGTCATCATGATGGTTCTCTTCTTCTGTTTCCGGTAAGCAGCTCTGCGAACTCCGATTGCGCTCACAATCTAACCGGTCTGCAGTGCCATCTTCTTGCCCATTATGGTTGTCACCCTTCCGCTTCCGCCGCAAATTGTGGTATACTTCCCGCACAACATGGTGAACGTCCTCCAGTGGTTCGCCTTCTGGTCTTTCTCCGGTCTTCTTATTATCCCGTGGCTCATGTGCGTGTTCCAACTGGTCACCCACTCCGTCGGTCGCACCAAGAGGATCAAGCATGTTCTCGATGAGAGCTCTGCTCCCAAGGTCGTCATCGTCATGCCTTGTTACAAGGAAATTCCCGACATTCTGCTCCGTACGATCGACTCTCTTGTCGACTGCGAGTACCCGCCTTCCTGCCTGCACATCTTCCTTTCCTTCGATGGTGAGGAGGAGGACGAACTCTACCTCAACACTATTGAGAAGATTGGCGTCCCATTGACCTTGGACTCCTACCCCAAGAGTATCGATGTGACCTACCGCAGCTGTCGTATTACCGTCTCTCGTTTCAAGCACGGTGGTAAGCGTCACACCCAGAAGGCGACTTTCCGCCTCATCGACAAGATCTACACCGAGTACCTCAAGCGCAACGACAACCTGTTCATCCTTTTCATTGACTCAGACTGCATTCTCGACAAGGTGTGCATTCAGAACTTCATGTACGAAATGGAGCTCAAGCCTGGCAGCAAGCAAAACATGTTGGCCATGACTGGTGTCATTACCTCCACTACGGAAAAGAACAGCTTCCTCACTGTCCTGCAAGATATGGAGTACATCCACGGTCAGCTCTTCGAGCGTTCTGTCGAGTCGGGATGCGGCGCTGTCACGTGCTTGCCTGGTGCCTTGACTATGCTTCGTTTCTCCGCTTTCCGTAAGATGGCCAAGTACTACTTCGCGGACAAGGCCGAGCAGTGCGAGGACCTTTTCGACTATGGCAAGTGCCATCTTGGCGAGGACCGTTGGCTTACCCACTTGTTCATGATTGGCGCTCAGGAGAGGTACCAGATCCAGATGAACACCGGTGCTTTCTGCAAGACCGAGGCCGTCCAGAGCTTCAGATCCCTGCTCAAGCAGCGTCGCCGTTGGTTCTTGGGTTTCATCACGAACGAGGTTTGCATGTTGACAGATATCCGTCTCTGGAAGCGCTACACTTTCCTCTGCATCATTCGTTTCGCCAACAACACCATCCGTACGACGGCCTTGCTCTTCTTCATCATGGTCATCTCCCTCATCACGACTTCGCAAAAGATCAAGAACCTGCCCGTTGGTTTCATCGGTGTCTCGCTCGGTCTGAACTGGCTTCTCATGGTTTACTTCAGCGCGAGGCTCGGTCGCTTCAAGATCCTGATGTACCCTCTCATGTTCGTCGTCAACCCCTTCTTCAACTGGATGTACATGGTCTACGGTATCTTCACTGCTGGTCAGCGTACCTGGGGTGGCCCTCGTGCCGACGCCAGTGGCGCTGATGAGAACCAAACTGCTGCCGAAGCCATCGAGAAGGCCGAAGAGCAAGGAGACGATCTCAACGTTGTCCCGGAAACTTTCAAGCCCGCCGCCGAAATCCAGAGGCAGAAGTCCAAGAAGGGTGGCAAGGCTCCCCAGCTTTCCCTCCAGCCCTCGGACCACCTCGAGGGTCGTTTCGCCGCTCCCCAGAGGCTCCCCGGCGGCTGGTACCAGCAAGCCAACGACTCTGGTCTCACCATTCCCGATCTTGGTCCCCGCGACCCCAACGCTCCTCGCATTCCTCTTCACCCACGTGCCTCCTGGGACTCCACCATCACCGCCACCTCGGCCGGCAACTCCGTCTACATTCCTCGTCGTGTCGAATCCGTCATGGACCCCGAAGGCCTCACCCAGTACCAACAGGCGCAGGCTGCTCAGAGGCCCGCCGGTGGTGCTTTCTACGAAACTGACAACACCGATTATGCTTCGATGGGCAAGGCTGGTTTCAACGATTCGCTCGAGTCTGTCGATGCCGATTCCGTCTACAGCAACCCTTACGGATACGCCGGCTACGGAAAGGAAGCGACTGTTACCAACACCATGGAGCTTTCGTCTCCTCGCAACCCTCACGCGCGCATTCCCAGCAACAATTCCATGCGCTCTCCTGGCTCGCCCTTGATCGCTGAGGTCAGCCAGTCCGAGGATCCTCTCTCCGTTCCTGGAATTTCCCACAACGCCAACAACTCGTACAGCTCCCGCAACGGTCGCTCCCCGCTCGCGCGCACGTCATTCATGCGGACCGGCGAGGAGGAAGCTGGTATTGAGCTGCAGCAGGCACAGGGTCTCATGGACCCCCGCGCTCGCAGCGTAAGCCCGGGTCCCGCGCTCATGATCCCACCGCCGCAGCCCCCCGCGGAAGATGCCGGTCATGAGAGGCAAGACAGCGGCGAGGGCGAGCGCCAGAGGAGGAGATTGCAGAAGCAGCCCAAGCGCTACAGCGACGCATGAGCGCTAGGCCCTTCTGATTTGGCTTCATAAAGTCAAACTTTCTCCCTGTTACGGTTGCATGGATACGGCGTTTATTGATGCGGCGGCACCACGTTTTCAAAAATGGGATTATCTGGGAGCAATGCGTGCGATTTGGGTGCCAGCACGCATGCCATAGACGGAGTTTGGTATCTTTTTCTTTGCCTTGTCTTTCTTTCGAGCGTTTTGTCGGTTCCAGCACGGTATGGCTTGCGGCATTGATGCCGTTTACGCGCGCACGCATACACTTGCACATCTAGCGCTGCTTTATTAGTGCAGTTATTTTTGGAGCTTGTACAAGCTTCTGGACGACGCTCTCTTGCTACTGTAAGCAGTCTTTTAGTTTATAATATACCAGAAGCAGCGCATAGCTAGGCCTGAGGTAGTTGGGCATGCGCGGATATGACATAAGATTTGTTAACTGGATTTTGCCTTGTATATTGCACTGGTGATGAGTGTTTGCGAGTGACGTCTCTATTGCTTGCTTCTGACTTGCCAAGATGCGAGAATGGGTGCGTGACTGGGAACATGTTCTCCACTGTACCTAGTCACTTGATATTCAGTCGGGATGCAAACAAGCACGTTTGCGCTTGCAGGTTGCAGATTACAGGTTGGGGTTGGGGTAGGGTTGGGTCATCTGGGCGTTGTGCGTCCTTGTTCATGTCCATGTCCACGCCCACCTGTCAGCCAAACACATCCGTACATACTGTACGTCGTGGTTAGCTACCGTACCCCGCGCCCGCCCGCCCGATCCAGGCGCAAGCCAGACCCATGCATGGCCCAAAGCGGCCAGACGCCGCCGCCGACCCCGACGCCCGGTCTCGATGTCAGGATAAGCATAATATAGGATTAGGAGCAGTAATAACAACAATAGCAATAATAACAGCCCCGTCCACCTACCCAGGATCCCAGGATTGTTTCTATATTGCCTAGCGGGATTAGCAGGCAATTTCCGCGGCCTGCCTGCAGCACGATCGCGCACGCTCTCGATAAGCCAGCCGCTCGCTCCCCACCCGCCCGTTTTGCACTCAGGCCCAAGCACCTTGCGCCTGTCTCAATACCTATGTACCTAGAGCAAGAGTTGGGATGGACCGGCCGCCAGCTAACTAACTAACCAATAAGGCGAGAGGGGCGGAGCACGCCTTTCCCACCGTCATCATCCCGCCACCAGCCTGCCAGCAAGCAAACAAACACGACCGAACCTAGAGCACGGCACCCGCGCCTCCCGCGCCCAAAGCAGCAGTCCTTCTACCTTTTCGCACACACACACACACGTGGCAGGGGGCATGGCGACGTGCATACTCCTATGTACATACGAAAAAGCGCAGCGCAGCGCCGTGCCGCGCCGTGCCGGGCCATGAATGAATGAATGAATGGATGAGTGAATGAGGTGACCAAGGCCCGCGATGATGTAATCCATACGTACATACAGACACCTACCTAGACCTCTACGGATTCCCTACCGCGCATAGCCGGGTAGCAGAGACAAGGGCCCGTATCCATGCCCATATCCGTGCCTATATCCATGTCCATGTCCATGTCCGGTCCAGTCCCACCAGTCCACACAAGCACCTCCGCGAGGAGACGAAGAGCTGAGCAATGGTACTGACAACGTCACTGCTGGTGCTGCTGATGCTGAGGTGAGTGAGACGTGGCGCCACGCCTCTCGCGCGCCACGAACACGGGACGCGGACAATTGCCACGGATACGGACATGGGCGTCAACATGGGTGCGCGAAGATGCGCATCGCATCCGGATCTGGCCGAGTGCCTGCGAACTGGGCCGTGGGTCTGGAGCTGGGCTGGAATGGGCTACAGTATGTATGCGCTGGGGTATTGGCGGGTAAGGCAGGGCAGGGCAGGGCAGGGCTGTCGGTTCAGCGTTTGCTTGCTTGCTTGCTTGCTCTTGCTTTTCCGTGCGTTTGCTCGTGCCGCAGCGTGCCGGTACCGGTCGCCAGTCGGCTAGGTACCTAGGTACCTACCTAGGTTTCTCCATCCTCCTCGCCGCGACATGCAGCACACACCACGCATCCACCCACCCACTACCACCGTCGTCGTCAATTTACCCTCCGCAACGAAGGAGCGCGCTCGTGCGCGGCGGGAACGCCGTCTGCGCTGCCTGCGCTGCCCGTGCTGCCCGTGCGTGGCGTCGGGCGCGCGTGGCTGGCTGGCTGGCTGAGCTGAGCTGAGCTGTGAGCTGAGCCTGGCCTGAGCCTGGCCTGAATTGGCCTGCAAACGGGAAGAAATAGGGCAAGGAGCTTCCATGGAACTACGCTACATACGGTAGGGAAAACGGTGTCGTGTACCGCGTGGCTGGTTGCGTTGCGCTGCGTGCCTGAATCCTTTGAGGGATCCTGCGGGCGGTGGGGGATCTGCGGATGGTGCCGGGTGGTTGTTTGTGGGGTTGGGGGTGGTGTGTGTGTGATGGATGGAGAGGTAAGAGACAGGTGGGTTTCGAAGCTTCTTTCTTCCTTTTGTGGTCTTACTCGCGGGGAGGTACGGGCGTTGTTTAAGCGCCGGTGGTGAGAGGCGGAAATGCTGTTGTTAGGTAAGACAAAGGTAAATTTCCAGTGCTTCTTGGTTTTGCTGGCAAGGAGATGCGGGGACTGCGTAGATGGTGTTGAGGGATGGATGATGGTGTTGAGGTCAGAGTAGGTATCCGACACCTTTTCCCTAGCCTCGCAAGCGGAGCGATGCGAGAACGAATGCGTTTTGCTTCCGTGCGTGTGTTTTCGCGCGCTTGTAGGGGCGTTTGAGGTTGCCGGTGTGATGTTGAGAAGGTAGGTGGCTGAAGCGGCGAAAGGATGCTGCTGTAGTCGACAGGCGTTGCCTATACGTCTTGCTCAATTCTCGTCCGAATCGTCTTCTCTTTACGTCTATGCTTTCATCTTCTTTTCTCGTCCTTTACTATCCAGACCTCATTCATCTTTCCTGACCATCCATTCTGCTTTCCCTCGGTACTAATAACGGTTCGCCAACACTCCCACATCGACGACTCTCGATATCATCCTCCTATTGACGCCTCCCACTGAACAACAACCTAACGCCACGACAGGGCGGCAGCGTATTGACCAGGTCATAATCATCGCGAGGAAGACCAATGCCGATCCCGCAGCCATTTCTCCCGATCCCAGGTGTATGATAGTAAAGCAGTCTACTAGGTAGTTAAAGTTTCTTCTCTCGTTACGGAAGTAGAATAAGTTATTATAAATTTTACTTTAGTATGAGGCACGAGTGTGAACAGGGAGCAAGGAGTAGAATAATAGGATGCGATTACTATAAGACGAATCCTTAAAGAGGATTTACAGGCCTACGACTAGAGGAAAAGTCTTTAGGAGGTCGCGGGCTATATAGGTCGTATATAAATACTATATAACCCTAGCGGGAATACTATAACTATAGAGGCTACTATCTATGTAAGGCCTAGTAGCTGTTATGGACCGCAAGGGAAATCAGCCCGCAGGGTCGAAAAGACCTTATGGGAAGAAGGCCCACACGGGCTTGGAGACCCCAAGGGCTTAGTAACCACAAGGACTCGCGTCCCGCAAGGCGCCAGCAGACACGTGCCAAGCAAGGCCGTAAGGGAACCAGGACCACAATCCTAGGAAGCCCACACGGGAATGCACCCCACAGGGACTCAGTCGAACCAAAAGGCAACAACTCCAGAAAAAGCCCGCAGGGGATTTACGCCCACAAAGGACGAATGCAGCAAAGCTGACAACAAACCCACAAAGCGATCAAGGACAAGGGACTTATCACGTCCGCTCTGCGAGGTGGAAGATGGTTATCAGACTGCAGGAAGACGGTCGTCAGAAAAGTGGCACAGAAATCACGTGATAGACCCACACTGGATCAAGTCTCTCAGATTGATCCAACCCTCGGGTTGATCCAGTGTACAGATTGATCCAACATCTCTTTTGATCCAAATCACGACATGTATATAGACTACGCTCCTTAACAGTAGATAGGACCTTCGTGGTCAACTCAAAGTATCAATCTATACTCTTAGGTTGATGGTAACACGCCTACACCCGATACTTCACGTGACTTGTCTCTCAACTTCCTACACTTCTTATCCTTCAAGGTAAACCCTTCGAACCTATTCACCCGCTAGGCAATTCCAACGCCTAGGCTGAAGAGGCCTCGTTACAGTAGCCTGATACTTAAGCCTGTTTGTAGGCGAAAAACGGCCCTTTATAATATATAAACATATATTTAGTCTTTTATTTTTCTATAGTTAAACTAGGTCTCGAACTAGGTACTAAACTGGGTCCTAAATAGGCGGGCCTACGTACCGCTATAGACGCAGGATACTACTGTAGGCGCGGGTCGGTGTTGATGCCTTTATATGGAGACGACCAGGGGGACGAGTCAGTAGGAACACGCGAATCACGCCACAACACCAAATCAGGGCCTGATTCGCAGGCGTGCTTGTTTCGTCCAACAGTGTCTGCTTTGCACAGCCGACTCTCGCTTTTTGGTGGGGCGGGAGAAAAGTACAAAATGGAGCTGTGCCCACGAAGTGATGGTGAGCATTTCCATACTCCACATTGTCCCTTCCCGTGGAACCCGACACTTCAGGCCAAATGGACTCCCTCGACTTTCAGAACATGGACAACTGTCGATTTTGCGAGTTTTTCAAAGTCGAAAGCCGATACGGTCGAAAGTACGACAATTTCGAGCTCTTCCACAGAGAATGCTCGCATTGCCAATCTCAACCACAGAGCGAGGAAAATCTATGCGCGTTCTGCCAACATTTGCGGATTGGCCATCTGCTCTTGTGTGTACCGCAGGAGTTATCCATCTACATTGACTTCAAGTCGAAACACGAACACATATACGACACGAAATGCCCAATGTGTCGCTTGATGGCTTCCATACCATCAACAAACCCGGTTGCCTTTAGAGATGGTCGTGACCCCATCAGATCTGGATTTTTTACCCTCGATTTTGTTTTGCATTTGAGACCGTATTTGAAAAAAACCGATGAGAAATCGCTAGGCTATCTCATGTTCAATGAGATAAACGGCCAAGAAGTATTTCACAACGTGAGAATATATGCGTCTGATAGTTCACCAAGACCTGTCGGCAGCTCTTTCGACCATGTACTGGTCACTGAATGGTTAAGCAAGCACTGCATGGACCATGAAAAGAGCTTTGGACATAAAGTGCAGCTGCCGAGGGGGTTTCAAGTTATTGATGTCTTTGAACGGCGGATTGTAAGTCCCGAAAATGGCTTCCAGTACGTAGCGTTGAGCTATGTTTGGGGCTCAAAACGGGATTCTCTCCACCTTGTCGCTACCAAGGAGAATATCCACGGTATGACCCAACGTGGTGGAGTCGACGCCTCTAGGCTTCCAGCAACTATTGACGATGCTATCGAAATTTGCATCTTGCTTGGCGAGAGATACCTCTGGGTAGACCAATTATGTATCGTCCAAGACGACCATGAGAACAAACATCGACAAATCCACGCTATGGACAGCATCTACACTGCGGCTCACTTTGTTATGGTCGTGGCTGATGGCGACGCGCATAGCGGGATCCCAGGGTTTCGACACAAGCGTCCGACATTACAAAGGCGAGAAAATATTGGTACTTTCACCTTTCTAAACAGCTTACCTAGCGCCTCCGATACAATTAGTTCCTGCGTCTGGAATTCGCGAGCCTGGACCTACCAGGAGGCTGTCCTTGCCAGAAGAAGATTGTACTTCAGTCTCTCCCAAGCATTTCTTGAGACTAGTCGGAGTATTTGTTTGGAAGATCTGACAGAAGATAACGATGAGTTCATCGAGTTCGAGCCTGTATTAAGTCTCAAGCCTGTAATAAGTTCTCCGAGAAGAGATGATCGCTTCCTAGACTGGACCAGTCATTTGGAAGCATATAGTTGTCGTACCTTGAGCTATCGTTCAGATGCTGTAAACGCATTCATGGGTATATCGCGCGCTTTTTACCCGAAGGATGGTGCCATGTTTATAGGGTTGCCGAAACCTGATTTTCACCGTGGGCTGCTATGGTACTGCGAGTCGGAGAACCCAAGACGAGTTACGGAAAACTCTTCATTTCCAAGCTGGTCGTGGGCATCAGTTATTGGAACAGTGGGTTACATCGATTCCTTGGATGCCAGTGTCACACCACTAGTCGCATGGAGAGTCCAGCAGGCGAATTTACAGGCGGGAACAACATATGAATGGACCAACATCCGGGACTTCGTTGGCGCCCCAAGCGTTGACAGTGCGGAGCCTGACAGCTCAGAACTAGATCCAGAAATTTTATGGTCGAGCCGTAAATATGACAGCTTTGCTCTTGCATTAGCTTGGAGCCAAGGTTGTTTTGAAGTATGTTGGCCCTTTGCCAGTCTAGAAAGCTGCAGGTTTTCTTCTATCAAATCCAGGTTGAAAGATGTGTGGCCAACGCGTCGTTGCCTCGAGGATCTGTTTTTCGGAGACAGTAAATCCCACGAAGAGCAACTGTTACCAAAGGTCCAGCAAAATGTGTTGAGAGCACGTGTTCAGTCCGCCCATTTTTGGCTTGATGTTCTCTCCCAAGAACCAAGGAATTCATTTTGTGGGTTCCCAAATTCCTTGAAGATCTCAGATGAAAACAACAAGTATGTTGGATTGGCGTGGAAACATGAGCCGAGGATCAAGGAAGAAGTGTTACCTCTCCTCGAGCCAGGCGAAAAGACGCGCTTCGAATTTATTGCGCTCTCCATAACTTCTTTCAGGCATCCCGAAGCGCTTTTCGTGCACGGGGAATTGAGCTTTGGTATACAGACCTTGTTAGACCCATTTAGAAACACGACGTATAAAACGCCCGAGGAGAGGAGGTACATGAGGGAGCATCTTGGCCCCGACGGGCTGGACATTACGTATTTTGATAGCGAGGACAATGCCTTGGAACAGGTTCCTTTGGTCAATGTCATGCTCATTGCCTGGCGGGGGCCCGTGGCGCACCGAGTCAGCGTTGGTTGGATTTTTTTGACGAAGTGGGCGAAGGCGAAGCGGGAGTTTAAGACAGTTTATCTGGAGTAACGTCCGTCACCGTGAAACGAGATTCACCGGGAAGAGAGATGGTGATACTTGTATAGAGGAGAAGAAGAGACCCAGCTACGATGTATAGAGTCTTTGTGTGCTTTAAAACCTTTACATCCATACCCAGGACTCGGGATATGAGCTAGACAAGGTGTACTCTATAGGGACTGCTTGTATTGTCCCCTGTCTCGCTAGACGGTGGATCTCGGTTCTCGGTGACGGAGGTTAAGATCTATCGCGTCTATCGAAAGGCGAGGGATATTTTGACCAACCCTTATGGATATTTTAGCAACGCCTCTTGATATCTAATTTGAGTAGTCGAGTGTAGATTTTTTTTTTTTTTTTTTTTTTTTTTTTAGTTGAGAGGATAAGGCGGAAAATCGGAACCATTTCTTGTGTACCCATGGAAGATTTTCGGTGAAGTGATGGTCAAATTATTCCTCGTTTGGTGAGGTGGTCGTGTGCCTATGGAGTACAAAATAGCTCCGACCAGCATGGCTGAAGATTGTATGCGCGGTGAGGATTTCTCAGCTACATCCAGGACTCTGGCTGATAGCCAGGTGAGGAGTAATGCATGGAGATTGCTATACCGGTTTGTAAATGTATTGGAATATTGACATGGGGTCAAATTTGGAGCGACATAAGACAATACAGGGTATTGGCACGTCGGATTGGAACTCGGCGTCTGTGCCTGGGCTTCTGAGTCGTAATTCGTTGCCTCTACAAGCACAAAAATCTGTGCTGTTTGTTGCATCGACATTTCTTACTCTACAGCGGCACCATTCAATCTATATCCTGTAGACGATGCACACGGTCCCTAGAAGACGAGGTCCTGAAGGTAGTATCAGCTGCTTTCGCCGGCCGGTGAAACTTTAACGACGATGAGGGGCGTTAGAAAACACAAGGCGAGGTTTCACGTGTGCGACGAGGTTGCGTAGCAAATGAAGGCAAAAGGTGCTCTCTCTCAACAAATGTCGTATAGCGAAACCGGGGATCGCATGACGGGCTAGCGAGAGGGCGGACAGCTCCGCTCACTGCTACTGGACGACGAGGGCCAGGGGGCGGATCTCGACCAAAGCAAAGCAGCGGCGGTGGCGCCCACATCCCTCCTCTCTCTCCTCTCCGCAAAGAAAGCGAGAGAGAAGAGAGGCTTGGGAGGGCAGATTTATTCCCGGCCGGCTGCCCCCGCTATCGACAGCTCGAGTTTCACATCCATGCAGCGCGCGCGGATCATCTCTCCATGGCCACGGCGGAATCGACGGCTCCCGCTGCAGGGGCGCGCCCACGACCACTCGACCGCGACGTCCCGCCGCCTTCGGACATGACCCTCGACTCCCACGACTCTGCCCCGCCCGACGGTGCCACGCCTCCGAGGAAGAAGCAAAAGCGGAACAAGCCCACTCTCAGCTGCGACTGCTGCGTCGAGCGCAAGACCAAGGTCCGTCGGCCGAGTGGGGGAGAGCATGCGCCGCTCGCGCTGACAACCACCCAAGTGCGATAGGGCAAGGCCGCAGTGCCTGGCCTGCCAGAAACGACAGACCACCTGCCGCTACTCCGAGGTTGCCAATCTCATCGCCTCCACCGCAGAGTACGTCTTCTTGTCAGCAAGGCCGTTGCACCCGCGACTGACGCCGTGATAGTCGCAATGGCGGCCGCGCCACCAGCAAGCAGCGCAAACAGGCCCAGCAACGCGCTAGCCTAGGCGTCACCACCCCTACGTCAGAGGTATGCCGGTCTTTGAACATGCCTTGATTTGATCTCATCCTGTGCAAGGCCATAAGGTTGATTTTTATATCACGTGATCCTGCCATAATCACGCTTGCGCTGTGCTGAACGTCCGCATCAATTGGAGTATCGGCGTGTGCAAGTTGGCAATAATATAGTCAGAAGATCGCCGGGCTGACTGAACTATGACTATCAGGGATTCGCCAGGCCTCAGCAATATCGGAGCCAATCATTGTCTTCGACGTCCTCCGTACAGAACTTGCTCTCAAATGTTCCTTATACAAAACATACCCCATCCCTCGTCTTCGGTCTAGGTTCTGAACACCCGTTCAGCAACTACTGGACATGCCGCGGTGGCCTAGGCGAAGTCATTTCGGTTCTTCCGAGGAGAGAAGAAGCCGACAGCCTGGTCAACAAGTATTTCGAGGCCGTTGACCCGGTTTATCCCATGATCCATCGCGGAAAGTTCGATGCAGACTTCGAACGATTTTGGGCACTGACCTATGATGAGAAAATACAGGCAGACGCGGCATTATTAGCTCTGCATTTCGTCATCTATGCGATGGGTACCCAGTTTACTCCTTTGACATCGTCACAGGAGCGGGCTCAGATCGCTGAGTTCTACGTGTCTGCTGCGCACCAAGCTCTGAGGATATCTGGTTATCTCAGTCGGATATCTCTCCGAACGATCCAGGCCATGGTGCTGATTAACTATTTCCTCATGAACAACAACCACGCCTCAGACGCATGGTCATTCGGTGGGGTGTTGATGCGTCAAGCATATGCCATGGGCTTAAACCGTGACCCGGAACTCATCGTTCCGCGCGCGTCTGCTCTCGAGAAGCAGCAAAGAAGAAAAGTGTGGCAAGCAGTGCTCTTCCAGGACACTTTTCTGACTGTTTTGCTCAAACTCCCGCCTACCGCCACCATCTCAGACGTGTCCGTAGAGTCTCTTAACGATGACCCGGATGGTGAGCATGATCCCAGTGTATTTGGCCGCACGGGCACACCGGACGTGTTACCAAACCCCATGCGCATCAGCAACATTGCGCCGCCGCCGACAACTCTACTGCCGCATGAGCTTGCAGACCGCGAGTACATTCGCACCATGTGGCGGTTGGCGAACTTGGTGCAGCGAAACGTTTGCATCTCACGCTCGCTCAGTCGCCCATTGACTTCGAGTCCTCGAGATAAGAGCAATTTGCTGGCGCAGTTCCGCGCATTGTACAACAATGTCCCCGCTGCTCTAACTAAGTCGATCAGCGAAGACACTGTAAGGAGCTGCCACAGACAAGCAAAACAATGTCTCTTCTTCCGGAGCAACTATCACCACAGCATCATGCTAGTACTTGCTGATGAGAACGAACTGGGTGGCGTCAAGTGCGACATCCGAGGCGCAATGGAGGCGGCGAGAGAAGCCATCAGCGCATTCTTTGAGTTATGGGATTATCTTAGAACTGACGCCGGAGTGTGGTGGGTCTTTCAGCATAGAGCGTTTGAAGAAGCGGTATGCATTCCCCAGTTCTATCATTCCACACCACTCTCGAACCTACTTTGCTAACAATGCCTCAGCTCATGATGGCTCGACTTCTCGTCCTCCAGCAGCAGCCCGACTCGCCATTCGTAAATGCGTCAAAGAGCCCTGCCGATGACCCTTTGCGGATGGGGGTGAAGCACGACATCAGCAGGGTGATTGACATTCTCGACCAGGTTGGCAGCGGCGCTCCAGAGATGCAGAAGACGAGAACCGAGGTGCTGCGAACGGCCTTTGAGGAGATACAGTGGTAATGACCAAGCTGGTGTGCAAACTTTAGATGTCTGTATCATACACGGCTGGGTTGCCTTGTAGGTATGTATTGTTTTTGCGGGATTCGGGCGCAAACGCAGTCCCTGGGCGAGCGTTGAGGCGTTGGGGCAACGGAGTCATGTGCAATATTCTTGTGAATGAGCTGTAGATATACAAAAGCCTCAACCAAATACCTCTGTACCTCTTTTTATCCCCACGCCTTCTGTTTCTGTGCTGTGGTGACGTATGGAAAGGATAGTGACGGGCTAAGCCGAATCGAGATGAATGATTGATCGACGCGACTGGTCGCGTTTGCTTAACGCGTTGCGCGTTCGGCGGTTTTCCCGCGGCCGAACTCTTGCCGCATTGTCAAATCCACATTGGTCTCCTCAGCAACGCAAAACACCGCTCCACCAAACACCAGAGATACCCGCGCAACACCTTACCGCGCACCCCAGCCGCGTTTCCGGGACCTTGGACCTCCTCACATATCACATAATCCCAATTAACCGTCCCGCGAGGCAAACGGCTCTGCAAGATGGACGGCATCGAGCTGAGAGATGAGGCCGTTCGCGACCGCATCAGAGCGGCTGAGGAGTTTTTGGATCCTAGTAAGCTTGCATGAACTCTGGATGTGTTGGTGCAGTCGCTGATGTTTTGCAGCCGACCTTCGCGCGCGCAGGTACGGCTTTCGGTTCGTCGCAAACAAAACACTCGCTGACGTCGTTGCAGCTACCGGGCGGAAATCACGCTTATGCTCAATCGTGGACTGAGGAGACTGAAGGTATGGAATAATCTGTGCAGGAACAAGGGAATAGCTGACGGGCTGCCAGGTCAGCTTGGACGAAATCAGAGCGCACAACAGGGAGCTTTCCGATGGGTACGTAAAATGCGGGCGTTAGAGGAACGAGGAACTGATGGTCGCAGACTGCTCAACCAGCCTTTCGAATACTCCATGGCCTTTGATCGCGCTCTCAAGAATGTCGTCTCGACATTGCCGAACCGGCCGCCAAAGGAAACTGCTGATGAAATTGTAAGTCTCTTACTTCTAGTATGCGGTGCTTGGCAGACACTGATCTCTATGTTAGATGTACTACTGCGCATACTACGGCAGCTTCGGAGAATTCTCCTGCAATCCCCGCACACTGAGCTCTCAACACCTGAACCACATGGTCTCCCTCGAGGGTATTGTGACCAAGTGCTCGCTCGTCAGGCCTAAGGTTGTCAGGAGCGTACATTATAACGAGGCCAAGAATATTTTCCAGTTCAGGGATTACAGGGATCAAACTATGACCATGGGCGCAGCTAGTACAAGCGTTTATCCCACAGAGGATGAGGAGGGCAATCCGGTGGGTATTTCCGCTATATGTGGAAGCACATTTGCTGACAGAATTGTAGCTAGTCACTGAATACGGTTACTGCAACTACCGTGATCACCAGACGATTTCGATACAAGAGATGCCCGAGAGAGCACCTGCTGGACAGCTGCCTCGTGGCGTTGACGTGGTTCTGGACGACGACCTCGTGGACAGCGTAAAGCCCGGTGATAGGATCCAGCTCGTCGGTACTTACAGATCTCTCGGAAACCGCAACGCCGGCAATGCTAGCTCCACATTCCGCACTCTCATTCTCGCCAACAACATCATTCTTCTTTCCTCCAAGTCGGGCGGAGGTATCGCGCAAGCAACCATTACCGACACGGATATCCGCAACATCAACAAAGTCTCCAAGAACAGGAAGGTTTTTGAACTCCTGTCGCAATCTCTTGCGCCGAGTATCTACGGCCATGATTACATCAAGAAGGCTATTCTGCTCATGTTGTTGGGTGGTATGGAGAAGAACCTGGACAATGGTACCCATCTGAGAGGTGATATCAACATCTTGATGGTTGGTGACCCGTCAACGGCCAAATCTCAACTCCTTCGCTTCGTTCTCAACACTGCGCCTCTCGCCATTGCTACAACCGGTAGGGGCTCTTCAGGTGTCGGTCTTACTGCAGCTGTCACTTCGGACAAGGAAACTGGCGAACGCCGCCTTGAAGCTGGTGCTATGGTTCTCGGTGACCGCGGTGTCGTCTGTATTGATGAATTTGACAAGATGAGCGATGTTGATCGTGTCGCCATTCACGAAGTCATGGAGCAGCAGACCGTCACCATCGCCAAGGCCGGTATCCACACTTCGCTGAACGCGCGCTGCAGTGTCATTGCTGCAGCCAACCCGATCTACGGACAGTACGACACGCACAAGGACCCCCACCGCAACATCGCCCTCCCCGATTCCCTTCTCTCGCGTTTCGATTTGCTGTTCGTTGTCACAGACGACATCGAGGATGTCCGGGACCGTCAAGTTTCGGAGCACGTCCTGCGTATGCACCGTTACAGGCAGCCTGGCACTGAGGAGGGTGCGCCTGTCCGCGAGCAGGGCACGCAAACTCTGGGCGTTGGACTTGACGAGGACGCGGATGCAAACCGGCCCACAGAAGTGTATGAAAAGTTCAATGTCATGCTGCACGCAGGTGTCACGGTCACGGTTGGCCGCGGCTCGGCGCGTCGCATCGAAGTTCTCAGCATCCCCTTCATCAAGAAGTACATTCAGTACGCCAAGTCTCGTATCAAGCCAGTACTCACCAAAGGCGCGGCGGACCACATTGTTGCCACGTACTCGGCGCTCCGTAACGACGAGATGGAGAGCAACCAGCGCAAGACGTCTCCTATGACGGCGCGTACTCTGGAGACCCTCATTCGTCTTGCTACTGCGCATGCCAAAGCTCGGTTGTCCAACCGCGTCGACTCAAAGGATGCCGAGGTCGCAGAGAGCATCTTGCGGTTTGCCCTGTTCAAGGAGGTTGTTGAAGACGAGCGCCGCAAGCGCAGGAGGGTCACCCGCGACACGGACGCTATGTCGACCGACTCGGGCGACAGCTCCGATGATGACGGCGACGACACGCAAATAACGCGCCAGACGCCGCGCACGCCACGTAGGACAGGCGGCCCCGCCACGAGGAGCAGCGGTCCAGCCGCCACCGAGGGCACCAATGGCGCTCCCGCCGAAGACGACGACGAAGACCTCTACACACAGACGCCGCGCACACAGCGCACACGCGGAAGCCGCACTACAGGCACGCAAGGCCAGTCATCGCAGTACTCGATGGCGTCGTCGCAGCCTGCGTCGCAGCTGCTGGGCTCCGAGACGACGGGCCAGGACGAGTCGCAATCTCAGGAGCAGGAACAAGCACAGGCGCACACCACCGAAGGCGCGGCAGAGATCTCGCCTGCGCGCGTGCAAGCGTTCCAGACGGCATTGGGACAGCTGATTGACGGTCCGTTATTCGCGAACGATGCCGCGGACGTGGAACCGCTTGTTGCGGCGGTGAATGCGAGATTGAGGGGTGGAGAGGCGGCGTTTGAAGCTGCGGAGGCGGAGCAGGCGCTCGAGACGCTGAGTGAACGGAATAAGATTATGTATTCCGGCGGGATTGTGTACAAGATTTAGGGAGGGTAAGGTACTGGAGCTGTAGGAGGTGGGGTTGGGGAAGATGGGCGCGGGTTTTGAAAAGGCACTGGATGGGGAGTTTGAGGTGTGTATGGTTACGCTATGGGTGCGTGGGTATATCAGCTGTTGTGCGTTTCACGCATTGAATTGAATGTAGTCGTTAGATACGAATATGGAGTCCTTGTTGCAGCCTTGATGCCTCAGAATCAACGGGCATGTACCCCACGACCCCGCTAAAGCCGCCTAACCCCGGGCCAGGGCCTTTTCCCACCGCCGATCTCACGCCTTCCATCACCGCCATCACCATCTCAACATCCAACCCGCCAAACCAACTCCCACCTCCCTACCACCCACCACAGGCACAGCCATGTGGTTAGACGCCCAAGCCGCCCCAGCGGCACAACCCCCGCTCCTCCGCCTCCCCGCCGAACTCCGCAACGAGATATACGCGCTGCTCCTCTCCCCCCACGCCGCGCGCCGCGCCCTCCCCGACGACCACGCCCGCTACGCCTACGACCTGCGCATCCTGCGCACGTGTCGCCAGATCTTCTTTGAGGCGAGAGCGGTGTTTAGGCGGCTGAACACGTTCGTTGCTGTCGAGGCGCCGTGGCCCGAGGCCGAGCGCCAGATTATGGGGAAGGGGCGCGTGCCGGTCGTCGTGGCTGGGGAGAGGGCGGAGCGATTTTGCTCTGCCTTCGGCTTCGCCTCCGCGGGCGTACACTTGTTGGCCAAGACGGAGCTGAAGCACTATCATCGCGAGGGCGAAGAGGGCGGCATCGACGTCGTGTATGAGAGCCTGGAGCCGAGGGAGGGCGAGAAGGCCAAGATCGTGTTTCTGGCCGAGGATTTGGAGAAGCTGACGCGGTGGTGGTTTTACCTCGACCTGAGCATCCCGGACATGAACAGGCACCTGGAGCTTACGCTCGAGCTGCGGGATCCGTATGCGACGGAGGGTAATGGTGGCGACAACAACGGGGAGGAGGAAGAGGGGGATAAGCAGCTCCCAGTCGTGCTGCAGCGGCAGCTACTGCTTCCCTTCGGCGAGGTCAAGGACCTGCGCAGCACGCGCATCGCGGGCCCCTACGACGCGGGCGTGGCAGCCGAGCTGCGCGCGCGCCAAGCAGTCCCGTACAAGACGCCGGCCGAGTGCCTCGACGAAGCGGAGCGGCTCAAAGACGCAGGCAACGCAGCGCTGCAAGCCGGCGACTGCCTCGCCGCGCTGCGCCACTACGAAGCCGCCTTCCTCGCCCTGCACATAGTCGTGCGCGGCCGCAGTCGCCGCATCTGGGCCGACGAGTTCTTCCAGACGGTGCTGCCGGAGGGGACGGCGCACGCGCGCAGGCCTGCACAGCTGGTCCGGCTGGTTCTGCGCGTCAAGCTCGTCGCGAATGTGTGTCTGGCCCATGTCAAGCTCGAGCAGTGGGACGATGTCATCCATTGGGGCATGCGCAGTATTGGGCTGGTGCGCGAGGGCCGCGGCATCCTGGGCGATGAGGACGATGAGCCCATGCGTGGGTTTGCCGGCGCGGTCCAGTTGGGTAAGATATATTACCGTACTGGGCTTGCGTATAGGGAGGTGGGAAAGCGGGAGGAGGCGAGGGGCTTGCTGCGTATTGCGCAGGGCTATTTGCCTGCGGATCGTGAGGTCGGCAAGGCGCTGGCCAGTGTCGCGTTGAGGATATGAGATTCTCTCTTGCTTGCATTATATGCAACAGAAGCGGACATTCTTTTCGGCCTACACTGGCACACCACTCGCATGCCTTCTGGTCCTTAGTTTCTACCTAGCTACCTGATATTGGTAGCATCAGGGCAGCGAGAAACCGCCACTTCAGGGCACCAGAAGAGAAGGAAATACGGGTGAAAGCAGGTGATGTGGCGTAGATGTTGAAGAAACAGCGGGGATATGGTATGTACAGTACGGCTGTGGCGATGGGTCATCAGAGACGAAGACTAAGAGCTTAGAACTTATGCGCAAGCAACGAAATTCACGAAAGGTCCCGGATAATTTGCCCACCCCGAAGAAGTGAAGAAGAGTGAGAAAGAGTGAAGAAGATGTGCGGGCGTTAGTGCTATCTCCGTCGTGCTATTGTGGTGTTGGTGACTGCCTGGCGTCCCTCACTTTGGAGTACGCAGTAAAAACATTGGTATATAAGGCCGGGATGCTATTCATTCTGCCAGTGCAGCCGTTGAGCGTAGTGCCTCCCGTTCTTACTGGTTTACTGGTCTACTGATTTGAGCCGAAGGGGTGACGCACCCCGTGAGCGTATTACACCTTAACCGTCTGCCTACTCTTTTTGGAAATTCGTTCGCAAGTTCGATTCCTGGTTTGGTTAATTCTTTTTTGTTACTTTTTCGTAGCTACTTGTTTTCATCCGCCATGTACTTTTGAACTGTTATCTTCGCCCCCTTAACTATATATTAAGTAAAATCTACTACATATATAAAACGAGCGACAACCAGCCAACCCCTGCAACCCCCTCACCAGCCCCCTCACTCCCCTCAACAAACCCCCCTAACCCCCTACTTCGTAACACTAGGCTAGGCCTTCCCACCCCCCGCCTCGCAAGTAACAGCAGTCCAAAGGAACCAATCACCATGATAGCTCTCTTGGGCGGCAGCCTCATTGGCAAGGCAGTCCTTGACGGCGTCGTTGATATTGGTGAAGGAGAGGCACATGCGGCCCTGGACGGTAGCCTGGTAGCAGCCGCCGCCGGCGTTGGCGAGCTCGAGGGCTTCACCCGACAGCGAGTGGATGTCCTTGCAGCGGCCTGCGTAGTAGGGGGCGTGATTACGTGGGTCAGGAACGCTATTGCCAGATCGGATAACAGGTCTGCTATTTCCTAACCGAACAGGGCAAGAGGTCTGACTTCTCCGCACCACCTCCGCCCTAGTTCGTCCGCCGGACTACCGTCTGTGAGGCTTACACGGTACCTACCGGCTTTCTCTCCTTCTTCACCCTAATCTGTCCGCCGGACTAGCAATCAGCATCCGAATCCGAAACAATGAACAATACTACCCAGTACTAGTACCCAGTATCCAGAAAGCAAGAAGAAGCAAAACCCAACAGCAAACCCAACCCAACCCCTCAAGCCATAAAGAAAACCGCAAACAAGCAAACAAACGAGCAGCAACGAAACCAAACCCCCATTCACACCCACAAACAAAAGAAAAATCAAACCCCCCCATCCCTCCTCCCGCCCACAAACGCCTCCCACCGTGCAGCACTAACCACATCCTCCCCCATCCCCGCAAGCCCC